AGCTTGCTATAAACATTCCTAAAGGAAGTTGGCATTAATTAATTATTATTTTTTAGCATTGAGACATCTTTCAGTTGCAAAATTTGTACTAACCTGTTGTATGAAAATGTCCTCTGTCATTTTCTTCTGTTTATTCTTCAAATCAGAAAAATAAAGGTGAACATTCCTTGATTCTTTATACATCTTTTCTCAAGGCATTCCTTGATTCCTTTATCCAATTTTAAAATTTTAATTTAGGAATTTTTTGTTAATCCTCACTTGAGGATATTTTTTCCATTGATTTTTAGAGAGAGTGGAAGGGTAGGAGGGAGGAGAGAGAGAGAGAGAGAGAGAGAGAGAGAGAGAGAGAGAGAAAGAGAATGAATATCATCATTGTGAGAGAGACATATGGATTGGTTGCCTCCAGCACCACCCTGACCAGGAGGGCTGGGGATGGAACCTGCAACCCAGGTATGTGCCCTTTGGTAGGGAATTGAACTCATGACCCTTCGGTGGGCAGGCTGATGCTCTAACCACTGAAAAACACTGGCCAGGGCCTTTATCCAATTTTCAACTTCTAAAAATTCCTTTTTAAAAGACTTTAACACATTAAGGTTATCTTCTATGTTAAACATAGTATAAACTTTTTCAGTTTATTTCTGTCAATTTTCAGCAATTGGATGGAGTCACAGAAGAAATTTGTCAGCAAGAGACTGACATATTTGAGTATCCTTCCTATTCATTCTATTCTATTATTCTCTAAGTAAACTTTTCATCTTGGCAATATTTGGCAGTAGATACTAGAAGAAAAGGCACAAATCTCAGTAGCTCATAACTATCCAGTAGGTGATCAATCAATAAGTATTTACTGAATGAATAGGGCTAAATTGATATGCCTTTTAGAGAAGATGGTTGCCTTAACTGTCAATACATTTTTATTCTAGTTTTCTATCAAAATGTTCCCTTTCTGATCCTTTTCTTTTGGAATTGACCTAAACTGTTTCACATATCTTGTAGTACTTCCAGTTCTGTTTACTCTGATTTGGCTCTGGTTTTGAGGGTGTCGCATAATTGATCATGGAACACTTAAAGAATATATAAAATTCAAGACAGAGGAAATCAGGAGTAGTCTGGATGGCTCTCTTCCAAGAAGTCTTCTCCCAGAGAGCATGGCAAATTTGGCATAGTTCCATGTGCCCGTGGACTTAAAGGCCCCCTTTCTTGCTCTCTATAATCCACATGACCAGCAAGCTGAAGGGATAGGTGGTGCCTGAAATCTACCTCCTGCTTTGTACACCCTGGCATAGGGCTCTGTCTGTCTGCAAGGAGGGGCACATTTTTCTAATTTACAGGAAGACATCATCAGGTACTTTTTCTTCCTCTGGAAATTGATAAACCCTAGTAGAGACCCCTGAGTCAATGTCTAATTGGGCTGTTATTTCACTTTGTTTTTCTTCAATAATGTCTTGGCTATTCTAGGCTCTCCACGCTTGTTGAAATCTACATTTTTTTTTTTAATTTTTTTTTTTGCTGAGGATTCCATTGGATTTGCATTGTTTTGTATTACTTTATGAAGAACTGACATTTTTTGTGTGTTTTATTTCATTAATTAATATGGCCTATTTATTTGCATCTTGTTAATACCTTTTAATATAGTTTAATAATTCCTTCATAAAATATTTTGAAAATATTTTGTGGGGTTAATTTCTAAGTTTTCTCTCATTGTTTTTATTGTATTCACACATAAAAACACATAAAATTGCCAAAACAGGTTTGGCTCAGTGGATAGAGCGTCGGCCTGCGGACTGAAAGGTCCCAGGTTCGATTCCAGTCAAGGGCATGTACCTGGGTTGCGGGCACATCCCCAGTGGGGAGATGTGCAGGAGGCAGCTGATCAATGTTTCTGTCTCATCGATGTTTCTAACTCTCTATCTCTCTCCCTTCCTCTCTGTAAAAAATCAATAAAATATATTTTTAAAAAAAACACATAAAATTACATTTTATAACTGTTATTGATGTTTAGGTACACAAATTTTATATATTGAACATACTGTAGTCATACTGTATATGAACATACTTTTCTTATACTTATTCTCCACTCACAGCAAATTTCCTATTCAAAACTTTCACCCATTTTTCTCCTGGGGTATCTGTGGAGTGTCTCCTCTACCCAATGACTTGTAAGAACTTTTGAGAGATCAAGGTTACTTAACTTTTGCCATATGTATTGCAACCTTTTTCTTGTTCAGTTTTTCATTTGCTTTTGTTTCATTTATTTTTTCTTTGACTGCAGAAAATTTAAATGTTTGTGGAGTCACATATACTTACTCTTCTGTGGTTTCTTTCTTAGCTTTTATGTTTCCTTTGCCAAGATTAAATAAATACTAATTTATATTTTCTATTTAAAATCATTTTCATTTAACTTTAACCCATCTGGAATTTGTTTGGGCCTTTGCTATAATTAGCAATGTCCATTTTATTTTTTTCTTCTCAGGAAATTAGCCAAGTGTTCCGGCACTATTTAATTCTCCACTGAACACCACCTGGATCGTGAATTTGTCTCTGTATCCTTCCTTTTCAGTCTTGTTAATTACCCGAGGCATGAATGTCTTATATTTTAGTCAATCAATTAAATATTTCTGAAAGCTAAGAGGATACTTTGACCTCTGACTGCAGTAGTGTGGGAGAGTGCTCCCAACAGAGAATTCGGGTTCCTATATTGCTTACTCCAAGTCTGGCTAACAGATAGTGGACAATAAATAGATAATAGATGGATGAATGAACTGAGGAAAAGAGGGGACACTTTTTTACTTAGATTTAGTTCTCTTTGGGAGGAAGCTAGGTTTTGACTTTTTGCAAAATAATAATCCAGGAGACTGGGAAGGAGAAACTGATGCAGAGGAACTTCGGGAAGGAGGCATGAAAGGGAGAATTACTAGGATTGCTTGATTTGTTAGTTAGAAGTTGAAACATGTTCAGAAAACAGAAAGGAAAGGATATACTGCAAGTACGATAAAGATGACAAGGCTGAGAGTTTTTTTGTCTAGTTTTCATTATGGAATATTTTACGCAGAGGAAATAGTACATTAGACTACATGAACCCATCACTTTCCTTCCCACAATTATCAATTCAAAAGTTGGTTTTGTTTCATCTCCACTTCTTTCCATTTCACTGTGTTCCCAACCCTGGATTACTTTGAAGCTAATTCTAAACATTCTAGCATTCCAACTGCAAATATTTTAGTATGCATCTGTAAAAGATAAAGAGTCTTTAGGACAACAAAATACATTCATGATATCCAGGTTGAATTTAAATTTCCACTCTTACCAACTGCCGGGGCTGACCAGCAGATCCTGCTCTGACACAATGTTTTCTGTGAAAGAGAGGGCTAAGGGGCTGCCTGGCTAAAGGAACCAGACTGCCTGGATTGCCTGACTCTTTAGGCTTTTATTGTAACAGCAATTTGAGATAAAGTTTATCTTTTAGATACAATCAGTAGGGTAAGTAATATTGAAAGGACACATGTGTCTGCAATGTCCTTTAAGCAAAGACACCTAAAGATTAAGCGTAAGGATTCCAGTAAACACCCGGGGGTCTGCACATGCACAGACTTGTTTGGAAAGTTCAAGGAATAATTAGGGGCACTGCCTTTGGCACTCCCCTAAGTTGGAATTCTGATAAATAGGGTATGCCGCCTTCAGCACTTTCCTTTTCTTGGAATGTCCTTACAAACTTTCCAGCCAAGTCTTGTGTGCTCCCCAACAACCAATCTTGCTCATCTTAATTAAAGTGGTAGAGTGCAAAGAACCTTCAGGTGGGCTTTAGGCAATCTACCTGGGTTTAAGTCATGGCCCTCAATTTATCTGTGCTACTCCAAGGATGCTCTTTTATCACCTCTACATCTCCATTGCTTCGTTAGTAAATGAAAGATAAGTAGCCGGCTTATCCATTTCAGCATTGCCATCAGGATGAGGTAACAGAATTGAAAACAAATGTGAAATCCTCAACTTCCCAGTCCAATCCTCTATTTTATAAATGACCCCCAGGACAAACCATCTGAAGGTAATAGATGCCTTGTTTAGCCTGGTTTACACTTACAGTGTTTCCTACTGTTTTTCTTTTAACTTTAGGGTTCTAGCCGGGCATACTCATAATTTTGAATACCAAGAGAACAATGTTTATTAAGGTTTGCATCTCTCACCTTTTCACTTCAGGTTACCTTGTGTTTCTCTTGTGCCCCAATGATCAGGATTCTCCTGAGTGCAAACTCAAAAATTTAAAAGTTAATTTTAGTGGATTTTTAGCCAACAGAACTTCAAATAACTATCAGGGAAAACATTTTTTTTTTTTTTTAATTTCTTCCCTTACAAAGGGCTGCAGCGACCATAGAAAAGTATTCAGATGGCTTGCAAAATTAATTTCTTTCTTTCTTTCCTTTTTTTTTTTGCAAAAATCTCTCTCCATCCTTGAGGGGAAATTACTCATCTTCCTACAGGGGGAACTCTAAAGAGAATGTTTTCCAAAAAGGGGCCAGCTGGGCGGTGTCCTCTTTTCCCAACGCCCAGATTTCTATTCTTAGATCTGGAGATAGGAGGCAGCTTTCATTTTTCCTCTTCCTAATTCCCAGACCTTCCGCGGGGCCGAGGGAGCCCAGGCTGGCGGGTGGGAGCAGGTGACCTGCCCAGCGGCAGACCCCGCACCTCCTCCGGCCTCTGCTGGGCTCCAGGCCTGGGGACTCGGCGGGCCGGGTCCGCTGAGTCAGTTTCTAGCGCGATTCCGGGCCGCGCTGCGCCCCTGCCACTGGGATCCGGTCCGCCTTGGCCCGCAAGGGGGTCACGGTCAGGGTCACCCAGGCCGGGCCAGCTCAAGCCCTGTCTGCGCTGCTCGCCACGGTTCCGCTGGGCGCCCAGCCTCGGCGAGCCTCTCGCAGGCCACTGAGCTCCTTTTTGGGGCCTGGGTGGGGGAGGAGGAAGCAGGAGGAGGAGGCTCAGGGAGGGCAGGGCGAGCTGGGTGGGGAGTCGCCGCCCTCGGCATAAACAGGCGGGCGTGGGTGCGCATGGGGCGTGCGGGGCGCTCGGGCTGCGGGCAGTGAGCTGTGCTCGCCCCGGAGCAGCGGCCTGGGAGCAGCGGCCGGGAGCAGCTGGCCTTGGCGCAGGAGGGGAGGCCTGCTGGGCGCAGGGTCCATCATGGCCAGTGGCAGCTGTCAGGGGTGCGAGGAGGAGGACGAGGAAACTTTGAAGAAGTTGATAGTCAGGCTGAACAATCTCCAGGAAGGAAAGCAGATAGAGACGCTGGTCCAAACTCTGGAGGATATACAGGTGTTCACCTACGCTGACCACGGTAATCATTTGCAACCGTTCCTTTCTCTCCCCGTCCCTCCCTCCCTCCCAACCCCCGCTCCTCTTTTGCAAACTTTCTCCTCCGCTCTTTGCGCAAACCTGGACTCTTGGGAAACCACGAACTCCACTCCTTAGCGCATAAGCAGCTGAGAGTTCTAGGAAGGGCTTGCGGTGACTCCTTTTGCGTTCTCCGCACTTTTCAGACTGAAAGGGGGTGCCACTGGGAATGGTGACTTTGCTGTTTTTTCTGCCCCCCCCCTTCTTTTCCAGCCGCCAAGTTATTTCAAGGCAAAAATGTCCACGTGCCTCTGTTGATCGTCTTGGACTCCTATGTGAGAGTGGCCTGCGTGCAGCAGGTAAAGTTTTCAGTCGCTTATTTCCCCTTCTTTTTGGAAAAGGATGTTTTCCTGTCAGCTTTGCATACCTAGAGCTATGAGTCATTTCAGAGATTTGGCTTGATAAACCCTGACTGTGATTTTAAGATGGAGAAGGACTGTCAAATCATTATCAAAAGTTAACGGTGTCAAAGGACACCCTAACTGTGCTCTCTAATTAACTTTATACAGTTGACTGACAATATGGGTGGTGGTGGGAGGTGAATAATAGGTTGAGGTTTAGTTCTGTTATTGGCTATCTGAGTTCATCAGTATTTAAGTAAAAGTTATCCCAACAATCCTGCCAATGTACAGCAGGCTCCAGATGACTGCATTGTGAATAATTTGCGAAAAGGGAACAATTAACAGTAATAAAATTAATAATAAATTAGTAAAATGAGGTAACTCACATATTTTCAGAGGGTTAAGCTTTTTTAAATTTAAAGACAGATTTCTGTCTTTAGTTGTAGTATATCTTGTAGTATCTAAATGAAATCATGGTTTATGATTCCTCTATAAGCTCAGATTTATACTTTTCAACTGTTTTCACATAAAAATGAATGTAGAAGTGAAACTTAGAATGTGCACCATTTGAAAGCCAGAAATTCGCTAGATCTATTAGATATATATTTTTTGAAAAAGGAGCCCTAAGGAGATAATTAAGGATGATAACCAGTCAAAACAAATACCTCCTAACCTGTTAACTTCCTTTGTAGATTTAGAGATTTAGAGAACTGAAATCAGTGTTGTCATTTTCATGTAAGGTCCTGAGTGAAAGAGAATTGAACTTTGAACTCTATTGAGGTGCAGTCATAATACCTACATGTGAGGCTAGACAGCTGTAAGAATTATCTGTATCTCTAATCTCTATCTCCTGCCTATCTCTTTATCCAGCTAGTCTCTCCTGGGTGAACATATACCTAGCTTCTTTTATATAAGGACATTTATATCTGGGATAAATAGTTACTTTTGTTTTTCTTCAACTGAAATATTTGCCATCTGACTATTGATGTTCAGGCTGTCAGCTAATAAACTATGAAAAAATGGAGGCATGATAAAGACACTGTTCTTTTTATTATTTTTTTAAAAAATATATTTTATTGATTTTTTTTACAGGGAGGAAGGGAGAGGGATAGAGAGTTAGAAACATCAATGAGAGAGAAACATCACAAGGTACCTGCCCTTGACTGGAATCAAACCTGGGATCCTTCAGTCTGCAGGCCAACGCTCTATCCACTGAGCCAAAACGGTTAGGGCGATACTGTTCTTTTTAGCATCCAGTGTCTGAATGTCGTCCATGAAATATGAGTCATTTTTCAGCTCTGGCCCTTTGAGCTTTCCACCCACATCACCCCCTCTTACTGGCCTGTTCTTTGGTGTTCAAAAGTCCTGGTCTCGCACCCCCCATTCCTTGAGTTCTGTGCTTGGTGGAGCCACATCTGTTGGGTGCCACTCAGAACAATTGGACCCTGGGTGGGCTGGGCTTTGGTCTGCAGGGTCCAGAGGAGACAGTGCTAGACTTGAGAACCAAGGGGAGCCTGGGACAAACCCCCCACCTAATTCTTTATTTTAGGAACTGCCTAAGCAGTGACAGAGCCAGAACTCAAGTCTCCACACACTTAAGAATATCTTCCCATCAGACAGTCCACTAGCTGTCTGAATTCACAAGCTTTTTGTGCAAGTAAAAATCACAGCCGTTTGGCGCAAATATTGTGGCCACTCTAGACACAATGGCATTATCAATTTTAATTATCAACGGTCTTATCAAAGGACTGCAGAAAGGGGTCTCTCCCTGATAGTTTAATACTCCACTTAAAAGAAAGTGGTGTTTTTTTTTTTCTTCACGTCTTTTTATATTACTTTTGCAATTAATATAGATATCCTTTCATGCTTTGTATGTTGAATTAGCTGGGAGTGCTGAATGAAAAGCTCTTAATGATGAATTAAAGGAGTTCGGGTAAATTACTCTTCATAATAAAATATTAATGTTTCAAAAATTCAGTTAGCATGATAATCCAGATTCTGAATTTTTATTTTCAAGGTCTTTTCATATTTTATTCATGCTCCTTAACAAATGACAACCTTTAGGGAATTGGTCGTTAGGCTAGCTGTCCTAATTACTTTCTCTTCCTGCCAGTCATCTGATCAATCTCTGTGCTCCTCAATTTTACATTACTTGTCTTTATCCACAGAGTTTCAACCTTTGAAGTAAGGGAGTGAAGTAAATGAAGGGGCCTAAAATTTTCTTTAACCCTCTATACTGTTTCCCATTGTGCATTAATTAGATCTTTGAGTTTATAGACTAATTATAATAAAGTGAAACTACCAATTTGATCTATATATATAAAAGCCTAAGCAACTGTCTGATCATCTGACCATTCAGCCGGTAGCTATGATGCACACTGACCACCAGGAGGCAGACACGCAACGCAGGAGCTGCTGAGCTGTGGTGACTTGGCAGCTGCGGTTCTTGGGTGACCCACCGGGAATCAGAGGAGGGAGCCTGGTTCTGAGGGGCCTCACCCAAGAACCGCCCTCTTGCATCCAGGACCTCTCAGGGGATGTCAGAGATCTGGTCAGGGGATGTCAGAGGCCAGGCTAAAGGACCCCACTGGTGCACGAATCTGTGCACTGAGCCTCTAGTTGTATTATAACTGTAGGATGGGAACCTTCTCTCTTTGAAAGATAAGCTTTTAATTGAACAGGTCAACAGATCACTTGCTACCCATGTTTTAGGGCCAGCAAATCTATTTATTTTATTTATTTATTTAAAATATATTTTTATTTTTTTCAGAGCGGAAGGGAGAGGGGGAGAGAGATAGAAACATCAATGATGAGAGAGAAGCATTGACCGGCTGTCTCCTGCCCGCCCCTACTGGGGAACTGAGCCTGCAAACTGGACATGTGCCCTTAACTGGAATTGAGCCCTGGACCCTTTGGTCTGCAGGCCGATGCTCTGTCCACTGAGCCAAACCAGCTAAGGCCCAGCAATTCTATTGAATCACAGCAGCCCAGTTGCCTCAGTCTTTTTGCAAGGTAATTTCTGATGCTGTTGCTTCACCAACCAAAACAAAACAGGTTTTCTTCTTGAAAAAGCCATGCAGCTACAGAAATGAATATAGCATCCTATGTGATTAATGATTTATTTTCCACCGGAAGCTGTTTCAAATGTTATTTTCTTAAATACTTGGGGAAAAAGTCTCAATGTATTTTATGAAAGCACGAAAATAGCCAGTTTCTATGACTGCTGCATTGTCAATGTCTGTTCAGCTTATATGGAGGAGGGTGTCTTACTTAAGTATAGAAAAAATAACTGTCAGAAATTGCTGCATTTTTGAGTAATTTGAAAGCATGTAAAAGGAAGTAATGACGGAGTAAAGCAATTCATGCTTAATCCAGAAAAGATCCAGAAATGATATGGTGAAGAGATCTTGTGTGATTATTTTTATCTTGTGAAATACTCCTTATTCCTGTAAACAAGAATGTTGTGCCTTTATTCCTTATTAGATGCACAGAAATGTCTCATCCTTGTCATTCAACTCTTTGCATTCCTCAGTTCCACTTATGCATCCAGTGTTAGAATGAAGTTATATTTGAAAAGTATGGATGGACCTGGAGAGCATTATGCTCAGTGAAATAAGCCAGTCAGAGAAAGACAAGTGCCATTTGATTTCACTCATCTGTGGAATATAATGAATAAAATTAACAAGCAAAATACAGACTGATTCATAGATAGAGAGCAGGCCAACAGCTGTTGGAGGGGTGGGGGTTAAGGAGCTGGAGGGGCAGAGGGACTGAGCAAAAAAGAAAAAATAGAGAGAAAAAACGCATGACACAGACAACAGTGTAGTGATTGGGGAGATGGAGGAGTGTGTAAGGGGGATAAATGGTGATGGATGGAGACCTGACTTGGGGTGGTGAACACACATACAGTGTATAGATGATGTGCTATAGAATTGTGCATGTGAAACCTGTATAATTTTGTTAACCAGTGTCACTCCAATCCTACATAATCCTATATAATAAAGAGGTAATATGCAAATTGACCATTATGCCCTTGCACAAGATGGCTGCCCCCATGTGGTCAAAGATGGCCACCAAAAGATGGCCAGCAGGGGAGAGCAGTTAGGGGCGACCAGGCCAGCAGGGGAGGGCAGTTGGGAGCACCCAGGCCGGCAAGCGAGCAGTTAGGCATTGATCAGGCTAGCAGGGGAATGTTTAGGGGGTGATCAGGCTGGCAGGCAGAAGCGGTTAGGGGCAATCAGGCAGGCAGTGCAGGCAAGCGGTTGGGAGGCAGCAGTCCTGGATTGTGAGAGGGGTGTCTGACTGCCAATTTAGGCCTGATGTGGGATCGGACCTAAACCAGCAGTTGGACATCCCTTGAGGGGTCCCAGATTTGGAGAGGGTGCAAGCTAGGCTGAGGGACACCCCCTCCCAGTGCACAAATTTCATGTACTGGGCCTCTAGTAAATTCAATAAAAAGGAAAACAATCCCCCCCACCCCCCCCCAAAAAAATAAAAATAAACCATTGGTAAGATAGTATTTCATTTGGAAATATGAAAGAGCCTAGGGACATTTTTGATGTCTAGACATCATCAGCTCATTTTTTAGATGTTCTAAAGAAATTTAGAGGGTTCCCCAAACAGATTCTACCTTCTCTCTATCTTATATTGCCTTTCTCTTTGTTCTGGAACAGATGTTATATTGTTATCAGACAATGATGCTGCTTTTCTAGGTCCATTACCTGGGATGCAGTCTTTCCTGATAACTCACACTTTGCTATAAAAATCTTCGACTTCCCCTAATCCTCCATTCCAAGCCACTTCATTTTTTCCTATTATTAAAATCCTAAATATTTCGAAGAAATTCTCTCAGGTAGATATGACTTAAATAATACTGAGGCCTGAGTGTAGCCTCTCGTGCGCTTCATAATCTCGCTATGCCCTTGAGGACTACTTTGTGTGTTTTGCTCTTTTTAATATTTAGACAACAGGGATGTCCGTTTCCTTTGTCATTCAGAAAGATGTAATATTTTTTGTGTGACCTTCTGGTATGATTTTTGGAACAAGATGTATTGCAAGTACATTGCTTGCTTTTTTTAGGAAGCATGTTAGATTATCATTTTGTTTAAACATAACTATTTAAAAGTAATCTAATCACCTGTCCTAGGAATGAAGATATTCACGTTTGACTGAAAATGTTCCATTAGCATGTTTTAAAAAGTGTGACTATTTGGCTTTCTTGCTTTCAGGTGGGTTGGTCACTTCTATGCAAATTAATAGAAATCTGTCCAGATACAATGCAAAGCTTAACGGGACCCCAGGACATTGGATGCGATTGGGAAGTCCTTGGTATTCACCAGTAAGTATGACAGATGTGTCAAAAACTGCATTAAATATTTCTCTATACATATGACAACCCTTTTCTTGATACATTGTATTTGTAATCCAAGTCAATCTAGTAAAATTACTTAAAATACAAGGTTATTTATTTCTTGAATCAATGATTTACTTTTTTTGGCTTAATCCTCACCTGAGGATTTTTTTCCCATTGATTTTTTTTAGAGAGAGTGGAAGGGAGGGAGGGAGAGAGGGCGGGAGGGAAGGAGGGAGAGAGAGAGAGACATGGATGTGAGAGGGACACATTGATTGGTTGCCTCCCACACATGCCCCAACGGGGGCTGGGGATTGAACCTGCAATCCTGGTATGTGCCCTTGACTAGGAATCGAACCCGAGATCTTTCAGTGGGGCTTATGCTCTAACCACTGGGAGGCATTGGCCAGGGCATCAATGATTTACACTTATAGAGAGCTTTCAGCTCAGAAGTATATTATCTAATTGAATAAGAAAACTAATATTTGAGGTAAAATGTCAGGAGTTATTTTAATAAAATAAGCAATACAGTTGTACAATTGGTTAAGTTGTACAATTTTGATGACTACTTATGAATTCAAACCAAGAGACTTTTTTTTTTTTACTTTTAAATTATAGAACTGATACAAACCATTAGTTTTTAAAAAGAGGAAAATGAAAAGTTAGTTGTTTGAACAGTAATTTAGAAGTTTATGCTTTACTGTTTTTAAGAAGTACATTTATGTATGCTCATACATATATATTTAATGAGCTAAAACTGCAGCTTTCAAAATGAAAGAAGAAATTACCTTGCAGCACATCTGCAGCTTATCTTGATAGCTGTTTTACCAGCCATGTTATTGCAGTTTGCATCATAATTACTTTGTAGATGAAATCACTTGTTTAGCCATAATTAGTTAAGAAAAAATGTTCCCAAGGAAAATCTGTTTCCAGGAAAATTCCTTTTGGATAACTTTGTTTTGTGACATTTAAAAACTATGTCCTGTCATTAACTTTTGTGTTCTTTGTTCTTAATGGGACTTTCCTTTCGCATAGAGAACTGAACACATATTGTTCCCAATGGCATTTTGTTTGTGAAAAATGTAATATATGCAAAATGAAATTTTACATCTTTGTGTTGTTTATTGGTATCAGCGATAGCTGCAAATTTAGAAAAATAAGAGCTATTTGTTCACTCATTCATGCAGTCACTCATTCACTCATTTGATCATTCATTCATTTACCCTTCATTCATCAATTGTTTATTACACTCCTTCTTTAGGCAAGAAGTGTGAAGAAGATAGACACTGCTCTCTACAGTGGAGCATATTAGATTATTCCCTGCAAAAGTTTATTGTAAAACATTTCTCCCTATATTCAAGGATTTCCCCCCACCCCCCCAAAGGCTTACAGTACTGAAGAAGAAATCCCTTGGATGGTGAAGTTCTGAATAGAGGGAATGCTGTAGGGAGAGGTAGGGGTAGCGTGGATAGGAGGAGAATCCACAGTGTTGAAGTATGGGGTCACTCACTTTCTCACCTCACCAACTGGAGACCATGTAACAAGTTTCTTGGATCTAAAATGAAGCTATGGATGCTACCTAACAATGGAAAGCCAAGCAGTGCTGGGTGGGAATAGACTAATGATTGCATATTTAAAATTGATAACTCAGAGACTCAAATTTAATAAATACTAATTGAATATTACTGATATCCTAGGTTCACTTTCTCTTGTAAAATATTATCAATTTCTTTTTCAAAAATAGACCTTTTAAATTATAGACCTAATATAAACCACTAGTTTTTTGAATATCAATAATTTATATATTCAAAGGATTCTTAATTTATATACACAAACTAACATCTTTATAACATCTCTCTATATTTTAAGACATCAATATGCATTACATGTATTTCATAAGTTTATATAATATAAAAATGGGCTTGATCTCTTGATGCATATAAATCTTCATATCTTAGATATAGAAAATCATTAATAATTAAATTTGAATATTTTGAGGAAGAAGTTATAACTTGTATATTGAGACTCATAATGGTTCCCTGTTGAATTGTCATAAGCCTGGCTCAGGTTTATAGGAAGAAAAAAATACATGAACTTCAGTATAGGGAATGAAATACAATGAGATGAATAAAATATAGGTGAATAAAAACAATAGCTAAAAAAAGCAAATATCTGGGCATTATATTTCTCTGATCTCAATTTCTCTTTAATTACAGACTGATTATTAAAATGCTTACAGTTCATAATGCCAGTATAAACCTTTCAATGGTTGGACTGAAGGCCTTAGATCTCCTTCTAACTTCAGGTAATATATACACATATATTTTTAATATTGCTTATTTAACAAATATTTTAAACCATTTGCTGTGTTTTAATGTTTAAAAGTATAATAAAATAATATAACCTAAATATTGATGATCCCCAAATTCTTTGTTTCCATTTTTCTTTCCTTATCTCTTTTTCTCTAACCTTTTCTGTCAAATCCCACATAATATCTTGGCTTTTAATATTACCTTATATAGAACTATACCCCAATTTATATATCTAGCCTCAGCTTGACTCCTAAAATCTGGTTTTACATCTCATATTCCCATTAGCTTGTGGTCCAAACAGATCCTTGTCATTATTATATCTTTCTTCGTTATATCTTTAGTATCCTATCTAATAAAAGAGAAACATGGTAATTGGCGTACAACTGCTACCCTTTCCATTGGCTAATCAGGGCAATATGCAAATTAATTGCCAACCAAGATGGCGGCCGGCAGCCAGGCAGCTTGAAACTAACATGAGGCTTGCTTGCTTCAGTGACGGAGGACTCCAACGTTCCCCACCTGCCGCTGCAGGCCTTTGAGCTGCAACTCTAAACAACTATGTAACAAATATAGAAGCTAAAGAAAACCCCAGAAACCTGTTTTAGTCCGCCGGGCTTCAGCCAGCAGGATCGCAACATTGCAAGCAAAGGCCAGAAACCTACTTTCAGCAGCGGAGGCCTAAGAGCTGGAGCCAAGCCTCAGAGCTAAAGCTGGCCCAGAATAAAAAAAGAAAAAAGAAAAAAAGGAGTGGTTGGGAGCTTCAGTCACCCCCAGCCTGAAAACAGCCCTCAGCCCCTCACCCAGACTGGCCAGGCACCCCAGTGGGGACCCCCGCCCTAAAGGGTGTATGACCAGCTACAAACAGCCATCATCCCCTCACCCAGGCTGGCCAGGCACTCTAGTGGGGACCCCCACCCTGATCCAGGACACCCTTCAGGGCAAACCAGCCGGCACCCACCCGTGCACCAGGCCTCTACCCTATATAGTAAAAGGGTAATATGCCTCCCAGCACCAGGATCAGCGGAGCCGCGAGGCCTCCCGGCACCGGGATCAGCGTGATAGGGGGCAGCGCCCAAACCCCCTGATCGCCCAGTGGCTCTGTGTGTGACAGGGGGCGGGGCCACAACCTCCCTATTGGCCCTGCTCTGTTCGTGACAGGGGAAGGCGCCCCAACCCCCTGATCAGCCCTGCTCTGTGCCTTATAGGGGGGAGCTCCCAACCCCCTGATCGCCCTGCGGCTCTGTGTGTGACAGGGTGCGGCTCCCCAAGCCCCCCACCCCACAGGCCCTGCTCTATGTGTGATGGGGTAGAGCCATAATCTCCCCATCGGCCCTGCCCTGAGTGTGAGAGTGGTGGCGCCCCAACCCCCTGATCAGCCCTGCTCTGTGGGTGATAGAGGGCGGCGCCCCAATCCCCTGATGGGCCCTGCTCTGTGCATGACAGGGGGCAGCGCCCCAACCCCCTGATTGGCTATGCTCTGTGCGTGACAGGGTACAGAGCCCCAACCCCCCTAATGGGCCCTGCTCTGTGAGTGACCGGGGGCAGTGCCCCAACCCCCTGATTGGCCCTGCTCTGTGCGTCACAGGGGGTGGTGCTGCAACCTCCCCATCGACCCTGCTCTGTGCATGACGGGGCGGCGCCCCAACTCCCCAATCGGCCCTGCTCTGAGCCCGACCAGTGGCTGCACCTAGGGATGGAGCCTGCCCTCTGCCACCCGGGAGCAGGCCTAAGCCAGCAGGTCATTATCTCCTGAGGGGTCCCAGACTGCGAGAGGGCACAGGCCAGGCTGAGGGACCCCTCTCCCCTCCGAGTGCATACATTTTTGTGCACTGGGCCTCTAGTATTTTATATAATACTAGAGGCCTGATGCATGAAATTAATGCACGGGGGAGGGGTGTTTCCTCAGCCCAGCCTGCACCCTCTCCAATCCGGGACCCCTTGGGGGATGTCCAGCTGCCGGTTTAGGCCTGATGAGTTGGACATCCCTCTCACAATCCAGGACCGCTGGTTCCTAACTGCTCACCTGCCTGCCTGCCTGATCACCCCTAACTGCCTCCCCTGACAGCCTGATTGCCCCTAACTGCCCCCCCTGCTGGCCTGGTAGCCCCAACTGCCCCCCTCTGATGGCCTGGTCACCCCTAACTCCCCCCCTGTGCTGGCCTGTTCACACTTACTGCCTCCCCACCCCCGCTGGCCTGGTTTCCCCTTAATGCCCCCTCAGCCAGCATGATCACCCCCAACTGCCCCCCTCTGCCAGCCTGGTTGTCCCTTACTGCCCCCCGGCTGGCCTGGTGGCCCCCACTGTCCCCCTGCTGGCCGGGTTGCCCCCAAATCCCCCTCTGCTGGCCTGGTCACCCCAAACTGCCCCTCCACCAGCCTGGTAGCCTCCAATTGCCCCCTCCTGCTAACCTGGTTGCCCCACAGAGCCTGCTGTTCAGTGGTTTGGTCGTCCCTCACTAACCCCCCTGCCTGCCTGGTTGCCCTCTGCAGCCTACTGTTCAGTCCTTTGGTCATTCCTCACTAACCCCCTGCAGGCCTGGTCGCCCCACGAAGCCTGCTATTTGGTCGTCCATCTGGTTGTTTCGGTTGTAACGGCCCCTGGGTCTTTATATATTAAGATAATATCTATAATAATAAAAGCATAATATGCTAATTAGATCAGACGTCCTTCCGGATGACCTTCTGGATGAAGCCGAGGCTGCAAGGGAAGCCTGGGCCCTGGGTGCCTGCTGGCGGCCAGAGGGAAGCCCAGGTCCCAGGTGCTGGAGGGAAGCCTGGGTCCCGGGTGTCAGAGGGAAGCCGGTGCCGGCAGCCAAGGGACGAAAGGCTTACTCTTGCATGAATTTCGTGCATCGGGCATATAATATAATATAATATAATATAATATAATATAATATAATATAATTAATATATATTTTTAGAATATGACATAATAGTAATATTTAAAAAATATATAGCATTACTTCTTGAGTGCTTGATAGATGCCATGTTTCACTTGTAAAATACTTCACATGGCTTTGAAAACATAATCCTCAAAACATCTCTTGAGATAGGTGCTTTATCTCAGTTTTCTAGGAAAGGAACACTGAATCACAGAGAGGTTGCCTCATCCCGTAACAGAATTAGGGTCTGGTTCCACATGTCAGGTTCTTTCCCTGAGGAAACTTCTGTCCGGATCAGAAAACAAAGACTCTTCATATTTTGAAATAGTTGTGCTCATTGCTGTGATGGATGCCTGCTCTGATAGAAGGTTCTCAGAAGAAAGGCTGCGTACAGGAAAGTGAATCAGGAAGGGTAGGGAGGCATTTCCTTCCAAGTGGTGGAGGGTACTGTAGGTCAGGAGAGCAGCAGGGGCAGAGTTGAGAGGTCTATGAGGATAGCACGGTAGGGGCTGGACCCATGGGTCGGACTCCCTTAGTCATGAGGACCCAAAAGGAGAGGGAAAGGAACAAAGAAGGTAAAGATCAGAGTGCAAGGGAAGAGGGAGAGGAAAGGCCAGAATGTACTCACCACTTCACCACAACCTTTTATTAAAATGTATAATGGGACCTTCTAACGAATCTCAGCCATGATTTATTTTGAACTCATCCTTGGGAGCTTTTTTTTTTTTTTTTTTTTTTTTTTTTTTTGAGGGGAGAGGAGTCATTCTCTATTTGGCAGTGGACAGGAAGCTGCTGAGGGTTTATGTATTTAAAAAATCTACCAACACTGGATTATATAGCAGTGTGTGCAGCCATGTGTTTTGAAAAGACTAGTCAATTTAATTTCTTCCACATAACTTTCATAATTTTGCCCTGTAAGGCAAGTTTTTAATGTGTTTTAAAGTTTATCCCAGATACTTATTGAAGGTTAATTTATGAATCATTTTTATTGGTTGGCTTATTAGTTAGTTGATTTAATAGTTACTGGGTGCTTCCTTTGTGCTGGAGAACTGCAAGAGAGATAAGGCAGGATTCCTACAACATAGAAATATTGGACAGCTCAGCACCACTGTCTAGTATTACATTTTGAAATGAAGGAAATGTTGAATATCTATACTTTATGATATCATGGCCATATGGTAGCTGTGGAACATCTAGAGTGTGAGAAACTGAATTTTAATTTTATTTAATTTTAATTAATTTAGAGTTGAAAAGCTAGATGTGCTTAGTGGGTACCAAACGGACAGCACAGGCAGAGGCATCAAGGGTATTTAAATAAATAATTTCAATTTATTAAGAAAAGTACTACAACATGGCTATGAAGAAAACCAGCATAGGAATACAGAGAAGAGAGTGCTGAACTCATTTGTAGAAGTTAAGACCATGGACAGGAACAAGTTTAATCCAGCCCTGCCTCTTATTAGTTGTTGAACCTTGAGCAAAGTCACTCTGCTGATTTACCTCTCAAGTTTCTTCAGTTTTCTTATCTCTCAAATGGGGATTGCCCCTACCTTGTGGGGCTGTGGTGGATTTACACGTGGTAGCAGGAAGTGCTTCAACCCGTATCCAACATGCTATGTACTATACAGGGTTTGCTACTACGACCACCGCTTTCATTCCAGGACTACTGTTTTCATTGACAGAATAGGTATTGTTAGTGTTATTTCTTAAATTATGGTAGGAGCATGTTGGTGATGGGAAAGGGCACGGAACTAGTGCAAGTGCAGAGGGATATCAAAGAAAATGTTTAGTGATCAGTAAGGAGTTTAGCATGTTTCGAATCAACAATGCATGGAGAGACATGGGGCTTATGAAATAAAGCAGCCAGCAGTCAGTTTGTGAAGAGTCTTGTTTGTCAGACTGAAGGGTATGATAAGGCCTTCGACAGTTTCAGCAAGAGGTTTACTGAATACCTTCCCTTTGATAAGGTAAGATAGTTATTTAAAGGGCCACTATGCATGACATAATTGAATTGTTAGTTCCTGGTTCTGTAGGTTTATAGTTGAAGCTCTATATGTCTATTTCCATTTCTGTTTCAAAACATCACATGACATAAGGAGAAGTACCAGAGGATATTAAGATCTTTTTCAATAGAAAGTATTAGAAATATCATTCAAGGAATAAATTAAGTAAAAATTTGGGCCAGGCCCAGCAATTAAGCAATTGTATTTGCATTCCAGGTGAGAGATGATGAGGTCCTGAACACAATAGGCATGGAGGGGCCTAGATCATAAGAAATTTTCAAGATATTTAGCAGATAGATTCAAAGGACTTGGTAATGAGTTGATTGTTTGGTTGGGCAGAGTATGAAGAGAATGTGAAGAAGGAAGATGACCTGGTGGTTTCTCTCTTGGGTAACTACTGGGTGATGGTATCATTGATGAAGATAGGGAACAGGAGTAGCCTATGTTTGGGGTATTCAAATAGTGTTGTCTAAGAGGCAGATAGAAATATGTTTCAGGAATTGAAGGCAAGATGTCTTGGCTACAGGTATATAGAGCTTGATAGGTCTAACATCTGGGGCAAGATTGTGGTTTATCAAAAATAAAAAGCCCACAAACCATTTGTAGTCCTCATGTTAAAATTAACACATTAAATGTTAAAGCAGCTGTTTACTTGGGACATATTGTTCTTTTCATTATAGGTAAAATCACTTTGCTGATATTGGATGAAGACAGCGATATTTTCTTATTAATTTTTGATGCCATGAAAAAGTTTTCAGCCAATGACGAGGTCCAGAAACTTGGATGCAAAGCTTTACATGTGCTATTTGAGAGAGGTATTTTAATATGTCAAATTCTTTATTTTTATATTTATATAAGAGATTTATATAAGAAAAAGAGGTTTATAATGGGAAAAGTAGAACATAATTATGATACCAAGAAGGTTATGTACTATTTATTCAGAGGTAGGCGTTATCAGTCTTGGATGAGTAATGGTGTTCATTCAGAAATATTGCTTGCTTTTGTGGAATGAATTTTATTCATGGGCTATAAATTATGTAATCATAGTACATTTTCTTCCATTGCTTAACAAGACATAAGGTTCACTTTGCAAACCAAATGTGTAGGTGTTAAGAAAGAAAAAATAAAACTGAAGACAAGCATAGGTTAAATTTGGGTTTATGACGTTGAGTCGTCACCGGAGATTTTAGAAATTGGTAACAGCTCTGCATTACAGACTCAGGAGGTTTGCAAAGTGCCCCTTAGGAAAAAGCCCAATATGTTTTTTTTATCAGATGGCACTGAGATTGATAACAGAAATTATCATGTAATTTTAGAGTTGTTCGGATCCTTCCATCCTTTCACTGGCCGGATGGGGAAATGGATCAGGTGAAGTGAGCAACCTGCCTGAGGGCACACAGCTAGCTGCCACCATTGCAGTTCAATTTACCACTATATTTTGAGAGCAGCTTTTGCATCATTATGAGAGCTGACTGTGCTGGGGGTTTAGGATGAGAATAATTTATGTGGGCCCTGTGTCCTTATCAGTTTACCACTCTAGTGTCTGGCAGCTCCAGGAGTAGGATAGATCGCCTTATACTGTTGAATTCCAGCTCATTCCAGAAGGACTTTAAACAGCACATAGATATTTATACATACTAGAGAAAAAAATGATGAGGAAATGGGTGAAGGGAAGATGATAAGAAAATGATAGGTTCAATTTACTACCTACCTCAGGTCCTGTGCATTTGCAAATTATTGGACCAGAAATTTGGCTCTTTGCTTCCTATCTGGCAAAGAAAAGAGGTAAACATCATTGGTTACAAATTTACTTGAGATAAAAGAAAACTCACTTATGAGGACAGGCAATGGGTCTCATGAGAGAGCTGAGAAATCACCCCAAAGGTTTCCTTGGATGAGATAATAAAGTACACACAATCTGCAAGGAATACAAAATGTATTTCATTGAAAGACACTCTGTCAAGAGTCAGAGCAGCATGGGCCTGCTAGATGATCATACTTGGGGAGAAGAATTTGCTGTGAGTAATGAATGGAAGAACTGCATGTCTTTTGGGCTATCTTCGATAAATGTTTTATCTTGCAGCGAGGCTCTTGTGAAGAATTGGGCAAAGTACAGTTTGAGGTTTCATTGTCTTACAGGGCCTCCAGTCTTCTGTGTTAGGGGCATATTCTTCCTCAGGGAAGGGCTAACATCACACTCACCAGTGTGTGGGACCCATCCATGACATATGGAGAAGCACCAGGGAAGGTCAAGATCTTATTCAGTAGAGAGTTCGACAGTGCTGACAGTATTATGGTTGTCAGTGTAGAGTAGGAAAATTGCTAAATTTTCCAAGGAGTATCTCCAGGACGTAGTGGCTGGAAAGTTACTTTTCAGAATTTGAAAGTATGCTGTGGAATCTGCTCCACAAAATGAAAGGCTCATGATCCTTACTAGAAGAACCCAATTTCACATTATATTATATGGGCCATTGGTAAAAAGCTGAAAAACAAAAAGTGATACCGATCACGAAGAGTGCTGCATTTTCTGACATTTTTGCCAGTGCTTTGCTCAGTCTGGATAAATCAGATTTTTGTACATGTGCTTGAAGTTCTCATCCAATAAAACAACTCTAAATGGGACTCATTGGCTTGATCAAGAGACTTTTATTATGAAAATTAATGATAATTTTTGATTGCTGATGAAATCAAGACCATTAAGACAGAGCGTTTGAAAGTCTAATTACTTGTCATTTGCTGATGTGCATTCCTCTTGAACTGATAGATTTAGCTGAGCTGTCCTTCAGCAGTTACAGTTAACCACTCCCTTTTCAGTATTGTGGTATGTTTACTTCCCATAGGTTATCTTTATTAGTCATTGGTCAGGATTCTCCCAAATCCCCCAAATGGAACTGTAAATAATTTTGTTTTTCTGAGAACTGATGACTAATACTCTTACATTTGAAATCGTGGAGAAACTAATATAGGTCAAAAAAAATTATTTTAATCTCAATAGTTCTTTCTCCACTATAAAATTTTAGGAAGGGCCCTGGCTGGTTTGGCTCAGTGGATATAGTGTCGGCCTGTGAGCTGGGGGGTCCCAGGTTCAATTCTGGTCAAGGGCACATGCCCGGGTTGTGGGCTCGATCCCCAGTCGGGGACTTACAGGAGGCAGCTGGTCCATGATTCTCTCTCATCATGGATGTTTCTATCTCTTTCTCTCTTCCTTCCTCTCTGAAATCAATGAAATATATTTAAAAAAATTTAGGAAGGGCTTTTTGCTGATATATATAAACATATCTCTATTGTATTTATTGTGTCTCGCACAACTATCATGAATATTATATTTTTGATTAATTAAAAATTTCATGTCATCTTTAAGCTTTTTCAGTATTTTGCCTTTCATTTTTTAGTTTCAGAGGAGCAACTGACTGAATTTGTCGAGAATAAAGATTATATGATATTGCTAACTGCGTTAAAAAACTTTAAAGATGAGGAGGAAATTGTGCTTTACGTACTGCGCTGTTTACATTCCCTAGCAAGTCCTTGTAAGTAGCCTATGTACATGATTTCTTTTTGTGTGTGTGAACAATTACAATATATTTTTTCCTGAGTGTGTTTTAAAAATATTTTTATTATTTAGAAACTTGTGGATGCTGAACCCATTCATTTATTTATTCATTTAATTGGTTTTTATTTATTGATGCTGTACTGGAGTTGGCTCTGGGCTTGGTATTGGGAAAACTGTTAGTAGAAAATATAAACATATTTATTGCCTTTTTGGAGCCCATAGTACTATGGGAGATACAGATAAATACATAGGTGACTGTGATGTATTATAAGGCAAGAGTTGGCCCAAGTACCTTGGATTAGGAGAACAAACAGTGCATGAGGCATGATCTCTCAACAAAGACTTGAATGATGAGAAGAGCTTTTTTTGTGTGTAGGGAGGTGGAAGTGTAGGTAAAGTGGCCCAGAGAGGGGGCATGATAAGTATAAAGATGCCAGAGCAAGAGAGAGCACAGTGCATTTAAGAAGATAAAAGTAGCTCAGTAAACTGTGTGTTTCAGAGTGTGTATGTGTGTGTGTGCATGCATGTGTGTGCATGTGTGTGTGTATGCACATGCACAGCCCCAAGTGTGTGTTCGGGTGTCATTTAATGGAGGTGGTGGCAGGGCTTGATAAGAGTCAGTGGATGAGAATAGAGACATAGCAAGATCTTAAAGGACCCAAACAGCCACAGGAAGGAGTTTAAACTTTGTTGTGATCTTGTTTAGCATTTTTTGATGTTTTGAAATCACAAAAAAGTACAGATAAAAAATTAATCTGCTGTGGATGCTGCCAGTGATTGTCAATGGGTTCAGATAATGCTTCAGATTCTGTTACTTTTATACGTGCATGAGCATTTTGTATTTCAGGTATTATCTGGGAGGGTTTATCCAGGACATACACATGCATTTATTTAGTAATACTTTCATCTTCACATGAGATTAAATGGGTTAAATGATGTGAAAAAATGCAGACTAGTCTCTGTTATGTAATGTGTTATAAAAACATTGACCATATTATTACCTAATTTGTATTTCACATATATGGTATTGTACATAAATATGCACACATGGTTTCAGACATGGAAATCTGCAGGTCTGAGACTTCAGTAAAAACCCCGGTCCCTTGTGAAAGAAAGCCCTTTCTTTGTGATGGTTTTAAAATCCATCATTTTTTTTTTTATCCCCAGGAAATTAACCACTTGGAAGTAGATGGGACTGAGCAATAATAGATAATGGACATACTTTTAGATTTCTCTGAGTCATCCACTGTCAACAAACTGAATATATTCTTAATTTTACTTTTCCTTGGCTATATTTATACATTTATTTATCTACCAGAGGCCCGATGCACAAAATTCATACAAGAGTAGACCTTCCTTCCCCTGGCTGCTGGCACTGACTTCCCTCTGGCACCCAGAACCTGGGCTTCCCTCGCAGTCCCAGCTTCGTCGGAAGTACATCCGGTCTAATTAGCATATTATTAGCATATTATGCTTTTATTAGTATAGGTTTGGGGCTGGCTGCTTTTGAAATTCATTGTTTCCCACCCACATCTGCTATAACCCAGGGAAAATGTGTTGATTCATAATGTAAAGGTCAAAGAAAGTAGCAAATTTAAACAGTCAGTGTTTTGAACACTGATGGTACTTGGAAGACATTTACCATTGAGTCATAGAGAAAATCATGTCTGCTATTCTGAGTAAATGCAGAAAATTGTTTTAAGAGGCCGTTTTTCTTTCATTTTAACATGTTTTTCCATATTTAACATTTTTAGTACAACTTAAACATAAAAATGTATTTTTTAGGAAAATGGTTAGTTTGGCTATGCTGAAAAAGAAATAAAAATACTTTGCAAACATCTTTTTGTTGTTTTAATAATAGTCAACATTTCATTCAGCCATGTAGTTTTTTCCATATAGGTTCTGCTCGCACACTCCCTCTCTCTGTTAATTAACTGCCTTTCCCAGTGGATTCTTTCCTTCCTTTCTGTTCACCAGTGTTTGGCCCTTAGCCATATAGTTTAGTATGCTGCCTCTCCTCCCTGTCCCCCACCTTTTGTTGCCTTGCACACTGGCTGTTCTGCTCCCCTTCTGGAATGGACAGAAAATTGCTCTTAGCTGACTTTAACCTTTTAATTATGGAATGGAATCTTCATTTTTCTTTTGTTGATTTGAGGAAAAGGAACAATTAAAAGACTTTATCTGATATACTAGTGCCTCATTAGGGAATAGGCCCTAAATTCACTTATTGGAACATTTATGGCCAAGGCATTATATTTTTATGTAATAATGATATTTTTATACTTATATAAAAACACTCTCAATTTCCCCTTTATCTTGTTTAAGTTTTTAAGCCAAGAAACAGCAATAAAGCAACTTTCCTTTAATGCTAGAGATGAATCCTAAATCCTATTATATTTGCAATGAACAGCATAGTATTTTTATAGCTATTTGACAAAGCACGGTATTTAAATTTGGAAATGTAGCCATTATGCTGCCAGAGATTTACAGTAAGAAGTCTTTGTATGTGTATTTATGAGGGACAATTCTTACCTTAATGACGATTAGGATTTCTCTAAATTTAGGCAACAATGTTGAAGTCCTCATGAGTGGCAACGTCAGGTGTTACAACATTGTGGTAGAAGCCATGAAAGCATTCCCTGTCAATGAAAAAATTCAAGAAGTGAGTTGCTGCTTGCTCCATAGACTTACGTTAGGTGAGTTATAATTCTTGGTTCATTTATTATCACAGTCTCTATGATGTAAGTATATATAGCATATGTATATTTTATTCTGACATATATTAGATGGAAATACTGTAAAATTGTAAACTGTCCTGTCATGCTTAGGAGGAATTTTAAAAGGAGTGGCAAAAAATAGATGTGGGTAAGAGAAGTCTTATTGTTAGTGCGATATTTAAAGTGTCATTATGTAAATAGTTCACGTATAAAGAATGAGAATAATATGCAGAAAATGTGAAGCACTAGGCAGAAGGACTCTCCAGTCAACTTGGATGTTAGTACATTGCCAGTTTGATAAAAGCTACTCTGGGCTCTTTCTTTCTCTGCTTTCTCTACAGAGGTTAACACTATCCAGAATTTTGTGTTGAAATATTTTTGGTTTCTTTAATCATTAATCCATAGCTATCATGTGTTTTGTATCTGAGAATTCCAATATAAGAAGTTCTTGGGAGTTTAACCTTAGTGCTTCTGTGCTGCCAGTCTGTCACAGTCGTCTTCCTGTATGCTTGTGAGCATCTCTGACTGAGCTTAATCTCTGCAAATACTGTGGATCTAAGTTACAGATCCTCAGGACTTGCAGGAGTTAGGGCACAGGACTGATCTAGGAGCACTTCAGAATTGTTTTAAGGTCCCAGCTGGATGTGGGGGACTCTGGTCGAGCTACCCTACCTTGGAGAGAGTCTGGGGCTAGTCCGTTGATCTGAGTGACCCATACTTTCCTACAAGGCTACCCTGGCTAGTCCATTTCCCTTCACCTCACAGCCCTTGTTTCAACTTCCTGTTGAACCTCCCTGCCCCACTTCCTTTTATTTAGAGGAAATAAATCTGATGTTGGAATTTAGAGGAAATAAAGGAGTGGGGCAACTTCCTGTTGAACCTCCCAGCCCCACTCCTCCCCAACCCATCTTCAGGATCATTTAAAGCAGGGGTCCTCAAACTTTTAAACAGGGGGCCAGTTCACTGTCCCTCAGACTGTTGGAGGGCCGGACTATAGTTTTAAAAAAAAACTATGAACAAATTCCTATGCACACTGCACATGTCTTATTTTGAAGTAAAAAAACAAAACAGGAACAAATACAATATTTGTATTTGCATGTGGCTGTAGTTTGAGGACCCCTGATTTAAAGGATCAATAAAACAACAATATTATATATAAGAAATGACTTTGGAAACTATGAAATAAAAGTTCAAATATTAAGACATGTTACCACATCGCCATACCTACACATGAGGACCCAGTCAGCAAGTCTGTGTGTGCCACCCAAGATCACGTAGTGAATAAGTGGTGAAATCAGGCTGTGAGCTGGGATTTCTGCATCCCCTAAACAAAAGCATTTCTTCTAAGACGTAGTAGCCATTACTAGTTTATCGTTTTTTATCAGGTGAGATTTTTATTTATTATGTTTCATGAAGGTCATAATCTTCATGAAGATCTTGCTACATGATATTTGAGAGCATTTTAATGTAATTCCACTCTTCATTTCTTAAAATAGACAATTGATTACCATACTAACATACAATCCTCTATTTCATGTTCTGCAATTTACCAGTCAAGTTACAGCTTGCTCCACTTATATTACCAATCTGAGTTTACCTTAATCCCCGGTAATGAATCAGAGGAAGTGGTTTCACTGTTGGGCGTAGGGAAATGGTACTTGCTTACCAAATAGGTCTGTCATGGCACATGAAGGGTGCGCAGCATTATGCTATTGAAATTAAATGAACCAGAAAAAATAGCAAATCACTAAGTTTTGTGTTGTTCTGTAACTTTTTGAAAATAAAAAGCCATCAAATTTATCTTCAGATAAGGATGCATTTTTCTCTCTCATTGATTTCTCAACAGGTTTAGTATGTGTTCCATTTAAAAACTAGAGAATTTATTGTCTCTGTTATTGTTTCAAAAGAAGCTGGATAAAACTTTTAGCTTTCTCTTCATAATTAAAATAAAAACTCAAAGTCAAGATATAAATACTTAGCATTTTGTCAAATTATGTAATCTAATTAGGGGTTTAATACATTGAAAGCCTTATATAATTTACTATGTATTTTTACAGAAATTATCTGAAAATAAGATGGGGCCAGTCTTACTGGTATTTGCCCAGTCACAGAGCTGGCAGTGGCAGGGGAATAATAGTAGGGAGAAGAACCAAGTTTAGGTAAATGGATAAAAGTAGAAGAGAATCTTTTTAAAATGACTCCAAGACCAGAGATCACCAAGGGCTGGGAGCATGTCTGCTTAGTGGGTGCATCTGGAAGAGGCAGAACGTATGAGGGTATTGGTAACGAAGAGCTATGCCTAGTAAAACTACCTTTTGATTTTGAAAGCACTGGTTGCTCTCTAGCGTGTTTTAGGTGTTTTATTATATAGGATCTTTTCCAATTCTGGCTTTGTTTCTCAGGGATCATTTAATTACATTTATGGCTAAATAGGAGTGCCATTCTTACTTCTGCAAGGAAACCTGGCAACGGTTAGTGAATTACAAACAAGCTGAATGGAAAGAGGCACATCTTTCAGGAATTATCATTTATTTTTTCCTATTCAGGATTTAGATTTTTTGAATGATGTGTTGATTCTTGGAAGAATGAGTGTAAAAAGGTGGGGGACTTCTTCTGGGTTGGGTTAAAGTTGTTGAAATAGTTGCTTGGTTTTCTTCTGGGATTTCCACAGACAAGATCAAGTAATAAGTGTGCCAATGGATTTTCTTAGCAGTATTCCTTTAAGCGAAAGAAGGATGTTTCAGCAAAAGCATTTAATGACAAGGGAGGGCCTTAAACCCCCCCCCCCATCTTTCAGAAGACAGGAAAATTAAACTATTATGTACAATGAATATTGTAGAGCCATGTATAACAGACACCTCATTGTTTTCATATAATAATGGCATGAGAGGGAGTCAAAGAACACAAAGTTAATATCACCCAACCATATTAATTTTGCCCAGTCAGTTCCATTGCCTACATAAGATTATTGAATGACTGCATGAAATAAATTTTTAAAACTTAATGCCATCATATTAAGCTATTTTAATTAAGGTAAATGTATGTTTTAATGTCATGAAACTATTCACTACTTAAATTTACTGATTTAAATACTGTTAAATAATTAAAGTTAATTTAAGTTTCGTGAGTGAGAATACATCTAATATTTCACTTAACTTTCAGGTAATTTTTTTAATATCCTGGTATTAAACGAGGTGCATGAGTTTGTGGTGGAAGCTGTGCAGCGGTATTCAAAGAATGCAACGCTGCAAATCGCCGGGCTCAGCTGTTTAGCGCTCCTCAGTAAGTAACTTTACTAAAAAGGAAGTTCTTCCAGGTACATTTGATCCTGACTATTCACATTATAACAAGATAACATCATAACAAGAAAGTCATATGTAGAGAAGGACCCATTAAGCGCCCTTTCTGTCCTAATGTAATTCATTTTCCAGTAGAGGATACTTTCAAGGGGATTAACATTTCCCAAGCTCATACACCAGTACATCTTTGACTTGACTTTGTTATGGGGCAGCTAATCTTCATTAATCTTCCTCTAGTCCATTAGTTTTGTTTGATTTCCTCTTCCTCATTTGGCCAGTTAGCTAGATGGGATAGCAGTGTCATGAGGTGTGTGATATATTATTAAAAAGTTCTTTATAATTAACCAAAGCCGCTACTAATGAATACCTCACTATGTTTGTTTTGTTTCAAAATATGGACTTAGAGCTGGTTGTTCAAACTGTAAGTAAGACATATATTTATGTTCTTTTCAAGCTGAGACCATTTTTTTAAATCAAGACTTAGAGGTAAAGAATGAAAATGAGGAGAATGAAGATGATGAGGAAGAAGATAAATTGTTTTGGCTAGAAGCCTGTTACAAAGCCCTAACTTGGCATAGAAAGAACAAGCATGTGCAGGTTGGACTCCATAAATATTACAGTTATTCAAAATTGTTTGTTCAATGATTTATGTTTTGACAAGTTTTTTTTCTCCCCTCCCCTAACCCAGGAGGCTGCCTGCTGGGCCTTAAACAATCTCCTTATGTATCAGAACAGTTTGCACGAGAAGATTGGAGATGAAGATGGCCAGTCAGTTGTTTTGATTTTATATGTTTTAATTATATTTCTAATCAATGCATATAAAATACCATAACTGCGAATTTCATTGTTATATTTTTGATATAAGCACATATGTTTTAAGTCCCTTCACAAAATAGTAGTGGATATATAATATTGTGATCCCATTGCCTTCAGGAACTAGTAAAAGGTTGTGTGTTTGAGTTATTACTGTGACATTTGGAGTCAAGAGTCATTCAGTAAACTATGAATCATCAAGAAAGAACCTTATAATTTTATGGCTGTTCATTTAAAAATGCCATTTTAGCCTGGCTGGCGTGGCTCAGGGGTTGAGCATCCAGGAGTTCCTTGTTAGAGTCCTCCTAAGAGCAGGTGCCCAAGTTGCAGGCTCAATGCCCAGTAGAGGGCGTGCAGGAGGCAGCCGATCAATGATTCTCTCAATATTGATGTTTCTATCTCTCTCTCCCCCTCCCTTCTTTTCTGAGATCAACAATAATATATATTTTAAATAATGCCATTTTAAATAGTCTCAGGTGATAGAAATCGCAGTCACCTGTGACTTTTTCTGTTGCAGTGGCTAGCCAGCAGGTTGTCACTATCAGGAGTTAAATGTGTTTAGAAGACTCCTGTAATGATTCCCTACTTGATGTTGCAGTGTTGACCTGCCTTCTCCTGGGAGCATTATTTGTAGCTGATACCTCTTGAGGAGGCTTTCTATGGGAATGCTAGTCAAGCCTCATAAGACGGACCTTCTTTCCAAAGATACAAACTGTAAACAGGAGATCTGTGTATATCGGATTTGTATCAGGGCCACACCCATGTCTTGTGGCAGCTGCTTACACTTGTGCTGTTTGCTCTCAGTATTTAAATGACTTATCTTGGAAACTTAAATAGTAATATCCATTCCTTATAGCCCGTTTGCATAGTGACCCACTGCCAATTAGAATAGAACTAATAACACACTTGCTATTTAATTAAACATCTCTATTTTGAAAGGAAATGCTAATCCTGATTTACCTTGAGCAATCTTTCCAAGAGGTTTGGGTAAGGTAGATTCATGTTGCAGTTATAAATTTCACTTCATAGCACACTGATTTGTCAATAGCCATAGGAATCTTTAAAATAAATACATTGTTAAAAGAAAATACCTGTGCTCTGTATTTCAAAAACTCACACTGCTTCTTTACAATTTTTTGTTTTTCCTTTCTGGCTTCCATTATATCCTTTTTTTCATTTTATCCATTTTAATAGATAGATAGATAGATAGATTTTGGAGAGGAAGAGAGAGATAGAAACATCAATGATGAGAGAGAATCATTGATTAGCTGCCTCGTGCATGCCCCCTACTGGAGATCAAGCACGCAACCCAGGCATATGCCCTGACCGGGAATCGAACCTTGATCTCCTGGTTCATAGGTCAACGCTCAACCACTGAGCCACGCCAGCCAGGCTTTCTCTTTTAAATCTAACCACTTCTTCATAGATTTGCTAAGTCTTTTCCCTCTTCTACTGCTTATCAACTTTGAAGATAGAAATACTAATTTATTAGCATTTAATGGATTTAAATCTAACTTTTAAATACATATAAAAGTGATTACCCATAATTCACTCTTGTAAGTGGAAGTGATATAAAATATGTAGATGCCCTTGTATTTTGTTAGAGAGAGTAGAGAAGTGAATATTTGGGATCATGATTGGAAAGATTAACATTGTGGTTGAATTTGTGCAAGGTTCCCAGCTCATCGGGAAGTGATGCTCTCCATGCTGATGCATTCTTCGTCAAAAGAAGTCTTTCAGGCATCTGCAAACGCTTTGTGCACTCTCCTAGAACAAAATGGTAAGGGGCACACCATCGTTTTTTAATAAAAAGAAACACATTTTGTGTTTTTTACATTATAAAAGCAACACATTGTTAAAAATGTCATATGTATATATCTGATATAGATAGTAAGTATATACATGCATCATGTATATTATACATCTCTCTCTCTCTATATATATACATATCTGATATATAGGTAAAAAAATTAAGAAAATAAATACTTTGATGTGTTTCTTCTGGACTTCTCTGTATGTACTCACACATGATATAGACAAAATATTTCCTTTTTTTTTTTGCAGAAATGGGATCATATACTCTTATACAGACAAAGTGTACATTTTTTTTGTGTTGATAAATATAAATCCTTACATTTTCATTTTTTAATGCCTGGATAGTTTTCCAATGTATGCCTATATTCTATTTTATGAACCAGTTTCTTTTTTAAAAAATCTTTATTGTTGAGATTATTACAGATGTCCCTCTTTCTTCCCCCCATAGCTCCCCTCAACCTGGTTTCTGCCCTACCCCACCCCAGGCCTTCCCCACTCTATTGTCTGTGTCCATAGGTAATGCATACATTCATATAAGATCTTTGTTTAATCTCTTCCCGCCCCCCTCCCTTTCCTTTGAGAATCATCAGTCTGTTCCATTTCCATGCCAATGATTCTATTTTATTCACCAGCTTATTCTGTTTATTAGATTTCTTATTTGTTTGATTTTTAGATTCAATTGTTGATACATATGTATTTGTTGCCATTTTGTTGTTGATATTTTTTATCTTCACCTTTTTCTTCTTCCTCTTCTTAAAGAATACTCAACATTTCATATAATACTGGTTTGGTGGTGATGAACTCTTTTAGCTTTTTCTTGTTTGTGAAGCTCTTTATATGACTTTCAATTCTAAATGATAGCTTTGCTAGGTCCTTGTTATTCATCACTTTGAATATTTCTTGCCATTCCCTTCTGGCCTGCAAAGTTTCTGTTGAGAAATCAGCTGACAGTTGAGTGGGCAGTCCCTGTAGGTAACTAACTGCTTTTTTCTTGCTGCTTTTAAGATTCTCACTTTGTCTTTAGCTCTTGGGATTTTAATTATAATGTGGCTTGATGTGGTTCTCTTGTTTGGGGTTCTCTGTGCTTCCTGGACTTGTAAGTCTATTTCTTTCACCAGGTAGGGGAAGTTTTCTGTCATTATTTCTTCAAATAGGTTTTTAATATCTTGCTCTCTCTCTTCTCCTGGCACCCCCATAATTCGGATGTTGGTACGCTTGAAGTTGTCCCAGAGGCTTCTTACACTATCTTCATATTTTTGGATTCTTTTTTCTTTTTGCTCTTCTAGTTGGGTGTTTTTTGCTTCCTCATTTTTTAAATCATTGATTTGATTCTTGGGATCCACTAGTCTACTATTGAATCCCTGTATATTATTCTTTATTTAAGTTGGTGTATGCTTAATTTTTGACTGGTCTTTTTCTATTTTTTTTTTTTTTTGGCATTCTCACTAAGATCTTTGAAAATCTCACTAAGTCCCTTGGAGGTTTCTAGAAGATTATTGAGTAACCTTATAACCTTGGTTTTGAACTCTGTATCCAATGTTTCCATTTCTTTTATTTGTGACATATTTCTTTGTCTCTGCATTTTGGCTGCTTCCCTGTGTTTGTTTCTATGTATTGGATAGAGCTGCTAAGTCTCCTTAAGTTGACAGAGTGGCGTTATGTGGTAGGTGTCCTATAGGCCCCAGTGGCTCAGCCTGAGGTAGACACTCTAGGTCAGTGGTCGGCAAACTGCGGCTCGGCAAACTGCGGCTCGTGTGCCACATGTGCTCTTCCACAAAATACCGGCTCTTCCACAAAATACCGACTTCTGCGCATGGGCCATGAAGTTTCAATTGCACTGTACGTGCGCGCCCGCACGTGGTATTTTGTGGAAGAGCCACACTCAAGGGGCCAAAGAGCCGCATGTTGCTTGCAAGCTGTGGTTTGCCGATCATGGCGCTAAGTCAAGCATGTCAAACTCGCAGCCCACTGGCCATGCGTTTGACATGCTTGCTCTATGTGCACCCCTTTGTGTGCTGTGTGCACAGTCTTGTTGTAGCTGAGCCTTAATTGCTGTTGGTGACACTGGGAGGAATTGACCTCCAGGCCAATTGGCTGGGGGACCATCTGTGACTACAGTGGAAGAGCTGCTGTGCAGGAGACACCCTTATGGAGCAGGACATGCTTCAGTGGGGCTTTGGTGTTCACTGAGTCTGCCCCTTGAGTGTGTTGTATATGGATGTGTAGAGTTATAATCTGGTATGGTCTGACACTGACCACTGGGTACACTGGCTCTTGGGTCTCCAGGGAGGTGTAAAGTCAACCACTGCCTGAGGCCACCCAGCAGGAGCTACAGAGAGATCTGCAAATGATTATAAAGGCATTGGGATTGACAGCTCTTGCAGAATATTTTTGGAGAAAGGAAAATACTGAAAATCTGAGACAGGGACCAGTGTACTAGAGAACCTGTGTTTAGTGAAAGGAATCCAGAAACTACCTCTTGCATGTTTTCTTACGCTGTTATGGAAGTGAAATCCAGGGGGAAAAGCGTTTGTTCTTCCTTTTCTTCCTTTCTCCCTCCACCTCTCTGGTGGCACTTGAATAAAAGGCTTGGGGTGGCAGGAGTCCTTGCAGGGAGACAGGGGGTGTCTGTGGGGATAATAATGGGGCAGGAGTGGTAAGAAAAGGCATTGCTCTTCTCCAATCCCAGCTTGTACTGCACGGAGCCTGGATAGGGACCTCGCTCCTGAAAGTAAGGGCCACACTGGGCTGTCATTGCGTGGAGCGCCATGCACGAACAACATGGCGTCGGTGCTGTGATTCTTTACCTAGAAATCGCCGTCATTGATATGTCAACAAAACAGTCATGACTTGTGAGATTTGGCCTGCTCCTTTATTAGGGTGTCAGGAGATCAGTTACATTTGAAGTCGACCTTGATATTTTTGTTCAGAACCAGTTTTCTGCTCTTTCTGGTTCCTTACTTCTTTGCTCTTGGCCACCTGCCAGGTAAACTGCCCACAGACCCCTTTGAGTCATCCTTGGAGTTCTGCCTTAGGAGAACATTAAGGCATTGAGCAGCTCGCTCACCAGCCCTCGTGGGCAACTTCTCCTTGAAATACACTTGAGAACATTGAATGTGCAGGGCTGGCTGTGGTTTTTCTAGAAATATGACTGGATTGGCAGCCAGTCCATTAGACTCTGCCATTGTGGTCTTAAGGCAAAGAATCAAACGTAGTGACATATGTTTTCATTTTTAATTTATTAATTATTGAAGTCCTGTTATGTACCACCCCATGCCTTAGGCACTTGGGATAAAACAATTTAATAGAAATCTCAGGCTCATGGAGCTTAAACCGTAGTGGGGAAGAGAGATAATAAGACTAAATAAAAATATCTGATATGCCCGGTAGCTAAGAAAAAAAACAAAACAGTTTTTTGGAGGAAATGTGTTAGGGGTCAGAGGAGATGAAATTGAGACTAGGCAGCCATGAAAGAAGGTGACTATTGAAGTAAAGCCCTGAAGGAGTTGCCTCTTGCTAATGGTCTTTTAAAGCAGATAATTTATCACTAAAATGGAATGAAGTCAAGAATATTATGTAGGCAGTTGGTAAATGAGATAAAATGTACAAAGTGTTCTGTAAACTGTAAAGTGACTCTATGATGAAATTTCTTCTCTAGGTCTAGTGTTTCATGAAATTTCTGTTCTCAATTTTCAAGTCTCAAATTGAGTTAGCGTCCAAGATAGTGGTTCTGAAAGTATGGTCTCTGGACCAGGAACATTGCCAGGGAACTTGTTAAAAAATGTAAATTCTAGACCCCTATATGGACCTACTGAATCATAAATTCTGGAGTTGGGACCCAGTCAATCTATGTTTTAACAAACTCACAGGTGATTCTGAGGCACCCTTAACATTTGCAAACTGCTTGTCTAGAATAACTTCTATATTTTAAAGTATCTCCTTGGTTAGACTTTAACCACTTTAGGAGGGGTTATTAAAACTTCTGATGTAACCAAGCGAAAGAACCAAGGTCTTACCACATTTTAATGTGTGATATTTTAGATGTCTTTGAAAGGTATGGGTTTTTCAGGCTTTGGCAGGAATTTAGAATGTGTATATCACTTCCACTTCCTTCTGATTTTTGTCCTCTTTTTTTCCTTTCCCAATTTGAGATTGATAACTCATTTTTTAAAAAGCACGTAAGTTGCCATAACCGGTTTGGCTCAGTGGATAGAGCGTCGGCCTGCGGACTGAAAGGTCCCAGGTTCGATTCCGGTCAAGGGCATGTACCTGGGTTGCGGGCACTTCCCCAGTGGGGGATGTGCAAGAGGCAGCTGATCGATGTTTCTTTCTCATCGATGTTTCTAACTCTCTATCTCTCTCCCTTCCTCTCTGTAAAAAATCAATAAAATATATATATAAAAAAAAAGCACATAAGTTAAAATGTTTTAAGTTTCATTTTCTACTGCTTTCAAAGTATTGACTTATATTGTATAATGATGGAATTAATATTTTTAGAGAGGTTTCAAAACAATTTATATTTATATGGAGACTTTAAGACATTGGATGTGTATTTAGTGAAGAAAGTTCATTGGAAGAGGAAAATTATTCTGTAATCGTTATTGTTGGGATATGGTTATTTACATGTAATGTAAAATTAGCTGTAAAACATATCTATGTGTTTCTTAAGTCTTGTGAAAATAAGTAATTATTACGGTCTATATCAGGGCTTTCCATTACTTCGCCTAAGAAGGCACACATAGATATGAAAATGTTTTTAGAGTCCACTAGGGCAAATGGAGAAGGTAGCTCAAGGCTACCTTCTGGTTCCAGTCTGGTTCCAGTCTCTGGCCCCACCTTATGGTCCCTCAAGGAAAGAGAGAGGATGGTCAATATCTCCACACACCTGTAACTTTTCCCAGATCACTAGTGTCTAATATACCTAGTGAGTCTTAGCTCTATATAAATACAGTTATGTCATGAAATTATTTTAAATATTAGAATGAAACTTAACTTTCAATCTTACTTTGGAGGGCAATATTTTAAAACATTCTGCAAAAACACTCTTTTCACATGGCCGAGGGTATGGTGATTACATTGGTAGCCATTTACTCGGTGAATAAAACTTTTAAAATTAAAACCTCCACAAATGGTTCATAAATGAAAAACCACTGGAAATAGTATATATTATAATGAAGCAAATATTAATGATTGTAAAGTTGTCAATGAAATATAAATTACATATAGACTTGTATATATACTTTCCTCTGATTTTAGACTCTTTAGTAGTCTATGTGTATTCATTTCTACAAGTAACATTTAAAAATCTTGTAGTTAATTTCAGAAAAATCCTGTTGTCAAAAGGAATCTACCTGAATGTGCTGGAGTTGATGAAGAGGCATCTACACTCCCCTGAAGTGGCTGAAAGTGGCTGCAAAATGCTGAATCATCTTTTTGAAGGAAGGTAATATAGATTCATAAACTTATGCAGAATATGTAATATTGGACAAGGTAGAATAGAAATATTTCAAGCATATTTCTAAGAATGAAAAGAAAAATAAGGCATTTGATAATTGAAACATTGTGTAATATAATATCATATCAAGATATCACAGACTTATCTGAATATTGAAAGGGATGGTAGAGATTGTAGAAATATGTTGAAGGTTTGCATCTGTGCTTCATGCTTGGTGCTGACTACGGTTTTCAAAGTGGCAATTATAAAGCACATAACCTTAAATAGTTTTTCAAATTATTGTGTATGAAAGGTATTAAAGTTCAGATCAGGCTATGGCTTCTAATTGTTGATTTTTCACAACTAACTTTTATGGTTGTCCCTTCACTTAAATTAACTTTGTCTTCTCTTCCTGTTTATTCCTTAGCTGGGAAACTTTTGTTCACAGCTAGTCCAAGTCCAGAGATGTCAAGACTACCTGGCTGGTTAGAGGCACAGCAGAGACCAGATCTGGGGGTGGGTGATGGGGCTACAGGATACGCTCAGGGCCTTTTTACATTTATGCCAAAGAATGTGAGGTAACTTTGTCATAGTCTGAGTAAATGTCAAACAAAAATAGGCTGTATAGAATGCTGTCATGCATAATAGGAAAACTGCATGGCACAGACGTTGCATTAAAAACTGATTTCGTGTCCTGGTTTTCCTACTAATCTGAGCCAACTGTTTTGCCTCTAAATTTCAGGTGCCTCATTAGTGAAGAGGTATAACAATAAGCGTATCAGTTGTACATTTAGAGTGTAAGAATTAAATGAATTAATTTAAAGAAAGAAATGAGGATAATTCCTGGTGGAATAAGCACTCAATAAATCATAATTATTATTAATATTGTTATTAAATATGAATAAATGGAATGCATACAGCATGAGGAATTGTATGTAGCACATCTATAGATGTAAAAGGAATAGGATTACATTGTTTTCTTCATCAGCCCAGCTAATCTATTTGTGTTTATATATGTCATATCTTTGAGTTGAATTTCTCTTATTTAAAAGTTGCTCTTGAATGTTTAAATGAAGTTTATCATAGATAGTGATTTTCATGGTCCTGCAAGTGTGTGAATCTTTATAAATGAGGTGAAAACACAGTGGAGTTAACCTACAGTTTAAGATTTTGTAGATTCTGGGCAATTCGTGTTTCTGGCTATTTGCTCACATATAATATGCATACAGTTCCAGTCCTGGAGATTCAGAGTTAACTGACAATACACCTATGTTGAAAATTCATTGTGTAGTTGGGGAGACTGATATGTCAACAGATAATAACACACTGTGTGATGATGCAATGGCAGTGATGTGTAAGAGGCATAGTGGTGAGAACTCAGCTGGAATTGCCCAATGAGGGAGAGTACAAAGAGGGGATGTGTTTAAACTGGAACTTTAAGGTGGAAAAGAGGGACTGTATTTCAATGACCATAGAACCATGCAAAGTGAGGATATGGTTCTTAGTGAATACTAGTTGGCCATAAAAAAGAATGAAATTTTACCATCTGCACCACCATGGATGGACATAGACTAGGGTATGATGCTAAGTGAAATAAGACAGACAGAGAAAGACAGGTACCATATGATTTCACTTATATGTGAAATCTAAAGAACAAAACAAACAAACAATCAAAACACAAACAGACTCATAGGTACAGAGAACAGATTGATGGTTGCCAGAGGGGAGGGACGTTGGGGGACGGGGGCACAAAGGTGAAGTGATGAAGAAGTACAAATTGGTAGTTAACAAACTAGTCATGGGATGTAAGGTTCAGCATAGGGAATATAATCAATAATATTGTAATAACTATGTGTGGGGTCAGGTGGGTATTTGAAATATCAAGGGGACCACTTTAATTTGTAAAGTTTATGATTATTAATATAAAATAATATTAAATGGAAACTGTAACTGAAAATCTATAATAATAAAAAGGTAATGTGCTAATTAGACCGGACATCTTCCGGACGTCCTTCCTGAGGAAGCCGGGGCCAGAGGGAAGCCAGCCCAGATCCCTGGTGCCGGAGGGAAGCTGGTGTCGGCAACCGGGGGAAGGAAGGCCTACTCTTGCACAAATTTTCGTGCATCGGGCCTCTAGTAAAATAAAATTAAGAAAGAATAGTTAAAATGCCTTAAAGAAATCAAGACTTTAATGCAAATAAAACTAATTAGAAGATGGTATAAGGAGTCTGGTGCTGTTTTTTAGAAGAGGCAGGCAGTATGATGTAAAGAGCCCTTACCTTGAGGGTCAGGTGAGTTTACCTTCCAGCCCTGGCTCTATCACCTTCTAGTGATAGGACCTTGATATTTAACCTCTATCAGCTTAAGTTCTTCATCTGGAAAATGGGGAAATAACTTCTACTTTTCAGGGTTGTTGCCAGTAACCCATGTGGCACCCATATGGGAATTGTTAGTATTTGAAAGGGAATAAAAGAATGCCCAGGTGACTGTGAATTCAACTTCTTGAGGTTAAAGTTTAATGAAAGAATAATTAAAATTATGTATGCTCATATCACTGAATTTCAAATGCATTTTCAGATAGCCTTTTCTGATAGAAGGTATTGGTTCTGTTTCCATGCACTTGTTTCAAATTGGTGCTCGTACAAGGAAATCAGTTTGTATTTTTAATAAGCATTTCAATCTTGTATCTCTAGTAACATTTCCCTGGATGTAATGGCAGCAGTGGCCCCCAAAATAATAACAGTTATGAAAAGTCACGGGACATCATTGTCAGTGCAGCTGGAGGCACTTCGAGCCATTTTACATTTTATGCTTCCAGGTAAGCTACATAATTGACTGTGGGAAGAGATAGCAATTTAAATGGATTTTTGTCTTCTTACAAGTATGAACTTTCTAGGCAAAAATTAAAGGGCCATTTTCTGCCTAACGAATGCAATTCTTTCCACTAATCCAAAATAAAGGAAAATGATGCGGAACAGATTAATGTATAAGGAAATTTAATAAGAAAGTTCAATAACTTATTTACACAAGAAGTAATTACAGTGCAAGTATTTCCAAGGAGAGTATCCGTCTTTAATAAGTCTTTTCTATTTCTGTTGGCATCACTGAGTCCAAGTTATTTTTGTTTTGTTTTTGTCTGAACTATAAAAATAGCTAACTAATTTTCACGCTTCTTGTCTTGGCTCTTTTCAGACCTTTTACACTCTTGCTGAATTAATATTTCTCAAACAGAACCATGTGATTTTTACTCATTAACCTGAATAGCTCCCATCTCCTCCCTCTTCTACCTCCTATTTACATCTATTATGACCTGTTTGTCCTTCAGGGTCCGTTCAAAACATCTGCTCCTCCATTCATTCAACACATATTTATTAAGTGCCTCATGTTCTAAACATTGTGATGGCTACAGGGTATGAAAGATAGGTGGGTGGGGAAGGGGAAAGCAAGCATAATTGTACTATTTTAGGAGCTCAGAGGTAAACGGACATGTAAATAATGAATTTTCAGACAGTGGGAGAGGAGCTGTTTTAGATCTTTGTATAAAGGTTACAATCATACTTGATGGAGGCATAAAGAATGTATTCAAAGGAGTAGGTCAGAGACTGTGATATTGCCGTGGAAGGGTGAGCAGGGCTGACCTGGTAGAAAAGTCAGGAAGGACATTTCAAGCAGAAGGAGAAAGTGCACCATGTGGTCTGCCGTAGAGGAGAGCAGTGCCTGAGGGCGAATGTGGAAGGACAGGCACAAGCCTGGAAGTATAGGGCCTTGAATGCAACACTGAGAAACTTGTGCTTTATTCCTGGAAGTCAGTTCTACCTTATTAAAGGTGGTTAAGCTTGGTGTGTCATGACCAGATCTGCAGTTTATAACAATAGCACAGTGGTGTACAGGGCGAGGGGCATAGGGAGAGCCTGGTTACAGGGATGTGGGGTTGCAGGTGATGATATGGTGGCGGCCCAGCGATGGAGGAGAGGATGGATGAAGGCATAGGAGATACATTTGGCATGACTTTCTGCTCATTGATATCAGGGATATTACTTTTTTAGGTTCTATAAAATTTCCAATTTTTTGGAAGTCCAGTTTTTTTTTTCTTTTGAAATGAAATCATCCTAAACCTGCCATTATCATACATTTCTCTATTAGGTAAAGGCTTAATCATCTACTTTACTCTATGCTACCATATCATATTGACACTCTACCACACCATGCTGCACCATACCTTACTGTACAATACTATAACCTATCATACCGGTCTGTATATCTGTTAGTAACTGTGGTATCAGTACCCCAGTAATTTTGAGGTTAAATATAGTTCTGATTTGAACATTTTAATTTGAGGTGCTTTTAAGATACCCGGATGTACATGCAATCATTTATTACCCAGACCATATTCATACTTCCTTAATTGAAACAAAGATGTTCATTATAGCAAGTTTGTATAATTCAGCACCCAGTTTAAGACCACATATATCCTCTGGTGTTATGGCTCTTAAATTTCTTTCAATCTAGTATTGTGCAATTCCTCCCTTTTTAAACTACCATTACCTTATTGAAATGATTGAGCCAGTTGCTTTAAAAAATAATAATCAAGACCCAATTATTTTAATGAAATATTATTTGGCTTTGTTCTTTCTTGACTCATGTCAGTTCTAGTGGAAATAACATAAAATTCTTTAAGAAGGGGCATAGGTAAATTGGAAAGTGCATAGAAGAAAGTGATTAGTAGTATAAAACCACATCCGTAATAACAGTAAGGGGCTGAATCTGTTTAATTTGGAGAAGAGATGATTCAGAAGGATACAAAAACTATATTAAAGTCCCCTCATTTATAGCTAATAACAATAATACCTAACAATGTGTCAGGTATTATTGGAAGTGCTTTATGTATATAAACTTTTTAAATTCTTGCAGCAACCCACCAAGCAGTTGCTACTTTTTGTTGTTGTTGCCATTTTACAGATGATGAAACGGAGTCAAAGATGCAGATATTTTAAGGTGACATCGTAAATAATGGAGCCAGATGTTCAACTGCAGCCTGACTCTTGAGTAGGCACTTTTAGATACACATTTGTGCAGCTACGGTGTATCGAACAGCAGTTATATCTAAAGCACTTTGCTTGAAACCCTTGGGGGTCTGGAGATGATTAAATTATGGATTCTGCCCTCATTAACTTTGCTGTCCATACGGTTTAAAGGGCTATTATGTGGAAAGGAAATTAGATGCATTCTGGATAGTAGAACTTCAGTGATGTAACAATCCAGAAATGAAATTTATGGAAATGTTCGTTTGGTCTTAATAAAAGAAAGATGTCTAATAAGACTAAGTTTTTACTACTCAACAGGCCTGCTTTTTCTTGGCACATCTGCTTGTGATGTAATGGGCAGCCTCAGAGGTTAATGTGGTCTTGGTCACTGAAAGTGAGACACAGAGTTTAAGTGACTTCCCCAAGATCCTACAGCAATAGCGAATGTCAGAACCTGTTTGAATAAATTTTAAAATAAGGACTGATTTTTTAATTGACACTACTACAGATTTCTCCTGTTTTCACTCCTTCCCCCCTCCCCCCCCCCCCGGGCATTCACCACATTATTGTCTGTGTCCATGGACTATGCATTTGTGCATATATGTTCTTTGGTTACTCTCTTCCAGTTCTCCCCTAGCCCCGAGCCTCTGAGATCTGTCAATCTGTTTCATGTATTCATTCCTCTGGTCTTATTTTGTTTGTCAGTTTATTTCTTCATTAGATTCCACATATAAATAAGATCTTATGGTATTTAAGCAGAAAAAAAAAAGAGAGAGAAGCTGTATTCAAATAGCTAGAAGAACTATGATGCTAGAAGGACAAATATTGCAGATGGATTGTTAAAACAAATAAACTGAATTAAGTAAAAATGTATTTGCTTGGCAATATGCAGATGATACCTAATAAAGCAATAGAAAAAAAAGAGGGCTGCAAATTCCAGGAGTCTGAGAATCTAGCCTGGCTTATCCACTGTGGTATTCCCTGCATGTAAGAAAATTTCATGATACCATAGTTACTAACTGATAGCAGGCATTCATATATTTGCTAAAAAATGAAAAGCTATATACAGCCAATTTATAATTTGTGTTAATACAATTTTTAAAGTGAAAGATAAATAATCGGTTATTAATAATTATTTTTATAGTCTCAGGTTTTGGAAACCTCATTCATTCATAATAATTTTACTTAATATTCTATTGCATAATCAATTTTTTAACGTCCAGGTTTTTTCTAACAGTTTTGGATAGTTTAGGTACAACGTAGTTTAATAAGGCATATGTTTCCTTTAAATAACAATATACAGCCTTAGGGGATTTTTCAGAAAACGCTATGCTCTTTCCCAGCATAGCACTAAAATGCAATCTTTATTTTTTCACTATTATTTCAACTGCTCTTTTTGCCTACATTTTATATCTGACCTTTTTTTTTTGGTAGTTCAAATAAATTTGAACTTTTCTCAAGTTGTCCATTGTTGCACAAAAATCTTCTAGCTCCTTGTATGAGTACAGCCTACTCATACAAAAAAGAGATTGTTTGCCACAGAAAATTCCTCAACCAAAATAACTTTTTGCTTTTTGCTCCTTTCAGTAAACATCCACACTCACTGTATTTATTTTATATTCAATGATGAACTACTTCTATAAATTCCTAAGTGAGGCTAGGGTTCTTTTTCCCCTTGGTAAAAAAAAAAAAATGTATTAGAAAGAAAGTACAGTATATTGTTAATTATGATCATTCCTAGCAAGTGACAATCTGTTCAGCTTAAATATTTATGAGAAAAGTATGTATATATGTACGTATCTATGTATGTATTTTTGCCTTTAGGCATGCCAGAGGAATTCACAGAAGATACCGAATATCAACACAAGCTAAAAATGGTTACAAATCAGTGTTTCAGGAATGATATTCACAAACTGGTCCTGGGATCTTTAAACAGGGTAGGTACAATATAGATTTTCTGCCTTTATACTGTTAATCAGGATATGAAGTTTGGGGAAATAGGAGGCATTTTTAGTGTAAGTTTTCTATGTTCTGTTTACTCTGATAGTAGGAAGTTCTGTGGTTAGAGAAGTTGTGTGGTAAGATGACAGTAGGGATACAGGAGTGAAGAGGTGTGCCATTCCCGCTAAGATAAGTATACTTTTAACTACAACGATCAACTGTGAGTGTGCTATCAACCCCTGGCTTGGACAGGTTCTTTTGATTGCTAGTAACATAAAGCCACTCACGTTTGCCCAACCAGAAACAGAACTGAAGAGCCAGATACACAGCTGAGCCTCAGGGGTGATGTCAGGAGCTATGGCTGCTGTTTTCAAAAAGTTTGGCCCATAAAGACACATGTGGCACAGCATGGAAGTCTTCTTCTATTGCCTTTGCTTGCTTTTGTTGCTCTCCTCAGAGATAACCTCTGAAGTGTTTCTGTGTGGCATTGTTTCTTCCCATTTTTAGGTAGGTACATATCTATGCACATTTATGATAATATATTATAATTAATACTAGAGGCCCGGTGCACAAAAATTTGTGCACTCGGGGGGGGGGGGGTTCCCTCAGCCTGGACTGTGCCCTCTCGCAGTCTGGGACCCCTCGGGAGATAACGACCTGCTGGCTTAGGCCTGCTCCCGGGTGGCAGAGGGCAGGCCCAATCCCTAGGTGCAGCCCCTGGTCGGGCTCAGAGCAGGGCCGAATAGGGAGTTGGGGCGCCGGCCCCTGTCATGCACAGAGCAGGGCGGATCCGGAGGTTGCGATGCCACCCCCAGTCACGCTCAGGGTAGGGCCGATTGGGGGGTTGGGGCACCGTCCCCTGTCATACTCAAGGCAGGGTCAATGGGGAGGTTGCCGCGCCACCCCCTGTCACGCACAGAGCAGGGCCCATCAGGGGGTTGGGGCGCAGCCCCCTGTCACGCACAGAGCAGGGCTGATCAGGGGGTTGAGGAGCTCCCCCCTGTCACTCACAGAGTAGGGCTGATAGGGGAGTTGGGGCACTGCCCCTGTCACACACAGAGCAGGGCAGATAAGGGGGTTGGGGTGCTGCCACTGTCACGCTCAGGGCAGGGCCGATGGGGAGGTTATGGCTCTACCCCGTCACACACAGAGCAGGGCCCGTGGAGGGGGGGGGGTTGGGGTGCCGCACCCTGTCACACACAGAGCAGGGCCGATCTGGGGGTTGGGGCGCCGCACACTGTCACACACAGAGCTGCAGGGTGATCAGGGGGTTGGGAGCTCCCCCCTATCAGGCACAGCGCAGGGCTGATTGGGGGGTTGGGGCGCCTTCCCCTGTCAGGAACAGAGCAGGGCCAATAGGGAGGTTGTGGCCCTGTCCCCTGTCACAGACAGAGCAGCAGGGCAATCAGGGGGTTTGGGCGCTGTCCCCTGTCACACTGATCCCGGTGCTGGGAGGCCTCTCGGCTCCGTTGATCCTGGTGCTGGGAGGCATATTACCCTTTTACTATATAGGATAGAGGCCTGGTGCATAAGTGGTAGCTGGCTGTTTTGCCCTGAAGGGTGTCCTGGATCAGGGTGGGGGTCCCCACTGGGGTGCCTGGCCAGTCTGGGTGAGTGGCTGAGGGCTGTTTTCAGGCTGGCGGGTGACTGAAGCTCCCAACTGCTCCTTTTTTTCTTTTTACTTTTTTTATTCTGGGTCAGCTTTAGCTCTGGCTCCAGCTCTGAGGCCTCTGCTGCTGAAAGCAGGTATCTGGTTTGTTTGGGTTCTATAATCTCAAAACACTGTATCAACTCCAGCTCTTAGATCCGGGCTGGCTGAAAGCGGGTTTCTGGGGTTTTGTTTAGCTTCTATATTTGTTACAATGTTTCAAACTGCAAGCTCAGAGGCGGGCAGCGGCAGGTGGGGAATGTTGGAGTCCTCTGTCACTGAAGCAAGCAAGCCTCATGTTAGCTTCCAGCTGCCTGGCTGCCAGCCACCATCTTGGCTGGCAGTTAATTTGCATATCTCTCTGATTAGCCAATGGGAAGGCTAGCGGTCATACGCTAATTACCATGTTTCTCTTTTATTAGATAGGATAATCAATAATCATATAAGTATGAAAAGAGGAGAAGAGCTAAATTATGTTTGTATTGTGTAAGGCAAAGGTATTGATGGAATTAAGGTGGTTAGGAAGTTTAACATAATATAAATTGGTTCTTTATGAAAGATATAAGAGTAAAGAAGTAAAGAATGATTAGGGTTAATGCTTTTGTGAAAGGAAGAGAGCAGAAAAGGTCATTAATGGAAATGATTTCATGTGATTTAATATACTCTGAAAAATGTCATGAATTAATTAGAATATAGCCTGCAGAGAGATCTCCTTTACAAATTCAATTTCAACTGAAATTGTCATGTAATTGTCTATGATATATTTAAAGCATTTATACTTAAACCTTAAGATGATCCTTGAATATAGCAATATAATAGGTTGAATTTGATTCTAGGAATATTTGATCAAAGTAAGGATGTGGAAGGAACTGTGTTAGCCATTGGGAAGCCAAAAATGAATACATTTTAGTACCCTCTGTCATGGATCCCGTAACCCAGTGAGGAGAATAAAGGCATGCATGAAATCAGTTGTTCTACATGAGCATTTCTGAGCTCTCCTAGCTTTATGAACAGTATTCTAGGAACTTAGAAGAGCCGGCAGTTCATTTTTTTTTCATGGCATGTGTTTGTGAGAAGCAGGAGGTACCAGAAACGCCTTAAGCTAGCTCTGAGTCTAGTTAGCCCAATGTTTTCTAAAGTTATTGACTATGAGTGTGATATAGTTGACAGTGAGGAGTCAAGAGACCCAGATCTGCCAGTAAGTACCTTGATGCCAAGAAATCAGTCAACTCCTATGTCTTACTTTTTAACAATTTTTTTTGCTATATAATCCCAAGAAATGTGGGCTGAGAGCTTAAAACAGTTTACACTTGTACCTTGAGTTATCAGTTTCAATCTCAATTTTTCCCATTTATAAAGTAGGGCTAATAATAGTCTGTTTACTCTACATTATAGGGTTGTTGTGAAGATCAAATGAGTTAATATATGCGAATATCTGGCACATAGCAAGTACTCCACGGGTCTTGGCATTATCCTCATGGTTGTTGCTATTGTTGTTATGGTGACTTGAGGTTGTGTCATGGTGGAATTCCATCCATGAATAGAAGAGTCATAAGAAAAGACCTTTGGACAAAGTTTGATGTTGAAAGAAGAGATTGTAAAGGAGAGGGGCAACAGAATGGCTTTGGGGGCATATTGTGTCATGGAATAATTAGGGGCATATTGTGTCATGGAAATCAAGGGAGGGAAAAGCAGCAAGTCAGTTATTAAAGGACTTTTTTTTCTTTGAATGGTTTGAATTCAGAGTGGTCAGGACCGAAGTCTGATTATAGGAAACTAAGGGGTGGGGAGAATGTGGAGTTAGTGGGTATAGACTTTTCTCTTAATAAGTTTAGAAATGAAGGGAAGTGGTAGCTTGATGGAATGGAAGATTGATTTAATTATACTCTGTCTCCCACTTAGAAGTATTTTTTTATCTGAGGAGAATGTCAGCCCAGGCCTGAACTGTGGACATCACTCAATGTTTATTACACAATGAGTAATATCATCCTCAAAAGAACCCAGAATTATTAGGATCATTCAGCTATTTTATTTTATTTTTCAGTGACAGTTGACATTCAATATTACTTTATATTAGCTTTAGGTATGCAGGATAGTGGTTTGACAATCATAATGTACAAAGTGATTCCCCGGATATTTCAAGTACCACCTGGCATTAGGTTCATTTTAGAGGTGAGGAAGCCAAGATGGATACTGAGCCATCCCTCTAGCTTCCGCTTGCACCACTTTTAAATTTTTAAATATTTTTTGAATAACACTGTCTGAATAAAGACCACTTGTGAGAAAAATGTTATGTAATTCATTTTAATGGTTCTCAAATTCATGGAACTGTTAACTGATGAGACAGGATTTAAACTCAAATTTAATTGGCTCCAAAGCTGGCTTACTACCTAGAGATTTGTGAAGATGGAAACAATGGCAGGAAAAAGGGAGGCAAGGCTAGAGGTGTCTTGTTGAAATGCTAGATGAAATGATGTCCCACTGAACAGTGAGTGAGGCTAAGGAGGTGAGGTTCTAGGTATTTTCATCACAAGCATTCTTTTGCCACGAACATCTTGGCTGCAAGTATTTTTGCTGAGTGACAAATTGACACAAAGGCAATTTCTCAAAGATAAAATAACCAGTTGACGATTTGGTTTACATTTGACAGACTTAATGTATTTTAGCTAGTTGTGGGTTTGATTTTAATTCTCCGTTGACTAAATTCTTGCAGTATCCCCATTGTTGTCCCATATAATAAAAGCCTAATATGCTAAGTATCCAATTGTCTGGTCATCCGTTCAACCAATCAAAATGTAATATGCTAATGATATGCTAAGGCCCTCAACCGCTTGCTATGATGTGCACTGACCACCAGGGGGCAGATGCTCTGACTGGTAGGTTAGCTTGCTGCTGGGGTCTGGCCAATCAGGACTGAGCATGATGGGCCAGACATGCCCTGGAGCCCTCCCGTGGCCCCTCCCTGGCTGGCCAACCTACCACGTCTCTCCCACCCCAATCGTGTATTGGTGGGGTCCCTCAGCCTGGCCTGCACCCTCTTGCGATGCCGGACCCCTCAGGGGATGTCAGAGAGCTGATTTTGGCCTGATCCTGCAGGACAGGCCGAGGGACCCCACTGGTGCCCAAATTTATGCACCGGGCCTCTAGTATTATATAAAGCTTAGCCCAGCGGTTCTCAACCTGTGGGTCGCAACCTCTTTGGGGGTCGAACAACCCTTTCACAGGGGTCACCTAAGACCATCGGAAAACACAATATATAATTACATATTGTTTTTGTGATTAATCACTATGCTTTAATTATGTTCAATTTGTAACAATAAAAATACATCCTGCATATCAGATATTTACATTACAATTCATAACAGTAGCAAAATTATAGTTATGAAGTAGCAACGAAAATAATTTTATGGTTGGGGGTCACCACAACATGAGGAACTGTATTGAAGGGTTGTGGCATTAGGAAGGTTGAGAACCACTGGCTTAGCCCTCTTAATGGTCTCTATAGTAAGGAGGAGACATGGTGATCCTAAAGTAGTGGATGACAAGTACTATATATGAGGCCAGATTGCAAAACCACATGTAAAGCCAGATTTTATACTATGTTGGAAAATGGTAATGTAGTTTGCAAATCCTTTGGTGTGCACAGTCATCCCTTCCACCATCAACACCAAAAGTTTACCAAGCTATGGCAAACAGGAAAGATGTGGCTACTAATTCTCAACAGTTTCAAGAGCATTAATTTTTGCTTCTTTGAAATTGATATCTCTCTTAAGGAAGGAAAAATTAGTACCTAAATTGAAAAAGTATGAAGCTAAACAAGGAGACGAATCCACAGCCTATAAAGAAAAAGTACAGTATAATACTGTGAATGAAAGACTTCCAAAACAATATATGTTCATTTTTTCGCAATTAGGTTTTTAAAATTTTGTTATTAATTTTTCATGTTTTATTTTGTCCTTTTTAGTGTTTCTTATTTTGTGTTATTTTATCTTTTACGGTGAAATTGCCTTGTAGACAATTAGTTGTGCCTCAAAAATGTTTTCAGCATTTACAGTAAACACGCTTATGTCAGGAGATACCAGACATGTGGAGGAGAAGGGCACAAGGTGAGAAAATGATGCTTAGCCACACCCTATTCACAAAAAGATGCTGAATGAGGACAGTTGCTAGGCACCGAGGGACTAGGTTGGTAAAGGAATGAACATCTGTTCTTTAACAGAATGGGTGGAAGAATGGTGACAGGGTATAAGATGTTGGTTGAGAGGTTTTACACCTGGCTTGAAGCCACTTCAGCTCTATGGTGACCTGTGCTGACATCAACCAGAGATTTGGAGTGGAGATACCATGAAACCAGTGTCCGTGAAAGGAAAAGTCCTGATAAGGATAACGTCATTTTTTTTTAAAGGAAAGCTATTTATTTGGTGGACATGTGCATCATGGTAGAAGTTAGGAGAGCATCATGGAAAAGCAGAGAGGATCAGTCTAAGAGTTAGTTATACATCACCGATGTCAAAGGAGGGGAGGTATGGCTGTGATTGTCATGTGGTTGGAAAGTGTGTTGACTGTGTTATTCTCAGTTAGTGTGATGGGCTGGAAAAAGAAGTGACCTCTATTAAAGAATATCGTAAATAATAACAAATCACCTGGAAGAATTGAGATGAAAGGTTGGAAGTGGATTAAGATCCTGGGCTTTGAAGGCAGACACATGTATGTTCAAGTCTCAGGCCTGACACTTTTTAGCTGTGTGACTTCAGCTCTGTTCCCATGCCTTTAAAGTTTGGTGAATCTATTCCATGCGGTGGTGGAGAGGAAATGAACAGATAAGGCATGTAAAGCACTTAAAGAGTAAATTCTCAATTAGTATTTTCTATAGTGACAAGCAGCATTGCATTTTCCTGATTCAACATGCAGGCTGTGGAATCAAACATCCCTGATATGGTCTTAGCAATTAACAATCTGTGCGACTGTAGGAATAGTTATTCAAGCCCTTTAACCATTTGTGAACTCATCAATGAAGTCAGTAGAGTATGATATTTAATAAGATTATGAAAATGCATGTAAAGTATTTAGCACAGCGCCTGACATGGAACAGGTACTCAATATGTATTGAAGTATTAGCTTTTTAACCTTAATAACGAATAATAGTAATTATTAGTATGAGACAGAATCAAGGATATTAATCTTTATTTAAATACTTTATATTTGATCAGTCTATAACTGGCATTAACTAAAATAAGTACTAAGGACTCATTTTTAAAAGCAAATATTTTGAATTGTCCTTTTGATTTTAGTTCATTGGAAATCCTGGGATTCAGAAATGTGGATTAAAAGTAATTTCTTCTATAGCACGTTTCCCTGATGCCTTAGAGGTGTTATCTCTGGAAGGTGCTATTGAATCGGTGCTGCAAACACTGAAGATGTATCCGGATGACCAAGGTTGGTACAATTTGAACGCAGGGTTTAGAGTAGATTTTTATAGGCCTTTAGCTGCTGGTGGGGTGTCTTTAAAGTTTTTTCTTTAGTTTTGAGATTTAAAACACTTAATATTGTTTATTTTCCCCCTTTCTTCTAGAAATTCAGCGTCTGGGTTTAAGTCTTATAGGATGCTTGATTACAAAGAAGAATTTAATCCTAGGAATTGAGAATCTGCTGGCAAAAATTCTGGTTTCCAGTTTGCAACGATTTAAAGATATTACTGAATTACAGACTAAAGTATGTGCATTATCTTGAAGGGAATTTGATCTTGTGCAGATTTCTCTTTCAGAGCTGTTGGTATAATTCCCACTTAGTGGAGATATTCTAGTTAATTGAAAACCATCTATCATTTTGTAATATTTTAATTATAGAAAGGGAAGAGAATTGGATTGAATCTCTAAAGATCCTATGTTTCTTCATTAAATCTCCAAGATCAGCTTGCTTATTTGCCATTTGTCTTTTCCATGAAGAGCAGAGAGTGTGCTAAAGAGATTCTAGGTAGCTGAGCTGCATTTGCTTAGAGTTTGTATAAATAGAAGTTATAATTATTCTGAAGTTTGTCATTCTCTGTGTTTTGTTGTGGGCTGCTTACCTGTAGTATTTTTGCTCCTTGAATTTTTTCTTGCAGTGAAACAATATTAAAAAAAAATTTAATCAAGCAACATTTAAAATATGATATATAATCAATCACTGTTTTTATGAGGACTCCAAGATACTGCCTTAGGGTTAATTAAGGCAAAATTTAAGAAATATATTCTTTCAAGTTCCCCCCGCCCCCCACCTTTCGAATGTTGGGAAAACAAATAGTTTCTTTAAGATTTCTGCCCTGGTTGTGGTTTTCAGTAATGGAGTTCACAACTTTCATAAACCATGCTCAGCAAATAGTTTCACAAATGGAAGCATTGACCAGGAATAAAAATGTCTCGGCTCTAACCTTTGCAGAGACATTATTAGTAAATGAGATAATGGATATAAAGTTTTCAATTATAAAGTGCTGCTGAACACACAATATTCTTAGATGACAAACAACAATGTGCTTTATAAATATGCTCTTTATAATGTGTCTCTACTGAGACTGCTTAACGCCAAGGCAGAATTGGTTAAAAGTAATCCAAGGGGAAGTATATGGTTTTGTGCAGGTATGGGACTCTCAGTGTGAAGTCATCTGGGCATAAATTCTAGGATCTCTATAGTAGAGGTTGCAAACTATTGACCTTATGCATTCAACCTGCCAACATACTTTATTTGGCGGGTTCAGTGTTTATGTGTTTTTAATTTGAACTAGGTGCCTTCTACACATTCCTTCGCATTACCTGCTTTGCCGCTGCATTTGAGTTTGCAGGGACCTCTGCTATAGAGGTGGGTGGACCATATGTCCCTAGACCTGCATAAATTAAGATTATGCCTCTTATCAAATATTAGGAATTATTTATAGGAACTCAGCATCTTAAGTGCTCAAAATAATTATTTTAATATTTTGATGATCTTATTAATATATGAAATTGAAAGATGTTAAACATCTAAAAAGTTAAGCTGATCTTTGGTGAGTTTACTCACACTAAGTAATAGAAAAGACAAAAAAGTTCATTCTTTCCTTCAAATCTCACCTGGGTGGAGAGCCCAGAACTCTTGGAAATATGCTTAGGTGGTCCTAAAAAGTAATGGCGTGACTGATCAGTTCTTTCTAAATAATTTGCTTCAAGGATGTAAACGTCAGAGTGCCTTGAGAGCTTCTCTCAAATACACTGAATGTGAATGAGATCCAAGGGCTCACATTTGTCTCTGAGGTTAAAATTTTAGAAGAAAGTGCAAAATGTTGGGGGGAAATGCTACAAAACCAATATCTATAAACCAATTGCAACCTCATAATAAAAACATAACTTTACTGGCCTATTTGGGTCTGCAACACTGCAGCCTGTGATGTTTCCACCCCGATGAATACCTGGCTTGCATCGTGTAGCAATAGCTTCAGTCAGGAATCTTTAAAAGCTAAATATTAGTGAATTAGGAGTTTTTCCTGCTTTGCTAGACAACAGTTTGTTAGCATTTTATTTTCTGTGTGCCTGCTCTGTTTCTTAGTAATGAGAGAGCAAGGTGTATTTATAGGATTATTTCAAGATTTGTAGCTTTAAAGTCCACACCCAAAAAATATATCTACTTAGTTTAGCGAACAACTCAGGTTTTTAGTATCAAATACACGCTTTTTAATATTATTTATTTATTCTTTTTTTGCTCATAATTGCTTATGTTTCCATTATTATTTTTGATCACACTTGCAGGGATTTCAGACAGTCTTGACTGTGCTAGAATGCTCAGAGTCTTTTTCCAAGCTGTTGGTGCATTATTCCTTTGACTCAGTAATATTCCATCAGATGTCCTCCAGTCTCATGGAACAGAAGGATCAACAGGTACCAAGTTCCTCCCCTGTGTGCTAACTGTCATGTATTTAGCCAACTCTAATCCTTATTTCCATTCTTTTTAGTTTCTAAACCTTTGTTGCAAGTGCTTTGCAAAATTAGCCATGGATGATGAGTTAAAAGGTGTGATGCTAGAGAGAGCATGCGATCAGAATAACAGCATCATGGTTGAATGCTTGCTTCTGTTGGGAGCAGACGCCAATCGAGCAAAGGAGGGAACTTCTTTAATTTGTCAGGTAAACTTTCAAGACGACCCTTGTTTAATTCTGTTGACGCTGCCACTGTATAGCTCTAACTTACATCCCATTATTCCTTACTGCAGAATTGGCCAGTTTATTGCAAACTCCTTGTGATTTGTAACAGGAGTTTCGTTTGTGGAATTTCAGAGGTAATAGGGTCCTTAGGCATTGTTGTCGGATCCTTCATTTTACTTGTCTGCCTACTTTGTTAGGTTGATTAGTAACTTTTCAGATGTTCTCCTGTGCATCTCTGTACACATCGTTCAGCAGCCACACTCCCTCAACCCATGGCTTTATTTGGTATTGATCATTTTTCAACCATTTTGTCTTCATTTTGTATTTCTTTGCCTAGAAAGTTCCCCCCTCAAGGTTATTGCATGTGGCCATGTAGGCTGGTACCGAACACCTCAGGGGCCTCGTTCACATCCCCTGCAATTGCTCCCCCGCAGTTGTGTAGCACTGTGGTCCTGCCTTCCTTCTCTCCCTTCCCTCCTGCACTGAGCAGACACATCTATTTAATTGTTCTACTTTCCTTAAATTTCTAATGGAAATTCTCTTTCCTGGATAAAGCCCTCCTCACACTCCCCGACCTCCAGACAAAATAAAGACTTACTTCTTCTGAAGTCCATGACAATTTATGTACACCTCTTGTATCTCTTGTGAGTTGTCTGAAAGTATGCCGGGAGCCGGTCCATGCTTGCTGTTTCAAGGGACCTGGCATATATAGCATACTGTTCTTAATATGTTTGCTCCCCTTAGCGCTGTGTGTTTTAACCAAGGTCTCTGAGAAAGGTTGTTTCCCCAGGTAGGGATTTTTCCCTGAAGTTAGGGAGGGGATGAAACTCCTTAACTAAGTGCCAGGCGGGTAATTAATCACAATGTCCAGTTCTCAGTATGATTCAGTAAGTATTTAGTAAAGTGCATTGCATGTTTTTAAAAGTCTGTGTGTGTGGTATAAATTTTGGAGTCTCTGATAGCATTCAGGTAGTATCATGTATATTTTCTAGAAATTTAATAAACAATTCTACCAAAGCAATTATGTAATGATTTAATATATATTATTAGATGACCGGCAGAGTATTGTTTTCTAATAATTTATCTTTAAAGTCTTTATTTAATTTCTCACTTGCCTATGGATTCAAATCAGTTTTTTCAACTGTGAGATTAAGTTAATACTAATTAGCAATCTGCATAAAAGAAAACTAAACCTGTTACTCATTTTCATGCATAATTAATTTATGCATTAAAACCAAATAATCAAATTTAGTCAAAAATTTTAAAGCTAGCAACATTAAAAAGAGTTGCTTCTCTATTTTAAAGGTAATTAAATCATCCCCCTCAATAACTTAATGTTTTTATTGTGTATCTTTTCTGATATGTGCAGATCACTGCATTAATGTTTTTGGGTATTCCAAGAACTTAGAAGAATCTTCCGCTTCATTTTTTTTTCATTGGGAAACAACATACCTAAAAGCACCTGAGTGCAGGTACTCTACATTTTCCATCAGAAGTGCATTGTACTTGTCTCTCAATTTATCCAACTCTTTCTATAAAAAAGCTTTTTATTTTTCTTCCCATGTTCTTTTAAACTTAATTGCTTATGTATTATCTTTTTTAAAAAAAAAAAATCAGATCTTTAAGTGGATGAGTGTATTAACTTTAAAGAATTTGTCCTAGTTGTCAAATTTTTTAGCCTATCAAATAATAAATTGTGATTAAATATGTGGGTAGATTGATTGAGCATACCTTATTATGTACTAGTGCAAAATAAGATAATCAAGGCTGTTTATTTATTTGGCAATGCTGCATATTTAAGGACTAGTCAGAGCAATGGTGAGTGATTCTTATTAGGCTTTCTGAGGAGATTTTATGTTGTAACTAGAAGCCCAGTGCACGACATTCATGCACTGTGGGGGGGGGGGTAGGGGGTGGTCCCTCAGTCCGGCCTGCTCCCTTTCCCAGTCCGGGACCCCCGAGGAGTCCTTAGTGCTTCTGTGGAGGCGGGAGAGGCTCCCACCACCACCACTGCACTTGCCAGCCGTGAATCTGGCTTGTGGCTGAGCAGCGCTCCCCCTGTGAGAGAGCACTGACCAACAGGGGGCAGCTCCTGCGTTGAGCATCTGCCCCCTGGTAGTCAGTGTACGTTATAGTGACCAGTCCTCCCACCATTCGGCCAATTTGCATATTAGCCTTTTATTATATAGGATGGGCATGATTGATAGAGAAGAATATGGAAGATTAATTCTGGGTATGAAAATGCATGAATGGAGACCTGAAGATAAAACTCTTCAAATCATGGTGGGAAGAACAAGTATAATGAAGTCTGAATAAAAGTACACACACTTTTGTGGTATTCATGACCACCTGGGCACCGCTCTGTGTTCTTTCCACGATTTAATCCTCATCACATCCTTAGGAAGGGTCCCAGTTATCCCCCTTGTTTGGGCAGGAACTGAGGCACAGAGAGGTTAGGTGAATTGCCTGGTAACACTTCTCCTGGTAAGTAGTGCCTCCAGAGTGTCAGGTTTAATTTTTTTTTTTTTTTTGAGTTTGACAGAAAAATTCTTTAATCAAAACAAGTTTACATGTTGACACTTACGGCTTAACTAGAATAATCTGTACAAATTTTGATTGTGCTAAAGACCAAACAGATGTAATAGCAAGAGTTCCTTCAAAACAGTGAAACTCCAATTACTGAAATAAGTTAATAATTGATGATAAAAAACGTATCTATAGATGAAAACAATTATCCGAGAAGTCAAAACACACAATGCACGGCACATGCAAACACTGAAGTGTTAAAAGCCCCTTTCCCATATTGATAGTTTCAAAGAACTACTAAGAACTACCAACTGACCGATCAAATGATCTTAGAAATGCCATCTGTTAAGTGATCCTTAAGTTCTGTGTGTAAACCTTGGTTCACCCTGATTTAGTCCATATTTGTGAATATCAAAAACCACTCCTTTGTCTTCTTGCCTCAGAGCAACAAATGTTCCCACTCTTTGCAATCCTATCATGTGAACCACACAGAAATAAAAATCCCCTCTGATATAGCCATGTTTTCACATAGGTTAGTTTTGTTATATGGTATTTACCTTGATTTATTGCATAAGTATCATGGATTGTTCTCCAATTAAAAAAATACTACTTAGTGACATATTCATTTAAAAATATATTTTATTGGTTTTTTACAGAGAGGAAGGGAGAGGGATAAGAGCTAGAAACATCGATGAGAGAGAAACATCGATCAGCTGCCTCCTTCACACTCCCCACTGGGGATGTGCCCACAACCAAGGTACATGCCCTTGACTGGAATCGAACCTGGGACCCTTTAGTCCCCAGGCCAACGCTGTATCCACTGAGCCAATCCGGTTAGGGCATGACTTTGTTAATGAGAAAGGCAGGTGTGGATGGGTGGGAAGAGATCAACCAAAGAACTTGTATGCATAATACGCATAATCCATGGACACAGACAATAGGATGGTGGAGGTTTGGGGTGGGGTCGGGGACAGGCTATAAGGGGGTCAATGGGAGAAAAAGGGAGACATACGTAATATTTTCAACAATAAAGATTTTCTAAAAATTCAGCAATATCTCAAAAACTTAACTTTTACCCTGGCAGGTGTGGCTTAGTTGGTTGAGGGTTGTTCCATGCACCAAAAATGAACTTTCATCATTTAGTTTTCAGTTTCAGCTGCTAGTGCCTGTAAAGGATCTGAGGTGGCTGAACCCTAGAGCCAGGTTCATCCCCAAATACACCCACTCTGCTCTCTGCAGGGAAGGCATGCGGCTTCACTGAATTCCTAGCCACGGAACTAAATTACCCTCTAAAGTTAACATGGGTTTTGTTACACCCCATTTGTTTGTAGAACAGTTTGGATATCATATAAAAAGGCATAGAGACCACATATTGTTACAAAGCACCAGGATGATTTAGCACAATGTAGACCATGGTAAGATTAACTTTAGGGAGAAGAAGGGAGGAATTATATTGAAGTAGCATTTAGCTATCGTAAAAATGCATAACTTCTACAAAACCCACCAACAGTGGAAAGACAGTCTGATAAATTCAAGGTCTGTAAAAACAATGCACAAAGCTCATGATAGTTGGGAAAAGAGGAAAGGTTTATTTAAGTAGTCATTTTAAATATGTAACTTTTTTCTATTATCAAGTACACATGAGCATACACACACTAATTGAGAATATTCTACAACCACTGTCTCAGAAGCAGTTCAGCATTTCCTAAATGGATTTCCCCCACATTTACTGTATAATGTAGCTGTTACTCCTGCACAAGTACAGGTAAGCAGTGTTTCCTTTGAAACAAAGACCACGGGATTTTTATCCCTCAAACAAGTTTTAAACATCAAAACCGATGTTTATAAAAATTTAAAATTTTCAACAGTGAATATTTCAAATTAAAACTATTACATACTTCTCAAATGTTTTTTATGTTCCAGGTGTGTCCACCTCCTTATCTAGCATGGAGTCCTGCGGAGATATTTCAGTCTCTCTCTGCACTGGATGGCTTTTTCTTACCGCCGCCTCGGCTCTGCCTTCTTCGTTGCTGTCTCCATTATGTTGTGGTTGATTTCTGTCTTAAGCATCAGATCCTCCATGTAGAGTCTTTGAGCCTTTTTGCTCCTTTTCGAGACTTTGTTCCCTGGATCTTTTCTTCCCTGGATCTTTGGTTTTATTTCCTTCCTCGTGCTGTCTTTGTTTGGCAAGAGATTTATTCACCACTCGTGTTATTACAGAATCTCCTTCACCAGCCAAAAATGTGTTCTTAAACTTGCTGTACAACATTGTAGACGTTTCCATGATAATCCGACTCACTTTGAAGAGCCACCTTTTTTTTCTCTAGTGTTGTAATCACCTCTGTGTTTCTGAGCTTGTTGCATTGTGAGCTGGTGATGCAAATGCATCCAAGGCCTCAATACATCTGTCTGCTGCTTTAATCTCTTGTCTACGCAGCAGATTCATGGTAGTCGTGTTGCTGGGTTGTTCATTCATTCTCAAATGCTTATTTCAAATATTTGGTTTGGATTGCTGGCTGCATTAATTATAAATTAGAAGAGGAGATAGAAGATTTCAAAAGATAATAAATTATACTTTTAAAAACTGATCATATTATAAATTATCTTAAATTATTATTTAAATGTAAAACTGTATTTATGAGCAGTACTTGTTCCTCTCATGAAGTTGAAATTACTTTTATAATTTTCTTTTGTCTAATATACTTTCTTTTTTTATATATATATTTTATTGATTTTTTTACAGAGAGGAAGGGAGAGGGATAGAGAGTTAGAAACATCGATGAGAGAGAAACATCGATCAGCTGCCTCCTGCACACCTGCTACTGGGGATGTGCCCGCAACTAAGGTACATGCCCTTGACCGGAATCGAACCCGGGACCTTTCAGTCCGCAGGCCGACGCTCTATCCACTGAGCCAAACTGGTTAGGGCTACACTTTCTTATATATCTCTTTCTTCCTGGCACCATGTGCATAAAGTCAGTGTGGATTGTTTGGGTCCCCCAAGGACAATATCCCTACAAAAATGTATTGAGCACCTTCTATGTGGAAAGCACAGTGCTAGATAATTAGTAAAAAATATGAAAGGGGTTACCTGTTTCAAGATGTTTATTTTTTTCTAAGTGGATATTGTGAGAGGAGAGAGAATAAAACATAAATCATCTTAATACAAAGTGAGCAGTAAGTGCCATAAAGTAGAGATAAAAGTTGGCTGGGCTGCAAGAAAAGACATTTGTAATTGAGTTTTTTGGCCCTTCTCTCCCTCCCTCACTCCCTTTTACCCAAATTCCCTATGGGCCCTTAAAGAGGATTTTAGTAATTTTTCTAGTTAAATTACATATATTCTTAGGCATTGCACTAGGCTACAGAGGTACAAATTGAATTACAATAGCATTCATGCCTTTCGTTCTAGTTATAAAACAGATGGGCATGTCTGGTTCAGTGTGCTAAGTACTATGTGAAACAAAGTGAGATGGGAGCCTGGAGGAGGAAGGGAGTGTGTGGCCTGGGAGGTTGACAGCAAGAACTCACTGTGCAAGAGACTTTGAAGCTTTCCTTGAAGAACGAACCTCTTTTTGTTCATTTTGTCGGTGAAGAGTTTAGTTGAGACACTTAGGCAATAGAAATAGCATAAATGGAGGTAATGAGATTTGAAAAATTGTAAGTGGTGTTTGGGGGAATATCCTGGAGCAGAGGGGTTTTAGAAGATTTTTAAATTGGACCGTACTTGGTCATATCCACAGTAGAAAGGTACTTTAGTGGCTCTAGGGAGAATATGTTGAAGGTGGGTGATGCTGGAGACTGCTGACCTGGTACCTTGGATCTTAGGGTCTTCTTTTCTTTTCTCTTCTTCCCTTTTCTTTTCTTTGTCCTTAATTTTGGGTAGTGAAAGGTGCACAGGCTTTGGAGCCAGAAGATTTGACTTCAACTCCAAATCTCTTATCAACTATCTCTAAGGGTTTGGACAAATCACACATGTTTTCTAAATATTAAACTATAAAATGGGTAATCATTTCTGTAGCATAGGGTTTTACTTTATTTTATTTTTGTTTATTTTATTTTTTTCTTTATTGATTAAGGTATTACATATGTGTTATTGTAAGGATTATAGATCCTGTCTGGACAGGATTCAGCACAGTATCTGACATATAATATTTCCACTGTCTGTGACTTTGAACTTCTATTTGTCAAACACTCCATTCCATGCCTTAGAGAAGCTGTTCCTGAGGAGGGCCAGTGTGCTGTGCTTCAGGCAGTGTAGGCTTCTCTCTGCTTACAGGGGACACTAGCTTTTGTAGCACGAGTGAGCTGACCCACCTGAACACAGCTCTGAAAATGCAACACTCGAAGGAAGGTGGAAAGCTGAGAGACAAGATATATCCCTGTGTGATAATTCAGATTCTTGTCCATAGGAGTTCAGGAAAACCAGAAATGAGTGATGTCTGTCTTTTGCACACGGCCTTAACGAACATTATAATATTTATATTCTGTTACAAACGAAGAGGGGCAGTAAGCATTTACTGTGCTGAGGCACTGGTATGCCAGACGTCTTCCAATGAAGAAACAGATGCCCAAAAAGTGTAAGCCTCACTTGCACTTGCGTAACTTCACGTTCATGAGCTTCCATATTATACTGCCTCTCTCATGATAACTGACTTCCATGTGGCAGATTATTTGATTTATGCTTCTTTGATAGGGATGGTGCTAATCTTATTGATTTTCCTAGTCTATTTCAAGAATGGGTTTTGCCTTGTTTTATTTTGTTTCTATCTAAATTTAAGAGTGTGGAGAAAAATGACACCAGCTTCAATGTCCCAGTCTCCCAAAGGGAAGAGGTACAGGCTTTTCGTAAGCTTATATGTATACTTTTTTCCTTAATAGGTGTGTGAAAAAGCAAGCAGTCCTAAACTGGTGGAACTGTTACTGAATAGTGGGTCCCGTGAACAAGACGTACGGAAAGCGCTGGCCATAAGCATCAGGAAAGGCGACAGCCAGGTCATCAGTTTGCTCCTAAAGAGGCTTGCCCTGGATCTGGCCAATAACAGCATATGCCTCGGAGGATTTTGTATCGGGAAAATCGAACCTTCTTGGCTTGGTCCTTTATTTCCAGACAAGACATGCAATTCAAGAAAAGAAATAAGTAGGTATTAAAAGGAACACTTCGTATGTCTTATTTTTAGTTGTATTTTTTTTTTTTGTCACTAATCTTTTAGTTTTTCTTCTAGATTGGTGCAACGTAAGCCAAAAATATTGTAAGGGTTTGGGTATCTTTTTCTTGTCATGAAATGCTTGAAAGTGATGTTATATTTAAGTTTCTTATGACCCAGCAAATGCATATTTTATAAAGATAGTGTAAGACTGTGGGATCTTTCTGAGGGGTTACTTTTCTTTTTAATATATTTTATTTACTTTTATTTTTAAAAAATTTTAATTGATTTCAGAGAGAGAAGAAGGGGGGAGAGAGAGAGAGAGAGGGAGATAGAAAGAGAGGTGAAACATTGATGTGAGAGAGAAGCATTGATCCGTTGCCTCCCGTACATGCCCTGACCAAGGATGGAACCCGCAGTCTCGGTGTGTACCCTGATTGGGAATCGAACGCGAGATCCTTCAGTGCACCAGACGACACTTCAACCAACTGAGCCCCACCAGCCAGGACTTTTTTTATATATTTAATTTTTATTATAAAAGTAATTCATACTCATTTTAAAGATAGGGAAACAATCATAAGGAAGAAAATAATAACTTATCCCTTATAGGCAATGATGTAGATTTCCCCTATACTTTTTATTTGTTTATATATACATATGCATCTAAATGTATATGTAGTAACATATATACTTTCATTTTCAAGTTAACATACTATTGGTTCCAATATTGTGTTCATTATTGGAACTAGTCAATACTTCTAACTCTAGGTAAGGCCATAACTGCCAAGAAAATGCATCTCTGAGTGTTAGGGTACTGCCTTGGGATGTTCCCGGCTGAAATCTGACACTGGCTCCATACCTGGAGGCCAAGGAGAGACGGAGGAAAGAGGCAGACTACCAAGATTGATCCCTGGCAGGTTTAATGAACAAGGGAACTTAACATACGAGGCTTGTCTGGGCAACTGCAAGATGAGTAAATCTCCACACCCACCTGCCAGAATCTTAAAGGTTATGTACAGGTCTGACCTGGTTTCAGTCACGTATGCAGTCCAGGTGGTCTCAACAACACCTACTCTCTCAAAGGCTACATCTGTGGGAAGCTCTCGCTGTGGGCAGGATGGGCAGGATGTGAAATCCAAGGATGGCGAGAGGGGAGGGGCTTCCGATGGCCCCGTCCAGCTCATGGATCCACCAGCAGTAATGTCCTTTTGATGACCTCCTCCAATATTTACTGTGTATTTTAATTAAGGATATATTCTCTCCATATTTTCAAGTTAATATATATTTTGTATATATTAAGTATAATGATGACAAGTTATCATGAACCTCTTTAACATTTGTCTTTTTAGCTGTCTCTCATTTACTCACACTAAGTGTATTTTTTTCAGTATTTTTCTTTTTAAAAAAAATCTTTATTGTTTAAAGTATGACAGTATTTTAAAGCGTGACCTCCCAGCTTTTCCTCTGTGACCTTACCCCCATGCTCACTCCCCTCCCCGCAATGGTGGGACTCTGACTCTTCACTTTAAGGATTTTCTTGTTAATAACATGTTCTCTCTACTGTCTTTTTCTGACACACTCACCAGACCAAACCCCATTCCTCATCAGCCCAACAGTCTGATTTTTCCTCTCCTTCCCAGAGATAGCTGCATGCTGCTGAAGGATCCATCCGTGCATGTTGGTGCTTCTGCATAGTCAAGGTCTCCAACTTCCTGATGGGACCTAGAAGACCCCATCTGGCTGAGTTTCCCTCAGCTTCTTAAATGCTTCCTATACTCTTCCAGGCTTTTCCCAGTGTTACTCTCTCCACCTAACTCCCTTACCTTCTCTCTCACCTGGCCAACTCTTCATTCTTCCTGCCTCAGCACCATAGCACTTTTCAGAAGAAAACGTTCCTGCCCCTATGAAGTGTGGGTGGATGGTCCTTTTACCGACCCCCCTTTCCCTGCACCTTATTTTGAGAATAATTTGTCCATATCCATTAGAATTTTTACCCAGCAATATTCTAATAGGAATCTCTGATACAGAAATTCTCAATGTACATAAAAATGCGTGTACAAGGATGCACATTAAAGTGTTATCTATAATAGCAAAAATTTAGGGAAAAATTGTAAGTATTCCCCAAAAGAAACTATTCAAATTATTATGGAACATCCATTCAGTGCTTTGCAATCATTGGGAAAAATAAATCTAGCAAATTCAAATGTTTGGACACAGAATGTATTGTTAAGTAAACAAAGAGGCCCAGAACAGTGCTTTCAGTATACTGAAACAGTGTTTTTAGTATACTATAGGTGAGCACACAATTGTGATATTGTAGTCATAAATGTTTGAATATGAAGAAGAACATGTCAGAAAAAATACTACAGAAATGGGCTCCCCGGTTGCCTCTGGGGGCTTTGGAGATGAATAAGTCATGATTAGATCCCTAGTTTCATCAGTTTAATCAGTTTCATGGCAATAGCCTGTTCACTTCTTTAATCTTTGGTGCTTTGGTGTTTGGTAGAGAGGAACTGTAGGCTCATTGGAGAAAAAGGAAGGGAGATTTACCATTTACTTTATTCCCTATGTTCTGTATGAAGTTATTTAAAATTTTTTAATTTGGATTTTTTTTTTTACCATGACAAGTCTTACCTAATTTAAAAATATATAATAATGTTACTTGATTGATTTGAGGATATAGCATGATTTCTTTGGCAGCTTGTCTGAGTAAAGAACATTTTGGATTCATAGCTTTAAAACATTTTTTCAGGTACTATTGAACTGAGTCACATACATGTGTTACAGTATTGGAAGAAATTTCCCAGGCTTTATGTAGACAATGAGGACTCTGCCAACTAATAAGGTTAACTTTGAAATTCCACATAATTCCCCAATAGAATGAAACACTTAGCAAATAGTTTGTAAAAATACGAATATCATTTATGGAGCATATTCTCTGTCCTAGGCATTATGTTAAACATTTTATATGCATCATTTCATCTTTTCAGTAACCCTATGTTGTATATATTGTCATCTTCACTTCCGCAATGAAGACACTAACATGTAGGGAGGTCATACAATTCACAGGTGGCCTTACTATGATTTGGGCACAGGCTTGTCTGGCTTCACAGCCCAAGCCCTTTCTGAGGTTAAGTGAGTTTCATAAATATTCAGTTCTGTTATCTCCACCAAAGCTTTGTATAAATTTGTATGATTTTTTTGAAAATTAACATTGACTTCTTGTAATATCACAATTTTAAAGTGACTTTGGAAGTAGGAATGAACAATTTTCTAAAAATATGAGAATATGCTTTGGTATGGTATATGTTTACATTTGTTTAGTTGTTGATGTCTAAGTTGCTGGTGTATCTTTTTTATTTTTAGATATAGGATCCATACTAGCAAGAATGGTCCTCAGATACCAGATGAAAAGTTCTGTGGCAGAGGGAGCAGCCTCAGGCAGCGATGGGGATTTTTCTGAGCAAGTACTTGATAAATTTGACCAATGGACCTTCATTCCTGAGTCCTACGTGGACAGTGTGTTTGGACAAAGTGATGACCTAGATAGCGAAGGTATTTATTATATATAAAAAAATAGTTCCCTGTATGTTTTAAAACCCTTGCACACTGACATTGAAAAATGAGAATTGAGACAAAATCCTGATTTAATTTATTTGGAAAAACTTGAGGAAAATGTGTTCATTATTGAAAATAGTTAGTGCTTACTAACTCCAATTCAGGCAATGGCTGTAAAAAAATTCATCTCTGCACTTAACAATGTTTTGATACTGCCTTTAGTTGGTGACTGCAATTGGATTCCATGTTCCATCATTGACTATATCCTTTCTGGATTGTGTAAACCTTATTAAAAGTAGTTTTGCCAACCTTCTAGGATTTTTTGGTAAGAATTAAATAAAAAAAATATATAAACTCTCTGGGAGAGTTCTTGGCAAATAGGAAGTACTTAAAAATATGTATTTACCTTTATTAGAATTAAGAATAATATTAATCTTTTAATAACTCACTCAAGATAACTTTTAAAAATTGACATAGCAAGATATATAATGATAGTTATTTGGGCTGACATTTAATGCAATACAGTTTGGTAAAAATGGGGTGAGGTATTTTCTTTTATTAACATAGTGTGATTGTAAACTTTGGGTGATAGAATAAAGGTATTTGAGAAGGCAAAAAGAAAGGATTATTCCAAGATCTCATGTCTCAAGTCCAAGTATTTTTAAAAATAAACTTTATTTAGAAATAATTATTATAAAAAGAAATGCACCTACTTAAGTATATATTTTCATGGGTTTTGAAAAATTTTTACATCCATTTAATAATCACTATTATCAAGTTATACAACATTTCTATCATTCAACAAGTCCTTGTTGCCTCTTCTTAAAATAGTTCCCCGATCTTGGTCCTTGGCAACATTGATCTGCTTTCTATTCCTATAGATTGCATTAGTATTTTCTCCAGTTGCATAGAAATGGAATCATACAGTATGTTCTCTTTTATGTCTGGCTGTTTTCCAAAGTGGTTGTACCACATTATACTCCCACCAGCAATATATGAAAATTCTAGGTGCTTTCCATCTTTGTCACCATACAACACTTGATAGAGTCAGTCAAATTAGTTTTAGCCATTCTAGTGAAGGCACAATTCTAGCTCATTTGGGTTGAATTTTTATTTGGGATGAATATTATTGAATTTTGATCACCATTGATATTAACAATATTTTCATGTTCTTATTGACCATTCGTGTATTTTCTTTGGGAAATATCTGCTCACATCTTTTGCTAACTTTTTAAACTTAAATGAGTGCATGTATGTAATGAGTAGTTTTTGTTTTGTTTATTTATTGTTCACACTATTAGAGATGTTCCCATTCCCACCCCTCCTTACCCACCGCCACCCAACGCCCGCTCGCCATGTCACTGCCTTTCTTTTTATGGTATTGTTCAAAGAGTAGGTTTTAAAAATTTTCTAATTGCTATGTGGTTTTTAGTTTGACTTATGGGTCATTTGGAAGAGTGTTTATTTTCCAGATATTTGGAGATTTTCCACATAACTTTCTCTTATTGGGTGCAATTTAACATTTTTGGGTCAGAGAACACACTCTGATGATTTTTTCATCCTTTTAAATTTATTGAGATGATTTGTTGAACTACTGTATGGCTTAACATGGTGAATGCTCCATGTGAAATTTAAAAGAATATATATTTGGCTGATCTGGAGTTAAGTCTATTAGTATGTCTGATTGCTTGGTAGTGTTTTCAGTCTCCCATATCATTACAGATTTTTCTCTCTACTTGACTGGAGAAAGAAATGTTGAAATAAAAATTGTGGATTTGGTCATTCTTTCAATTTGATCAGCTTATGCTTTATGTATTTTGCAGCTCTGTTATGGGGTGTGTAACAGTAAGGGTTTTAATTTTTTTAAATGATTTTACCCTTTTATATTGATCCAACTTACATCTAGTATCCTCCCTTCCTCCTGTAGAACTCCTTTTTCATTTCTTACAGTGCAGATCTGTGGGAGACCTCTTTGCAGGTTACTGGAGCTCTTTTTCCAGGATTCTGCCCCTAAACTCTCAGCTAAGGAAGTCTCCCTGAATGTTCATCTTCATCTCATCTCAGGAAAGCCATTGAGCTTTGTTTAAATTCCTTCTCACTGTGCCACAGGCCTTCCAATTTCCCTGAGGCAGAAAGCCAGGGTGACCATAGGCTTACAGATTTTGTTTCCTTCATTCAAGGACTACACAATCCGGCACTGTCCCTTGCCCAATGTCTGAAACCAGTTGTTTAAAATATTTTGTCCAATTTTCCATTTGTTTGTGGGGGTTGGTTAAGATCTGTGCTTTTGTCTCTATCATGGCTGAAAGAAGAATTCTTCTTAAGTAGTTATAAATAAAGGAAAACATTTAAATAAATGCTAACATAAAATAAATTATAAAATGTATAGATGCTTGTATAAACAGCATGCTAATAGAAGTTTCACAAACATAAAGGGGGATAATTATCAAAATGTAATAATTATAAGATATGTACACGATTAAATTACAAAGTCTATTAAAATACTTAAGCATAAGATCATTTAAATTTTAGGATGAATTAAATTTTAATAATTGATCAAGTAGGAAGTATTTGTATCAGTTTTACAATTTATATAGAATATTGTCAAGTTGATTTCTGGATATATAGATTTTATATAATTTTTTTGACACTTAAGATTATGCTTTCTCTTAAGATAAAGAGTAGTATAATTAATCATAATTTTTAGTAGTGCCTTCAGATTACATATCACTAGTAATATGATTTATTTATTGATCTTTATTTTTTAAATTCATAATTTTAAAAGTAGTTTTATCTCTTCTCTCTCAAAACAGTATTGCTAACTAAATACAATGTGTTTATTTAATGTTATTTTACCCGAATAAATAACATTATTTAATGTTATTATGTGAAACCATAAAATATGAAATGTAAATAGAGATGTATTCAAGATTGCTGAATATTAAATAATTTCAAGTGTGATTTCAGTTTAGAAAACAATGTTTGAAAAATTTCTAAGAAAAATTTAGAGAAACAGAATAGTTTTGATCAGATTTGAACATAAACTTTCTCTGCTTGCTGTACATGCACATACTTATTATTGTATACATAACTACTTTTTTTCACTTGGCTCTTTTCTACTGTACTATGAGCTCAGGAGGCCTGGATTATTTTTCCAGTTTATCTCTACCCAACACTTACTCAGTGTCTAGTCTATGACAACCATTCAGTAAATATTTATGGATGAAGAAAAGTGTAACTGAATTTTGAAAATGAAAAACAAACATAGTTTATTATTTCTATTTTTAAAATGTTACAATAGAAATTAGGTGATTTCTATTAATGAAAATATTTTTTAATCTCATGGTCAAATGTGGTATTAGTATCTTATGATTGGGTAAACATTTTCTATTTGCCTTTATTTATTATTTAAAAACAGGAAGTGAAGGCTCATTTCTTGTGAAAAAGAAGTCAAGTTCTATTAGTGTAGGAGAATTTTACCGAGATCCTGCCTTGCAACGTTGTTCACCAAATTTGCAAAGTCATTCCAGTTCATTGGTAAGTTAAATTGTGATTATGTTGTGTGTTTTGTTACTGACATTCTCTTGATAATTGAGCTATTGATTAAAAAAAAAAAAAAGCTAGGAGCTATTGGTGCAGAAATTTCCTGATGTATGAAAACTTCATATCGGAATATAAATATATATCTACATTTACATATATATAATTTTAGTTTATACTTGTAGATTTTTAAGCATGTTTGGGGCATATACAGGGTGGGGGCAAAAAACGTAGGTTACAGTTGTTCATATGGAAAATTATACAATAATGAATAAAAAATAATAATACAAGAATGAACTCTGTTTTCACATACTCACAATATAAACCTGCTTTGGCCCCACCCTCTATGTACTAAGTATACTTCATTATGATTTTATCCTCTTCCTCTTTCAGAGCTCCATGTCTATGTGCCCATGTTAGCTCAATGTCTTATGGTGTCGCTGGTCCCATGAATACTTTAGATAGAAATCTTATAGTGATTCCTAAGGAAACCAGATAGGAAATGTTCTCTTTGCTCTTAAAAAATGACACTGAAAAAAAAAAATGACAGTGATTGTACTGTAAATGTCTATTTGTTTAATAGGGACCCATTTTTGATCAAGAAGACTTACTGAAGCGAAAAAGAAAAATATTGTCTTCAGATGATTCACTCAGTAAGTATTTGAAAGTAATCATAACTCAGTTGATATTTTGAGCAGAATATAATATTTGTTAAATTTCTTCTGTTTTTTCCCCCAAAATTTCTTAGTGCCCATTTCATCTTATATAACCTTCCAATTATAATAGATTTAAAAATTTACCGTTTATACAGTATATATAGGACATGTATTTTTTTCTACTATTTATCTGAAATGTAAATAATGCCCTTACCAATAATGCCCTCTTTTTTTAAAAAATATATTTTATTGATTATTTACAGAGAGGAAGGGAGAGAGATAGAGAGTCAGAAACATCGATGAGAGAGAAACATTGACCAGCCGCCTCCTGCACATCCCCCATCGGGGATGTGCCTTCAACCCAGGTACATGCCCTTGACCGGAATCGAACCTGGGACCTTTCAGTCTGCAGGCCGACGCTCTATCCACTGAGCCAAACCGGTTTCGGCCCAATAATGCCCTCTTCATCCCTTTCTCCAGGTCTGTTGTTTTTGTTTTTTTTTTTTTACACTGCTAAGACCGCTTGATTAAATATTTATTATTTACTCTCCATCTCTGGCACTGGTTTGGTTTCCATAGTTTGGTTTTTGCTGAATCTCCAGTACCTTGAATAGAGCCTACATTATTAGGTGATCAATAAACATTTGCCCAGCTAAATTATCCACTTATATTTCCATTGTTTGTCTGCTTTTGACAAAAGGGTCATCAAAACTTCCATCCCATATGAGGCATTCAGACAGCACTTCTTCCCTGGCTTCTGAGAGAGAATATATTACATCCCTAGATCTTTCAGCCAACGAACTCAGAGATATTGATGCCCTAAGCCAGAAGTGCTGCATCAGTGGTCATCTGGAGCACCTGGCAAGGCTGGAGCTTCACCAGAACGCACTCACGGGCTTCCCACAGCGGCTATGTGAAGTAAATTTAACCTGTCCTACTAACTCTCAGCATATCTGAAGAGCTTTGGCATTTACATTTAATGTGCATGGTTAAATCTTTAAAAAGAACATTCTACTTTTGTGTCCTTGGACAGTAATTCCCCCATTCTTCTGGGTTTCACACAAGTCTCTTAGACTGGGTGGCGTTCAGAAACATCTTTGAGGGCAGGCAGTGGAAATGGAGAGGTAGTTAAAAAGGAATTCAGGGTCCTGTCCTAAAGATACATGGTACATGTTAAACTCTCTTAAGGCTAGATGTTGGTTATGCCTTCAATTATTTAATTGTTGTAAGGCAGTTCAAACTACTTCAACTTGATAGACTAGACTTAGACCTGGTTTGGGTGGCACTGGCTCTGGCTCAGCTACCAACTGTGTGATAATAAGAAAATGTTACTCTGACTGCTCTAAGCCTTTCATTTCCTCATCTGCCAAACACGGAGGCTAGACTAAACTACTCCTAAAGCATTTATTGAGTTTTAAAATTATATGTAACTTAAAAATAATTATTTGTTAAAGAATAGGAAAAGAAAACTAGAATTCAGCCTACTTAAAAGAGAGGGAATTTGAAGAGAACATGGCAAGGTTCTCTTAATGAGCTACATTAAGGCATTCCAAAACAGAGCCAGCTCAGAACCTTCTCTGCAGGAAATTTCAAATTGACACCCCTAGATGGCAGTTTCTGTTCCTGCCTAACTGTGTTTTCTTATAAAAATATTTTCTAATTAAACCTTGGGAATAAATAATTTTAAAATCTGAATAATCTGGTTGGATCTGAAACAGTGGCAGAAATTTTGAAACAACTTCTGGGGGAAAGATCCATTAATAAGCCTTTATAATCATGTCAAACTCTTTAGAATTCCAAGAGAAGATAAATATATTGCTAAGTAAAGAAGAGCACAGAGAAGTGATTGTTTGGGTATTTTAGCCCTTTGACAATAATTCATACCAAATATTAAAAATTTGACATAATATGTAAATGGAAGGTTTGCTGTTATGATAGTAGGATTAGAAATGGCTTAAAAATAAAAATGGAGGTTTGAAACAAAAAGTTCCCTAAAAAGAAGAGGTTCTAAATAAAATATATGTTATGTACAGTGACTAATTTTATGGTTAAATCTTATTTATATTAAAATGTATAACAATTTCCAAAAGCTAGCATTTAAAATTATATTCCCAGGATTATGTTATACTACTTATTCATGAAATCATTAGTCTAAATATTTTTTGAGGCTGCTTCCATTTTTACTTGCTGAATGAATAAAGCTGAGTTAAATACTAAACTTTATTTTTGTGAACTTGCTTTTGAAAACCTGCCTGCCACATGTCCCCTGGTTTTACCCATTTTAGAGCAGAGAAAGTTGGACCAGTCAGTGTACTAAAGCTCTCTTGTGAGTTATGTTTTCAAGTTTTAGAAAATTCTTAATGGTTCTAGTTATGGGAGTTATGGCAGGCAAGAAATATTAGCTAAATTTCCTAGTAAGTTTCTCAGGGGGTTTATTTTGGAATTTTAAAAATACTGTCTTTCCAGGTGCTGAAGTGTTTGACGCACTTGGACTTGCACAGTAATAAGTTCACAGCGTTTCCCTCCTACTTGTTGAAAATGAATTGTATTGCCAACCTTGATGTCTCTCGAAATGACATTGGGCCCTCGATAGTTTTGGATCCTGCAGTGAAGTGTCCGACCTTGAAACAGTTCAACCTGTCATATAACCAGCTGTCTTCTGTTCCCGAGAACCTGGGCAATGTGGCAGAGAAACTGGAGCAGCTGACTTTAGAAGGGTAGGAAGGGCTCATTAGAGACCAAAGGGTTGCCTTGCATGGACGCTGTGTAAGGTTGACAAAATATGCTGACATTATTTCTACAGCAATAAATTTTAAACTGTAACATGTTAAAAGACAGAGGCAACTAATATTGCAGCTTGCATCAATTGACTTAAATTTTCACAACTAATTTTAAAGTCGATAAATCTGATTGATGCTAAACTTTGAAGGCAAGTTGTTTTTGCTTTTTTCTTTTAAGCATAGGAGTTCATGCAATTTAGTCCTCATTTTCTCTCTTATGACTAGAAATAAAATATCAGGAATGTGTTCTCCCCTGAGCCTGAAGGAACTGAAGATTTTAAATCTTAGTAAAAACAACATTTCATCCCTGTCAGAGGACTTTCTTGAGGCTTGTCCTAAAGTGGAGAGTTTCAGCGCCAGAATGAACTCCCTTGGTAAGTGTTCTGGGTGAGCCTTCTCTTTACCAGCACTTTTGAATATTACAGGATGAGTAATATTGGACATTTTTGGTGGGGATTTAATGGTATTGTTTGAGTTTAAATATGATGCCGGAGCTTCAAATATAAATCTAGCGGGTTAGTGATAAAAATAAATGAGGAGTCAAGCCATGGACACAGGAAGGAAACTTAAATGCATGCTGCTAAGTGAAAAAAGTCAGGCTGAAAAGGCTACATACTGTATAATTCCAACTAAAAGACACTGGCAAAGGCACTAAGACAATCAGCGGGTGCCAGTGGAGTGAGGAAGAGAGGAATGAATAGTTGGGGAAAAGGAGGATTTGGGACAGTGGAGCTATTCTGTGTGCTACTGTTATGTGGACACTGGTCATAATACATTTATCAGGATGCATAGAATGTATAATGCAAAGAGTGAACTCTGTTGTAAACGATGGATTTTAATGACAAGGCATTAATATTGACATTAATTATAACATATACCAAACTATGCAACTTATTCATAATAGAAGAGGGGGAGGAAAGTGTGTTTATGGGTGGTGGTAGTGAGGAGAGAAGGGATCCATGGAAAATTTGGTATTTTCCACTCAAATTTTCTGTAAATATAAAGCTGCTTAAAAAAGTCTACTTTTTAAATTAAAAAGAAAGTTAAAATTTTAATGTTAAAATTTTATAAATGAGAAATAATTTTAGCAGGTTAGTATTGGCATAGATCAAAATGACAATATCTTGGGCTATAAATAGTCACTATATTGTGGTTCCTTTCAGTTTACTAAACTAAACACTCCTATGAATGCCTGATCTGGGTAAAGCAGGAATCCTAAGTTCCTACCGAGCTTCTTCAGAAATTTTTGGAGTATAAGTATTATTAGTACTATTGTTTCTTTTTAATCAATCATTCAACAGTTTTCAAGTTAGTAATGTTCATGTACATTTAATAAGTTCTTGTTTTGTGCAAGGTATTACAATAATACATAATATGACCACTACTTTTATTACAAGCCATGGAACACCCTTTGTGGAATACCCTAAGCCTGTGAGATAACAGGGAACTATGTTCATTTGCAGCCTATCTGAGAATTATAATATTAAGGGAAAATACTTTTATAACCATAAACAGAAACTCCTCATATTTTATCTTTCCTAATGGAAGCCATGTGCATCTTGCCACCAACGTGACTGTTCTATATCTGACTCAGTAAAATTATTTTTTTATAAAATAATTTTTAATACATTTTAATAGCAGAATACAGTTTGACCACTTATTTTCAAATATATTAATTTGTCAGAACGATCAGAAACAAATGAGAAGAGCCATGCTAATTTGCATAGTATTTTATTTTTTTCTCCCTTTCACCCTCTTCTAACATTGATCATGTTCCTACCATGAACCGGAAACTGGGGATAGGAGGCAGGGGAGTATGATGTTTAAGTTGGGTCAGGAAAAAATAGCATTTATAAGGACTCTGAGGCTTGATTATAGTAAATATGTCATCTCCACTGAATTTCACACACACACAAACCTATAGAATAGGACAGGTATGATCTCTGCGTGACCAATTGAGGAAATTGAAGCACTGAGATTTTTGTGTGACATGTCAGGGACATAAAATTAGCTAACCATGAAAACCTGAATACACCTAAGTTCAAAAATCGATTTTCTTTTCACTACACAACTTTAATGGTTTTAGAAATTACCTATCTTCTAAAACTACACAACTTTAATAGTTTTAGAAGTTGTCTATAGTTAGGTCATACCTGAGTGGGATCACGAACCATTGAAAATAACCTCATGTGAAATGAAGTTTCACTCAATTCTTTGATTTTATAAGAGTGTTTTTCCCTATAGCATCTGAACCTCAAGACTCTTTAATTCTTAAGTGGAGAAGCATTTCTACTAACTTATTTAGTCACAAATACTTTTGGAAAATAGGTGAGGTGTAGCATAGCATGTACCTTTCAGGAAGGCAGCGTCTAGCCATGTCCTGGAAGTTTTTGATCCTTGAAGATTTTCTAGATAAAGCATAACTTGTACTTTTAATATTGAAAATGCTAAGAAGTAATTTCTGAAGTTACTTTCATGGAACCATAAGTTTTTATATTTCTGAAGAATCTCAGATATCATCTGGTCTAGCTGTACTATTTTGCAGATGACAAAACAGGCTGTATGCTGTGCTCGGTTTCCAATATTGTGTTCCACGGAATTTCATTCCTTGGAGGTCCTCATACTATATTTCTTTCTTGGGAATTCAAAACATATGCCAGGCTATTGAGAACTCTGAGATACCTCATTTTATTTTACCTAATGTTTCCCCAATCTCTTAAGATCACATGATCAAAGAATACCTTTATTAAGTAATATCCATATTATTCCATAGAACACTTTATGAGATGATACTCTGAAGAATTTTTATCTTTAGATATTATATTGTATATTAGTATTCTAAAGTATTTTGTTACAGTTACTTAAGAGTAATTTGAATTAATCTATTTCACAAAATATCACACATAATTTGAAATGAATATTCTAATAACTTTTATGTTCATAGATGTTAAACAGATTAATTATATTTAGATAGTTGCTTAGCTTTCATATTAAAAGATTTGTATAAGTATGGTGTATTATTTTAATGTTTAGTGGTAGTATTAAGGATGTCACCATATTTTAAAAGTAGATTTTTGAAAAATTGTCAGCATAAGAATAGAAATTAAGTTAAATGGCAGGTCATTGGTAGCCGTTCTTATAGAATCCAATAGAAATCTAGTTAAAATGATTTAAATGTCCGTTATCTCATTTTTATTTTCTTTTAGCTGCTATGCCTTTTTTACCTTCTTCTATGACAAACATCAAATTATCTCAAAACAGATTTACATGTGTTCCAGAAGCAATTTTAAATCTTCCACAGTAAGTTTATTATTTTAATTTTAAAGCCACACGAGCTGGAGCAGAACCTTCAGAAACAAGGTTTTGATTTAGGCATATAAAATGTAATTGATTTCTAAACCTACTTAGCTTACTGTTTAAATCTATGAATGTTTGACATTCACTAGACAAAAGGCCGAAGTTGTTACTTGGACTTTTAAACTTTTATATTAATTTGGTGTGCTATTGTGTAGTAACAGTTGAACATTATTTAATGAATAGTTCGCATTATGATACTCAAATGAGATTACATTGGCTGTCACTTTAACTATGCAAGGCATCATGCTCAGTGTTAGGGAACGCTGTGTATCACCCTGAGACAAGCAGGTGGAAGAGTGTGCCCCTGCACAATGTTAATGAGCTCTAAGACCCAACCTCTGAAGAATCCTCCTAGTAATAAGTGAAATTGAAAAGAGATAGAGGGGCTGTATATTTATAACTCTTCTACTTGAATAGAAGCAGGAATTTTAATGACCATTTTTGTATTCGTTAATTATGATTTCTCATGTGTAATAAACATGTGTAAAACACTCATTCTGAGATTGACATTTTTATGTTTCTGGAGCAGGGAAATTAGGCCTCAATTTTGCTTTTAATGGTTCTTATTCATGTAAATGTTTCTAGTGAGAAGGCCTCCTTTCTAGCTCATCTGTACTTATAAGTACCCCAAAGCACACATGCATCCTTATATATAAATGTTGTTAGTTTTAAAGTTCTTATTCTCTAGTGGAAATTACTGGTGATATAATTTTATGTATTTTGGAAACACTCACTTGGTTCTATCTTGACACTGTATTGTTTTAGCTTGCGATCATTAGACATGAGCAGCAACGAAATTAAATACCTACCAAGTCCTGTACACTGGAAATCTTTGAACTTAAGGGAACTCTTGTTTAGTCATAATCAGATCAGCATCTTGGACTTGAGCGAAAAAGCACATGCATGGTCTAGAATAGAGAAACTACATCTTTCTCATAATAAACTGAAAGAGGTAAGAGGTCATCTTTATTTGCTTAAAGTTATTGCCATTTGAAAATAGGCTTGTGTAATTTGCATCATCAAAAATTGTCATTTTAAAATCTGTCATTTTGTATTTCCTACTTTTTGAATAAGATCTAAACCTACCCTGAGATAAGTTGGTATATTAAGAATGCGTAATTTCCATAAAAGAACACTTTTTGTGCTCTGTTTTTTAATTACAGAAATATATCTATTTAACTATGAATGTGGTGTCTGTAATGCTTTAAATGTGTTATTTAATCATGAAATCACTGGTCTTTTACCAGACTCTCAGATACTCTGCACTTCTAAAGTTGACACTGGGCCACATATAGTCATGTTTTTCCCCTGACTTTCTTTCCTACATTCTTAAATTCCTGCATTCCTTTACCTCATCCAAGTGGGCCAATGTCCTTTGCTTTACTCCATTGCCTCTGTTACAAATCTGAAATTGATTATCCATTGATCTCAGAAAAAAACTTTTTTGGGGGCCAAATTCAAAAGGCAAAAATAATTAAGTGTTTGAAACTGTGAGGTTCAGAATAACTGATTTTTGGTACTTGATTTTTGCCAGAAAAATTAATGTTTTTTTTTTATTTTAAAAGTAATGAGCCCTAGCCGGTTTGGCTAAGTGGATAGAGTGTTGGCCCGTGGACTGAAGGGTCCCGGGCTTGATTCCAGTCAAGGGCACATGCCTGGGTTGTGGGCTCTATCCCCAAGTGGGGGAGCATGCAGGAGGCAGCTGATCAATGATTCTCTCTCATTATTGATGTTTCTATCTCTCCCTTTCCCTCTCTGAAATCAATAAAAATATTTTAAAAAAATTAAAAAAGTAATGGGTACTTAAAAATTTGGAATGGAAAAAACAAACTCTAGTTAGTGTGCCACCTAAATTAGTTAAACAAAATTTAGTTGTATTTTAATAGTATTAAGTTGTATATAAGCTTGTGATGACCAGATCTTTATAGTTTTACTGAAGAACAAAACACTGTGAGGAAACAGATGATTGGATTTGGAAAGCTATAAAGACATTTGCTTTCAGTGTTGTGAAGAGATGACATATGTTACCAAGGGAGCAAGGGTTTTCAAAGATTATAAATATGTGACCTAGTTTTGGGTAAGTCCCTAATATTTATCTCTTTAAACATTCATAGTGAAAGCTGTGACAAGCACTTGGAAGGTTTTTGATCCCTGTTGAAAGGTTGTGCATGTCGCCGATGGGATCTCTGGTCCTCTCTGGCTCCCTTATCAGCTTCTTGTTCCTTGGCAGCACACATCTTCCTTCCCACCAACAGACTTTGCCCCTTTTTTTTTTATTTCATTAAGATTCCTCCTGAGATTGGCTGTCTTGAAAACCTGACATCTCTTGATGTTAGTTACAACTTGGAACTGAGATCCTTTCCCAATGAAATGGGGAAATTGAGCAAAATATGGGATCTTCCTTTGGATGAGCTGCGTCTTAATTTTGATTTTAAGCATATAGGATGTAAAGCCAAAGACATCATAAGGTTAGATCATTTTATTTCCATTTGTTTCTGTTAAGTGTGTTTCAGATTTCTCTGTGACTTTGAGGGATATAGAATTACAAAATAAGAAAAAAATGTATAGTGCTATTTAACATTAAGATGCTATGTATCATTTGCCTTTTATATAATGAACTAGAGGCTCGGTGCATGGATTCGTGCACTGGTGGGATCTCTCGGCCTGGCCTGCCCCCTCTCACAATCTAGGACCCCTCGGGGGATGCCGGACTGCCTGTTTTGTCCCGATCTCCTCAGGCTAGGCCAAGGGACACCACTGGTGCACAAATCCATGCACCGGGCCTCTAGTATGCATATAAGATCTTTGGTTAATCTCTTCCCACCCTCCCCCTCCCCCTTCCTCTGAGATTCATCAGTCTGTTCCATGTTTCCATGCTGTGTGTTGAGCGTCTGCCCCTGTTGGTCAGTGTGTGTCATAGCTACTGGTGGAATGGTTGCTTAGGCCTTCATATATATATATATATATATATATATATATATATATATGAGAATATTTTTCCTCCTTATCATGTTTCTTGCTAGAAACAGACTCTAAAAGGAAAGTACTACTAGTTGGTCTCTTGTTACCAACTACACAATATAAAGAAGCATAGCAGAATATAATGAATTCTTTTTTATGTCTTTATTGATTTGTAGAGAGAGAGGATAGAGGGATAAAAACATCAATGCCAGAGAAATATCATTGATCAGCTGCCTCCTACATGCCCCCTGCTGGGGATTGAGCGCAGAGCCCTGGGCATGTGCCCTCACTGGGAATTGAACCAGTGACCATTGAGCCACACTGGCTGGGCAATAATAACTTCTTAAGCTTCATTTCAGATAGCAGATAGTTATATGTCTATTTTATTTTAAAGCATTATAGTTTCTTAAATAATAAATCATTACTAACTTTGGTTTTGCTTGCTGACCTTGATCATATTTGAAATCCCTGAAACTCCCCAGGTATCACTGTTTCTGGTGCTTACACTTTAAAAATGTCAAATATTTTTGATAATTGACTTTATCTCCTTGTTATATTTTAAGCATATTAGTCTTATTGTTACCTATTCATACAATTATTTATTTCCATTTTCACAAAATTACTTTATATCTGTATTTATCTTACAGGTTTCAGCTCATTTATCACCCCTCATTGTGTCCCTGACTATAATAGCCATTAAGGCTGGGACTATGGCTGTATTTACTCATTGTCTGATAGTTGGCACAAAGCCTGGCATACAATTTATAGTGTTTGAATTACCAGAGAACTGTATTTATCTAATTATCTTCCGCTTACATTTCAATTTATATTTAACTTTTAATGAAGAAATAGTAGCTCTGCACAGGAACCGTGCACCAGTAGCTCGCCAGTAGCTCGCTGCCACCCTCCAATAGCTCTCCACCCACTGCCCTGCCCTCCTGTAGTTCCCCCCGCCCCCCTGCCCCCGCCCCCCCTCATAGCTTGCTGCTCTGCCCCCTCCTGTAGTTCTCCGCCGCCCCCTTGTAGCTTGCTGCCCCACCCTCCTGCTGATCCATGATCCGGTCTTACTCGGTCAGTCATTACACTTTAAGGTATAATGACCATTTGCATATTACATCTTTATTATATAGGATAATTTCTGTCCTCCTGAGCTTGATGCAATTTGAAAGGAAAGAGTTTGTTGCCTGCTATGCTAAACATGACCCCTGATTTTAAATAATTATGTCTCATAATTTTTCCTTCTTGAAACTGAAAAGATGTTCATATGAATATTGGTTCAATTACTATAAAACATTTGGTGGAACTAGTTTTCAGTGTATTATTTCATATTATCAAGCCACTGTGTAAGTAAATCTTTTAAACTCTGTTTTACATTTTAGAAAAGACAAAGACCCAGGATAGTTTAGAAATTGTAGACATCCTTTGCTTTTTCAAAGAATGAGTTTTTTCAAAGAGTGGTGAATTCTGAATAGTTAATGGTCACTGGACCATTGCTTTTATTGTTTATTGGTGATGAAAACAGAACTTTAGTTGCATGTGAGAAAATGACTGATTTCAGTAATAGCAGGTAGAGATATGATCTGTCAGATCTTATTTTCTCAAGTGTCAAAGAAACCAAGAAGAGTTATTCAGCTTTTTGGTCAGATCACCAGGACTGTTGGTCAGATTCCTGTTAGTTATGAGAATGGATATGTCAGTGATCTCTAAAATTCAGTTATGATTTAGTTTCCTTCTCTAATTTTAAACTGTGGCAACATTTTAATATACTTAAAATGTACCTTTATATATTCATTATATCTTAGAGAACATTTAAAATCTATTGATATAAAGGTGGCTTTGTTAGCTACCTATGGCATTTCTAAGTAGTTTCATCTATTTTTACACTAAGATGATTAGGAATAGCAATATATCTGATACTATAATCGTTTATGTATAGTAATTTATAATGTAACCAATATGACCTTTCCATGTATATTATACATATGCATATATGATATATGTGAATATCCTATCTAATAAAGAGGGAATATGGTAATTGACCCTCATACTGTCACAAAGATGGCAGCGTCCACAAGCCAATAAGGAGGGTATATGCTAATTGACTGCCACACCCTCAAAGATGGCAGCACCCACAGCCACAAGATGGCTGGCAGGAGAGGGTAGTTGTGGGTGATCAGGCGAGCAGGGGAGGGCAGTTAGGGGCAACCAGGCTGGCAGGGGAGGGCAGTTGGGGGCGATCGGGCCAACAGGGGAGCAGTTAGGCATCGATCAGGCAGGCAGGAGAGTGGTTAGGGGTGATCAGGCTGGCAGGCAGAAGCAGTTAGGGATGATCAGGCAGGCAGGCAGGCGAGTGGTTGGGAGCCAGCAGTCCCGGATTGTGAGAGGAATGTCCGACTGCTGGTTTAGGCCCAATCCCTGTGGGGCCTAAACCGGCAGTTGTACATCCCCCAAGGGGTCCCAGATTGGAAAGGGTGCAGGCTGGGCTGAGAGACACCTCCCACCCCAAGTACACTAATTTTGTGCATCGGGCCTCTAGTATACATTATATATGTCATCCATGAATATATATGTATACACATGTATAATGTACCCAATATAACCTCACTATCAAGGTTTAGCATAACAGTATGCATGGGTACTCTAACTTGGCTCTCTGTCACATGGATTTTCTAAAATTTTATACTTTATAATTTTTAGGGTTTTGTGTTAATTTAAATAAATCTCTGTGTGTGTATGTATAAAATTCTAATGGGCATTGCAAACATTTTCACATTTTGATTATTTATGGTGATAGTGTAACATGTCATTGTGTTTGATAATGCTACCAATCATTATCAACTATACTAATATTAATAATAAAACATAGGCATTAACAGCATACCGAAAGACAAGTGCACTTTACTTATATAAGTTGTGCATTTTTTGCATACTATATTTTAAAAATCTGACTTTTAAAAGAGTTTAATGCACAAGAATTTACCTATATTTTAAGTATACTATTAAAACAGTTTATTATTTTATTTTTGTCTTTCTAATACCAGGTTTCTTCAACAGCGGTTAAAAAAGGCTGTGCCCTATAACCGCATGAAACTTATGATTGTGGGAAACACTGGGAGTGGTAAAACCACCTTATTGCAGCAATTAATGAAAACCAAGAAACCAGATGCTGGGATGCAGAGTGCCACCGTTGGCATAGACGTGAAGGACTGGCCTATCCAAATAAGAGGCAAAAGGAAGAAAGACCTGATTCTAAATGTGTGGGATTTTGCAGGTATTTATTTTGCTAGAATTTTAAAATCATGTTGATCTCTTATATAGAATTTGGATTTAAAAACTGAGTTTTCTGTTCCAATACTGCAAAGAGACCAGTGAATCCTATGGAATTATTCCAGAGCTGTTTACTTCTCCCCGCATTACCCTTGCCACCAGGACGGAGAAGTGTATGGAAGGGAATGTTAGAAACTGTAGGTGGCAGCTGAAGCTGAGTATGGGGTTCATAGCTAACACTTCAGCCAGAAGTTCTCAATCGCTAGTAAACAGTTATAGTCTTCTAAACATCGTTGATTGTTCTTTATTTATTTATTTATTTTTTAATGCTGAATCGTGTATAGTATCACCTAAAAAATTTGTTTTGAAAAGAAGCAGGCTCAAAAAGAGTCTCCAATCTCTGTTTAGGTCGGGAGGAATTCTACAGCACGCATCCGCACTTCATGACCCCCCGATCCCTGTACCTCGCCGTCTATGACCTCAGCAAAGGGCAGGCTGAAGTTGATGCTATGAAGCCTTGGCTATTCAATATAAAGGTGGTCTATTCTAATCATTTGAGAATACAGAGTAATTTTCATTTTTTTTTTGTATGTAAGGTAATTTACTTTAGGCAAAGAATTGCTTTAAGAGTTTTGTGGGGTGTTTTTGTTGTTTTTTTTAAGGAAGTTAGCAGCACTGAAATTTTGAGTTGGGAAATTTTCAGAGTAATTAAGCTGTGACATGAAAATAGGTGTTCCGTATTGGTGAGTGCTGTAGATACTTGGAACCCTTTTCAGCTATAAAAATGGGAACTACACATGCTAAACTATGTTTATCATATTTTAAAATGGAATATGAGGTTTTCTAACTTAAAATAAGTTATGCTAAAGAAAACCAATCTGTGCAACTTTGAAGATGCATAGTGGCAATTTAGTATGAAGTTTTTCAGATCTTACACTTATATATGGCACCAGATTAATGTGCTCCTTTATTTATTTATTTATTTATTTTGTAAACTGAAGTATAATTGACAATATGCTCTTATATTGGGAATCTCTCTTTGTTAGTTTCCACTTTGTCCTTTGCTGCCAGTTATTCCTTACAAGCTCGTTTTGTAATTTTGGTAATTTTTTAAACCTTTTTTTTGTTTCTACTTTATTATAGTCAGCCAAAGTGAGCAAATATTACAATGGCAGTAATACTTTAGTGGTTTTATTTCCCATTGTAGACTTCAAATAGAACGACATTAGAAATGAATTCAAGAGATTGAATTTGAAGAGAAGGAAGAGAAAATATAAACCATATGATGACACTGAAATAATTCGTGGGTTTTTTAAGTGCTTATTGGAAGTCCAAAGCACACTTAGAAAGTTACCCACCTGAAACGTGTTAATAATTGAATTGAGAAGACACATAAAAACGACTTATAAAATTTTTTAATGTTGCATTATTTTTCTTAGGATTAAGGAAAGAAAGGCAGCTGTTTTCTTCATGATGTCCTTTAATTTTTCACTTCCACTCGAGTGAATTTCAGTGGAAATGTAATCAGTATTTTGCGTCTTTCTCTGTAGGCTAGAGCTTCCTCTTCCCCTGTGATTCTTGTGGGCACACATTTGGATGTTTCTGATGAGAAGCAGCGCAAAGCCTGCATCAGTAAAATCAACAAGGAGCTCTTGAACAAGCGGGGCTTTCCCGCAATCCGCGATTACCACTTTGTGAACGCCACCGAGGAATCCGATGCTTTGGCAAAACTTCGGAAAACCATCATAAATGAGAGCCTCAATTTCAAGGTAACGTAGTTAATGCCTACTGGGGTCTGGTAGCTAAGTCTAATTAATTAATTCTTACGCTACGCAACTGCTTAGAAATGGCAGAAGACGAGATATTTTTCATATCTGTTAGCGTTATTAAAGTATTTTCCGTTTTAAAATTACTCATGCCATACTTCATTTCAGGTTCATAGAAATGGGAATAAAAACAGTTAGAGGGCCTGAGAGGACCTAAGAGAGGGGATGAGAGACGGAGGGTGTTTCTGAGAGAGCCTGAGCAAACGATTCTGATGCCTTTCTCTCCCAGCTTCCTCCATGGTGATGTAATCAACAGGGTAAATGTGAATACTGGGGCCTTGGGATCATCTTTCTTCTGTTAGTTTTTTTACTGTTTTTTTCTTCTCCTGCTTCTTTCTTTGGTAGCTCCTTTTGTATACTCATCTTGCTATTCCAGGCTGCTCCTCCATACCTCCTGTTCCTTTGATTCCCATTATAGATGTTTTTCCCTCAACATTGTTAGATGGCTTTTCACTTGGTTGCCAAGATCACTAATTTGGTTTTCATCAATGTCTAAACAATTTTTTTTTATTACATACAAACAGGGTTTTTCATTTTAGGAATGATGTCTTTGATTTCTAAAGTGCCTTTCTAATAAATCAAATGCAATTCATTGGGTTTATAAAACACAGATAAATTAGTTACCAGGCAGAATACTTAAAAATATTTTTATTCATTTCAGAGAAGGGAGAGGGGGAGAGATATAGAAACATCAATGATGAGAGAGAATCGTTGAATCCCTGCCTCCTGCACACCCCACAATGGGGATTGAGCCTGCAACCTGGGCATATAACCCAACCAGGAATAGAACCATGACCTCCTGGTTCATAGGTTGATTCTCAACCACTGAGCTACACTGGCCAGGCAGAACACTTGTTTTTAACACTTACAGGAGAGAGAAATTTTCCAGGGTCCTCCAGACAGCATGATGTAAACTGTGTGGAATAGGCCCTGACATTGTAATATGAGAAACACAGTGGTGACCTTCAGTGTTAGTTCCTGTTGGCTTAGCTCATTAGCACTAATGATGTAGGCATGGCTTGTAACTAAGGGGTTGTTTTGCCTGGACAGTCCCAGCATAATTATAAATAGTGTCCCACAATGTCCTCAATCAAGCATTCCGGTCTGATGGTCGCCCTGGTTATAACGTGTCTGCCGGTTAGCTTAGTTCTGTCCCATTTCCACTGATTATGCTCCTATCCAAAGCCTAATGAGCCTGTTGTAAATGTGCTGGTCTTTGTGGTGTCCCAGGAGACAATTTGCATGTTTGTATCTTTCAGCACATTTATCTCAGTCACTGAAAGGTTTTGCCAGTGGTGGGTCACTCTTGGCATTTTATGTAAGAAGAATGGTGTATTATTTTATTTGCTGAGTTTCCTACTCTCTCATGGGACTTATGATTAGAGATTAACATGACTTTTAAGAAACAAATATACAGAAGTCATTCATCCAGTTAAATATTGTCTTTATCCAGGTGGTTTTCTTCTGAGACTATGCCTGCTGTTAATTATACTATTTTAATAGCTTCTCTTTTTATCATTACTGTTGGAGCATACATTATATTTTTTAAAAAGACCCCTTGGAGGTTAAGTTTGTTTTGAAAATGCCTGAATTTTGTTGAAACAAACACTATGGATAAAGTGGTTAGTTCATCAAGCTGGAATAGTACTGCTTTTGTCTAATAACATGTTGTCACTATCAATCAGTAAAAGCATATTTCTTCCTGCATTTATAAATGAAATCTGAAGGCAACATCATGCAAGGATGTAAAAGAAATGCTTTGAAAAAATAGAAATGTTATTTGAAGAAAGGTATATATTGCTAATGTATACATCACTCTGGCACTTTTGTTCGAAAATTCATTTGATTGCTTTGCAGAATAGTGACTCTTTTCGATGACCTAGAACCAACGAGCTTGCTAGACCTTTAATATTCTTTTCTCCCTGCAGTGCTTCAACCCATATTCAAATAGCAGCTTTTAATCTACTGGAGATCATTCTTTTTGCCCTCTCATTTTTTCTTCTTTCTTTTATCTTGGCTCTTCTCTAATATTTTCCTGTCTCACCTTTATTAACATGTATCTGTGCAAACTCTAGAATAAAACTGGTGTGTGTGTGTGTATGTATGTATGTGTGTGTGTGTGTGAGAGAGAGAGAGAGAGAGAGAGAGAGAGAGAGAGAGAGAGAGAGAGAGGCTGTTGGTGACCTGACACAAATTAAAAGAAATAGGACAAAACAGAACAATACCCCTTTCAATTTGTCCAACCCATTAGCAGGTATTCTTTGTTGGCCCTGGAGCCCAGTCCTATAAAATTCATCTTTTTTCTACATGATTTGCTATCTGTGAAAACCCTTGTTTATTTATAACTGTAGGTTTGTCTCCTTGAGTTAAAACATAAACTTCAACCTGAAGTTTTGTTTTATTTTAAATTATAAATAAAGCAGAGAAGGATTGTGAAAAGTGGAGATTAGTAGTTATAGTTAATTTTCTGGGGCAAGGGATAGATGAACACAGTCTTTCAAATTACTGTTCGGAGGTCAATATGTAAATAATGGGTATGGCAGCTGTAAATGAAGCTCCTTAAGGTTCTAGTTACAAGTAGAAAAAGAGCAAGTTAAATTTTATGTGTGTTTATAAACCCAATTTCTATTTGTAATATGTTTAATAATTTAGGTAGGAATTTTGGTATGTCAGGTAAACAACGTACAAGAATATATTCATGGGTCCAGAAATGGGGAGAGTTTGCCACCTGGTGGTTCTCAAAGGCATTTTAGTTACTATTGTTAGAGCTGTATTTCTATTTAAAATTAGATTTTTCCTGGTTATGGAAAAAAATGTGTGGAAAAGACTGTCATTATCGGAAACATCATCTTAAGGCAATTTAACATATTTTTATTTTACTTTTCAAATAATATGCAGTTATTTTTTTAAATATATTTTATTGATTTTTTACAGAGAGGAAGGGAGAGGGATAGAGAGTTAGAAACATCGGTGAGAGAGAAACATCGATCAGCTGCCTCCTGCACACCCCCTACTGGGGATGTGCCCGCAACCAAGATACATGCCCTTGACTGGAATCAAACCGTAGGCCGATGTTCTATCCACTGAGCCAAACCAGTCAGGGCTAGTATGCAGTTATTAAAGTCAGAGTGTCAATGAACAGAAGTCATCCTCTTTTGTCAGTGTTTTTAGATGACGTTTTATTTTCTCAAGTTTAAGGTTTTACAAAAAGCCTAGTCTAGGTGAGGAGATGTCATGTCTGTCTCCAGGCTTCGCTGTTGATATGTACATTAATATAACATTTGCAAATAACAGGATTTAATGTTTTACCTCACGGTGTGGATATTTTCATCTAATAAGCAAGGTTCAAAAGCTCTTGTAGTACTGATTGCTTATATTAGCATGTCTATTGCATATATGTTTAATGTCTCAAAAAACAGAAAATCTTTTATTTATGGTTAGGTTTTTGCTATGTATTTTCTGGATTGCTGGGTAAATAATTCCATACTATTTTATTTGATAGTCTTTTCAAATTGGTTTCTGTGTTCATATTTTTATCTTATTACCATTTTATTTATCCCTCAAAATTTAAATGATTTAAATCACATTTTGATTTTAGTTGAAAACACACTTCTGAATGATATGCCCCGTTCTTTAAACCTATTAGCACTGAATTTACCCACCACCTGACAAATATATGAATACAATGGTTTTTTACAGCTTGTCATTTTTAATCACATAGATCCGAGATCAGCCTGTTGTTGGGCAGCTGATTCCAGACTGCTATGTAGAACTTGAGAAAATCATTTTATCAGAGCGTAAAAATGTGCCAATTGAATTTCCTGTAATTGACCGGAAACAATTATTACAACTCGTGAAAGAAAATCAACTGCAGTTAGATGAAAATGAGCTTCCTCATGCAGTGCACTTCCTAAATGAATCAGGTTTGGGTGTTTATTTGTTTCAGATTTTTTCAAAGCGTGGCTATGGTAATTTATAAAGATGGATCTGAACCGTGCTAGAATTTGCAGTCGCTACTTAACAGAATAGCTCCAGAATTCTTTCATAGGTCACTGATGTCTCTCTTCTTGGAAGATCATCCTGTGCATTGATGTTAAATCATATGTCATGTCATAAGAAAAACATTGGAAACCATCTAAGGGCAACAATGGAAAAAGCAAAAGTTAAAATGTGTGGGTTCCAGGTCTTGACTGTACTAGTCAGGAGCTGTGGAAGCCTGAGTATAAGGCACATCCTTTCAAAGTATCAAATGAATTTAGTGTGTGTGGAAGTGGCTTGCCTACTGGAGAAGAGAATTATTATTGGAATGGTCTAATGGGGCACTTTGAGAATCAGTGGTTGCCTGAGATGCAGCTATGAGTGCAGATCTTGCTCTGTTATTTCACATATTGTCAGCATGGCCTCATACATAACAACTCTCAATTATGTACTTGATCAGTATAAATAATTTATTAAATTATAAATAATATATTTTAATATGAAATTATATTAAATTTCATATAATTTTTTATATCAAAATTTTTTTTCACGTGGATTATAATCTGTTCCTTCTTCCCATCATTCTTAAACCAGTAGCTTCCTAGGATATTCTGTGTCTCTTACCTCTTTTTGAAAAATGAAATGTGTCTTTGTATTGCATATTTAGAAAGCCAAAAGGAAAATTATGAATTTCTGTTTGCTTGTAAATAGATGCCCTGCAATACATGGCATTGTCTCAAATATGCTGATATATGATCACTCAATATCATTAAAAAATACTTCTTTATAATATTGGATGTTAGGGCTAGAGAGCTAGGATGCCCATGCTGACATTGTCTCACATGTCAATGAGGAGGTTGGACTAGATTCTCCTGCTCTTTGATGTTTGTATATTCTAGATTTCATGTTTCATTGTTTGATTTTTTTTACTCCAGGGGTCCTTCTTCATTTTCAAGACCCAGCACTGCAGTTAAGTAACTTATATTTTGTGGAACCCAAGTGGCTTTGTAAAGTCATGGCACAGGTTGGTGTCTTGTATTTTTGTGACATGGGGTAATGATTGAAAAGGAGAATAAATGGCACCCAGAGCATTGAACATTGTAGACTTGCTGTTCAGTTAAGATAGAAACTACAGCAAATATAGAAAACTATAGGGCACTTCATGTAAAAAACTACTTAAAGAAGAGCTTTGTGGAAGAAGGGAAGGTACCTAAGAATTTACTTTCACGCCTTTAATGTCTGTAATGACGGATGTTTGTACCACTGAGTTCCATGGCGCTTTCCTAGATCCTGATCATATCTTTGGTTTGGTTGATAGTCAATTGTATGAAAACTTTGTGAAAATCCTTAGAGTAAATATATATAAGAAAATTGGATCATTGAGCCTGTGCAACCTCTATCTAGACAACATGGAGGGGAATTTTGACTCTTGAGAGAAATGATTTGAGTTCTAAATGCTTACAATTTTTGAAAACTTTGGATTGCAGTAGTAATAGCTATTTTTTCTTCATTTATATTTCATATGGAAAATTGTTTCTTCTATTGATAATTACCATTGAGTTTATATTAATTAGTTATAACAATCCATCAACATAGGTTTGCTACAGAATGTCACTCAGGGAGAACACACCAGCTCAGGTTGTTTTCAACAGCAACTCTTAGGGCCAGATAAATCTTTGTTGTGCATTATAGGATAATAGCAGCATCTTTGGCCTCTACCCTGTAAATATTAGTAGCATCTTCCTAGTTTTTCACCACCAATGTGTACAGACATTACCACATATTGCTGCGGATGCAAAATCACCCTCACAAACAGAGGTGAGCTCAGGGAGGATGTCTCTAGCATCTGCATTCACTGGCATTTATTTGGTTTATGAGTATAATTTATAGTTTTGCATGTGGCTCCCAGAATCCCTTAAATAATTATATCTTCTTACATTAGGAGTCTCTCTTCCAATTAAACTATAATGGTAATTAAATTCCCTCAGCTAATCTTGAATGATAGTTCCTAAAGTCCAACTAAAGAAACTTATTTGGATCTAAATCTTATAACACAGAACTTAAGAGCATATTGAAACATTATTTTAATTGGCAATCAATTGTAATGTGGTAGCAATGACTATTTTGGTAGCTATTATTAGGTAGCTTTTTATCCTTCTGCACATATGCCATGGAAAGTGTGATTGTACTCATCTGCTCCATGATAATGGAGCCAGTAAAGTGACTGGTCAAGAGTACTAACTCTGAGCCATTGTGACCTCTACTCAAATCTCTTATGAAACTTACTTTGTGACATTTCTTAATGATTTAAGCCTGTGTTTTTTTTTTTTACTTACAAAATAAGGATAGTAACAACTTTAACTTCTACATTGCCTCTCTAGTTCAGTGTAAGTGAGCAGTATATGTTAGCTGGTTTCATATTTGACACATTTGGTGATTAAAGCTTATTATCTTAGGAAATGAAAAAAAAAATCTTCAAAAGCGTACAGATGTATTTAAGCAGTTTTGGAAAGTGTGCCAGTATGGAGCTAATCAACAGCAACAAAATCTGTGCAGTAGATGCATTCTCAACAGCAAAAGGAGTTTTAAATATTCAACCCTGAAGATTTTGTTGTCCTAGTGGCATGCTATCACGCTCTATCTAGTCAAGAAAAGGCTGGATGTTGCACACAGAAGTTATATTTTTCTATGTGAACTAGGAACATTGAAAGCTGCACACATGTGGACACTATTAGAGTAGGTGGATTAAGGAAGTGGTTTGTATGCAAATCATAATCTATTAGCAAAAGCAGATTTCCACCATCACCACAATAAACTCTCTGATAATTCTATAGAATAATTAAGTTGAAACTCCATGAAAGTTCATCTCATTAGAATGGTTAGACTGTAAACATGTTACTTTAAGTGAAAACCAATTCAAGAATTTGAATAGCTCCAAGTTATTTTAAAATATAGGCCTAAAAGGTCAATAAAATGATAATTTAAATTTCTTATTAACTTAAAAAATAAATAGCACAATTCTGTTTATGCTGATACAGTGAATTGCAATGTCATTTTCACTGAGTTTTATAAAGAATGAAAGCTATAAATAATCAAGTTTAAACAAGAATGACTTGTCCAATACCCATCATGAAAAATAAATAGGGATATTTGCCTGCATGAATCAGCAAACAAGGAAAGGATTAATTTCATGGTGCAGAAGTGCTAATGAGCCCACCCTCCCTCTATATGCCCTGAGCTGTTAGGTCACTACACTTTTTTAAGAAGGTTCCATCAACACACAGAGAAGTTTGCAAAACTCATTTAACTGTATGATACAAGATATGAAAGGGGCTTATTGAATTAATCGGGTGGAGTATTAAAAAATTTGCATGGCAATTTAGTCTTGGTAACGTGTGAAGGAATTTGAAAAATTCTCATTACTTGCAAAAGGGCTTATGAAAGCCTTATAAGTTACTAGGCTGAAGGAATATTAGTAGGTCTTTTAAAGTGGCAAAATTAAGATAATGTTTCGTTTTCTATTGCCTTTTAACAAGATACCCCAAAGCTTGGAGGCTTAAAACGTCGGCTGTGTTTATTAAGCGATCTGTGGTTGATTAGGCTCAGTTGAGTGGTCTGGTCCGCAAGGCCTTGGCCAGGGTCATTCCAGTGGCTTTCCTCATTGAACTGGGCTGGAGGGTCCAAGAAGACTATGCTCACAGTTTGGTGCATTGGTGCTCCTCTGTGTGCCTCTCATGTGGCTCCTTCTCCTAACATCTAGGCCCAGAACTGGTGTAATGTTAGTTCTGCCACATGCTAGTGGATGGAGCAACCCCAGGCCAGGTCAGATTCGAGGGGAGAGGAAATGGACTCCACTTCCTGAGGTACTGAGCAGCATGCATGTATAGGGAGAGAAGGAATTGATATGTCCATCTTTGGAAACTACCACAAAGAATGGTGGCACATACAGATATATATATATAAAAGCAAGCACAAACCTCCTTTAAAACCAATTGGTCTAAGTAAAATGAATTAGCATAAGTATATAAGGATGGCTTTCCTAAATACACGGGTTACTGTGTGCTTTCCAAGGATTATCTCATTTACTTCTCAGAACAGCCCTCTTAAATGGTACTGTATTAACTCTCATCTTGAAGGTGAAGAAGTTAAGTGACAGGGAGGTAAAATAATTTATCCAAAATTATACATTGGGATTTCAGACAAAGTGGTTTGACAGCAGTGTTTATAAATCTAACCCTAGGATAAAATGCTACAAATTTCATTTTCTCAAAATCCACCCATCTAACCTTATTTATTCAAACTGTGTTCTAGATATTGTTCTGGTGCTGGGACTGTAGTGCTAGACAAGACAGCATCCCTATACTCACGAAGCTGACATTCTAATGGGAGGAAATGACCAATAAGAAGCACTTACATGTCAGGTGGTACAAAGTGCTACAGAGAAAATATAAAATATGGTTGGTAGCAGAGCACGAGTTGTTAGACAAGGTTATAGTCACTTAATAACAATAACACACCAAACAATTCTTTTTACCACCTAAATTGTAAGAATGATCTGGGACATCTATAAAGTATACAATATGGGATATGTCCCAAAATATAGGTTGTTTAAAAAAATTATTTTTTGATTACAGTTGACATCAAAATATAATTTTTACTCTTTAACAACTCATTATACATTTTTGTTGGATATCATTATGTTTATTGATTCAATAAACATTATCTGTATAAAATAGAAATACAGAGATGAGTAAGAAAAGTCCTGAGCCCAAGGATTTTACAATCCAACATTTCAGACAACTACATTATGTAAATAATGTTTGCTCCTATTTAAGTATCCCTTAAACATAGATCTACTAAAGAAATTAAGCACAAACCTCTTTTAAAAATGAACTTGGCTAAGTAAAATGAATAGGGATATGTAGATAGTAATGGCTAACACATGAGGACTTACTATATGCCAAAAATCTCAAGGCAACCTAAAGACAGTTATTTTTTTATTGTTTAAAGAATTACATATGTCTCCTTTTTTCTCTGATTGACCCCCCGTGCCACTCCCGCCCCCCAGGATATGCCCCCACCGCCCCAGTGTCCGTATCCATTGGTTATACTAATATGCATGCATACAAGTCCTTTGGTTGATCTCCAACCCCGCCCTCCCCCCCAGACTTTTCTCTGAGTTTGGACAGTCTGTTCAGTGTTTCTTTATCCCTGGATCTATTTTTGTTCATCAGTTTATGTTGTTCATTAAATCCCACATATGGGTGAGATCATGTGATATTTATCTTTCTCTGACTGGCTTATTTCACTTAGCATAATGCTCTCTAGATATATCCATGCTGTTGCAAATGGCAAGAATTCCTTCTTTTTTATAGCAGCATAGTATTCCATTGTGTAGATGTACCACTGTTTTTTAATCTACTCATCTGCTGATGGGCACTTAGGCTGTTTCCAAATCTTAGCTATAATAAATTGTGATGCTATGAACATAGGGGTGCATATGTCCTTTCTGATTGGTGTTTCTGGTTTCCTGGGATATATTCCCAGACGTGGGATTACTGGGTCGAATGGGAGTTCCATTTTTAATTTTTTGAGGAATCTCCAGACTATTTTTCCACAATGGCTGCATCAGTCTGCATTCCCACCAGCAGCACATGAGGGTTCCTTTTTCTCCACATCCTCTCCAGCACTTGTCATTTGTTGATTTGTTGATGATAGCCATTCTGACAGGTGTGAGATGGTACCTTATTGTTGTTTTGATTTGCATCTCTTGGATGATTAGTGACTTTGAGCATGTTTTCATATGTAAAGACAGTTACTTATATTATCTCACTAGATGCCTGGTGCACAGATTCGTGCACTGGTGGGGTCCCTCAGCCTGGCCTGCACTCTCTCACAATCTGGGACCTCCCCGGAAATGTCGAAGGCCCAGTGCACAGATTTGGCCCAATCCCTGGAGGCCAGACTGAGGGACCCCACCGGTGCATGAATCCGTGCACTGGGCCTCCAGTATGCATATAAGATCTTCAGTTAATCTCTCTCCCCCTTCCCTCTGAGATTTATCAGTCCATTCCATGTTTCCATGCCTGTGTGTCTGCCCCCTGGTGGTCAGTGCGCATCATAGCTACTGGTTGAATGGTAGAATGGTCGAAAGGTCAAATGGTCGCTTGGGCTTTTATATATATAGATTTTACAGACAAGGAAACTGTGGCTTGAAGACATTAAGTACCCTTTCCCAAGGTCACACAATTAGAAATTGAGCCTGTGTTGAACTTGGGTTCTTCTGACTTATGTTTTTAACTGCTATGATGATGATCAAAGCTCAAAAGTATAGTTTCCATGTTAGAATCACATGGGTTTCTTGTTAAAAAAGCAGTTTCCCAAGCCTTATCCCAAACCTACAGATATCGACTCTGAGCGGAGTCCAGCAAAATGCAGCAGTGCCTTTGTTTGAAAATTAGTAAACTGTACTACACTGCCTCTCTTCTCATTGAGGAAAAACACCTTCTACCACATAAATATATAGTGAAAGTTTTATTAGAAACCATTGGTGATAACATAGTCTGGAAGATAATTTCCCTAGAAATATATTATTAATGAAACTGTAATAAGAATTCAGGGTATGAGATTGATCTGCTGATGGGAACTGGGGAAGGCTTTGAGCTTCATTGGCTTTGGAGGATCTTCATAATTTCAGATCTGAATTCCTTAATTTAATAATTTTGTGAGGGTATTTTTTTTTGAGTGGATGCTTTTTTGTGTGGGGAGTAGGCTTCTAAGTAACATGGCTGCTAGTTAGGGAAGTTAGGTCCTGTGTTATATTTGACAGTGTTACAATTCTTCTGATTATTTTCACTAAAATGCATTAAATTCAAAACTTTTCACAAAGTAAATTCCAGTGATTATAAGTGTAAATCTTTCAGATTTTGACAGAGAAAGTAGAAGGCGGTCCAAAATATCCTAAAGGAATTATTTCACGTAGAAGTGTGGAAAAATTTCTTTCAAAGAAAAAGAGATTTCCAAAGAACTACACACAACAGTACTTCAAACTCCTAGAAAAATTTCAGATTGCCTTGCCAATAGGAGAAGAATATTTGCTGGTTCCAAGCAGGTAAACCAAAAACTTAACATTTAACTACCCTATAGAAACTCACCATCTATTATATTGTTTTAATTGTCAGAATAACTTTGATCTATGTTTAATGTACTAAGTATTATTTTTGCTTATTGTGTAAATGTTCTTCTGAAGCAAAACACTTTTAATGAAAACACTACATTTGACATTTTAAAGACAGAGTGACTTATTTCATGTCTATAATTACTATTTGGTTTACAACTGTTTATTTAATAAAGGTAAATAGTGGAGATTTGTGTGTATGTGTGTGTGTGTGTGTGTGTGTGTGTGTGTATCCTTACACAGTAATGAGAGAGTTCTATCAGACAAATTCTGGGGAGATAGTGATTTTTTATCAGAGTTTTAAAAGAATTTGTGGCAGTGAATTTTGAGAGGAGAGGGGAAACAATGGAGGGCTAATTTCTGGCCTGGTATTATAGAAATTTTTCTTACTGCTTTAGAAGCATCTGAGGAATGTTAGAAAGTAATATGACATTGAAAAGTGCAAATTGCATTGCTGGATGGATGGTGACTGATTCTAAAATTAGATATATACTTTTTTTTGGACATGCAATCTTTTCAAGTTTTATATAATCCCTTGCTTGATACTTGTTTGTGCATAACCAATTATAACAATTTATTTATTAGTATAAATAAGAATACTGAAAAAATTCATGCTCTACTACATCTGAGCATGCATTTGAATTTATTAAATAACCATTGAAATTATAAAATATATTTTTATTGATTTCAGAGAAGAAGGGAGAGGGAGAGAGAGATAGAAACATCAATGGTGAGAGAGAATCATTGATCTGTTGCTTTTTAATGCCCTACACTGGGGATCAAGCACACAACCTGGGCGTATGCCCTGATCAGGAATCGAACTGTGACCTTCAGGCTCATAGGTCGATGCTCAACCACTGAGCCGCAATAGCTGGACCATTGGGTTTTTAAAATAGGAAGAGTATGTAGCAAAAGAAAAACATGCAATTGCTTTGAATATTTATCTTCAATTCATCAACTTCAAGTCATAAAGCACTTTGGTCAACATGGTTGGGTGTTTTATAATAAAACTATGTAATGATGCGATGTCCTTTTCCCTTTAGTCTGTCTGACCACAGGCCTGTGATAGAGCTCCCCCATTGTGAGAACTCTGAAATTATCATTCGACTATATGAAATGCCTTATTTTCCAATGGGATTTTGGTCAAGATTAATCAATCGATTACTTGAAATTTCACCTTACATGCTTTCAGGTAGAGGTAAGTATTTAATGAAGACAATATGTAGAGAAGTTAGGGGGAAAATACATTAAAAATAACATGCAATTTTCACAGAGCTTACTCATTTTTTAAGGCACCTGAAAATCAGAAAATAAGCTTATACAACTTCATATTGGCCAATATAAAGACATGTGGTCAAATAAGTGTAACAATTTGTCAAGAAGAAAATTCCACAGGTCCTCACTTGAAGCCCATTTGTTCATATTTTAGACACATTTAAAATATGTATGAATAGTTTGCTTTCTATGCCAAAGCAGATTAGAAGCAATATTTTTAAAAGGTGGATTACCAAGAATCACTGGTTTAAACATACACACACAGGCATTCTTACACACACACACACACACACACACACACACAGCACAAAGAAAAACTAGGAATGAGCACTGCAAAGTCAGAGAGTTTTACTCAATGACTTGTAACATCCTGACCATTCAGACCATTCAGCGTAGAGACTATAGTGGCTCCATTCTGCTGCATAATCCCTGAGGAGTTTAAGAAAAAAAAAAAAGAATAAACACGATGCCACTGTTACTATATTCTGAAATAATCATATCTTGCTTGCGATGAACCAGCATTTAGATAGTTACATTGCATTAAAACATTCAGAAAGTTTTGATTTGAGCATGACCACCAACTTCTTTTTAAAGAGAATTTATTTTTGATTCTCTTTCTTCATCTGTTACACATATTAAACTACTTAACACCATAAACCTGAAATCTATCTTAGGTTATCTACTGGATATTTTGTGTTGTGTGTTTTTTTCATTGTTGTTGTTGTTGCAAAATTAAGGATAAAATATTTAGCATCATATTTAATACCTAAGATGAGGACTAACAATCATTATTTCAATACTTTTTTTCAAAGCAAATATATCTCTATTACTGTCAATTGGGGGGTGCAGTTTTTCCCCCACCTTTAATTTATGGGGTAGTTAATAATTAATGGATATAACTGGGTCCATTTAAACTTCTTTCAGAACGAGCACTTCGCCCAAACAGAATGTATTGGCGACAAGGCATCTATTTGAATTGGTCTCCTGAAGCTTATTGCCTGGTAGAATCTGAAGTTTTAGATAATCATCCAGAGAGTTTCCTAAAAATTACAGTTCCTTCTTGTAGAAAAGGTAAGGAAATTAATTCAAAACGTTGAACTGTACCACTAAAGAAATCTAAACTTAAAAACAAACTTTATAGCTTCTCTTTGTTAGCTTTGTGACAGAATAAAGTTCCAATAGGGCGGTGATGAGCTCTTCTTTGGATTATGTAGGCTGTATTATTTTGGGACAAGTTGTGGACCACATTGATTCTCTCATGGAAGAATGGTTTCCTGGGTTATTGGAGATTGATATTTGTGGTGAAGGAGAAACTTTGTTGAAGAAATGGGCATTATATAGTTTTAATGATGGCGAAGAACATGAAAAAATCTTACTTGATGACTTGATGAAGAAAGCAGAAGAAGGTATGTGTTGATGCAACTTACAGATGTTTTTAAGTGATGTCTCAATATTTGTAAAGTGAATTTTGTTATAAATGTAGAGACTATTCTTATCCATGGGAGATGTGTTAGAGTATATTACATTCAATTATAGTGAAAATTCAGGAAAATGGATTATATTTGTTACCCGTAAGAGCATGTATTCTAAATTGAGAGGAATGTTGGTTTTAGAGAATGAATATTGCCACATGAGCAACATAACTTCATCTGTGAAATGGGAATACTAACCAAAACTACTTAATGTAATTATTATAAAAATTAAAATAGATTATACATGGAAATAACTTAGCAACATGTCAGCCATGTAATAAGTGCTCCACGAATGTGACAAAAGATAGGTAATGTCCTAGTCAGATGTTGGATAGTCTAAGGCAGTTCTGAATTCTGCTTTCTAATGAGTGAACCTAGGAATGAGTTTTAAAATTCCAATAGATAGATATTAATTTAACCTTTAAAACTTTATCAGATTTTCTAGAAAAAAAATAGGAGTGGTAAGAAAACCTAAAGGACTGATTAGAAATAATAGTAAACTTGTGAAAGTCATAATCACAAATTTATATGCCTTTTATGTACTTCTCAGGAGACCTCCTAGTAAATCCAGATCAACCAAGGCTCACCCTTCCAATATCCCAGATTGCTCCTGACTTGATTTTGGCTGACCTGCCTAGAAATATTATGTTGAACAGTGATAAATTGGAATTTGAACAAGCTCCCGAATTTCTCTTAGGTAACTATTTTTGTTAGTTTGAGAATAAAATGTAGGGTGCATTTTTCCTAGTAATCTATAAAATTTTCAAATATAATTGTATTATCATGGTTTTTTTGGTGTTTTCATATATTTATCATAATGTTTTTTTCCCCTTTTGGAATGATATATTTTAAATTAATGTTTCGGATATAGAATTTGCTTTGCACACAGTCTTGTAGATTAGGTTTGAGATGAGGATGAGACTAGCATGGAAGCACATATATCTATAAAATATATCCTTGCACTTTCTTTAATTTCCAGGGTTTGGAAGGCAGATAAAGAGGTTTTTGAATGAGTGATACAGCCATTTTTCAGTCTCAAAAAGACAAAGTGGATTACCAGTTAGCTTTGATGCAAGGCATTGGGCAAATAGCTATGATAATTTTTTCAGTTTTGACTCCAGATTAACCACAAAAAGAGTTTTGTTTTTATCAGCTATGGAAGGTGGGATAAAAACTAGTTTGGAGAAAAGATAATGAATGTGCCTTTTGGTTGAATGTGAGATTTGGAGGAGCATGTCAGTGGAAATCTCCCAACACACATTTGTAAATAGAGTTCAGTGGGTAGCTTGTGAAATTGTGAAAATCCTGTCTGTAGGGATTAAGTTAGGGAGTGGATGGGGTCATTGAGTGGGGAGTGTGTAGATGGAAGACAGGAAGACTAGGGATAAGACCTATAGGCCCATCTTAGTTTATGGAGCAGAAGAAAGAAGAGGCATCATTAAAGGAGACTTGATTCAATGAAGCAAGCGGGTCCGATTTATCTTCAAGTATACAACAGGTATAATTACACCAGACACAATTCAGTTTTTCTGCTTGGACAGATTAACTTATGTGCTTTGTACTTTCTTTTCAAAAGGTGATGGCAGTTTTGGATCAGTGTATCGAGCAACCTACGAAGGAGATGAAGTGGCCGTAAAGATATTTAATAAACATACATCACTTAGACTGTTAAGACAGGTAAGAAATCCAATAACATTACCATATTCAACCATACACGGTTAATCTCCTAGAACTCTTGTATTACACATGTTTGTGAAAATGCAAAATGATGACCATGTTTCCCCCCAAAGTTTATTTAGTTTAATCATGAAATCCCACGTTGTCCTCTCTTCATGGAGGAAAAAAGTTTTGTGTTTATCTTGTTGAAAACAAAGAAGAGACAGTTTTCTGATAATTCTTGTTTTCAGGCTTCATAGTTATATACTACATGTACAGAAGAAAAAGGGTACCTCTTTTGAGGTCTTGTATTTCAAAGGAATCAAAATTTATGCACAGTAGCCCACTTAAAAACGTTTCTTGGCCTCAATTAAATCACATTTTCTTTTCTCAACAAGCACTTATGTTCAGGGTAATGCTGTGTGCTGATTGGCTTATGTGTCACTGAACCAATCACTACGTTAACAAAGGTATTAGAGTATCCCCACCTATCCCAAGGCTGGAGATGGGGTCAGTTCCCCCTAAAGTTGATGGGCTGCATGGGTGAAGGTTGGATACCCCAGCAAGAAGCAAGGTATTCTTAGAAAGAAAGAAAAGTGACTGGATGTTGAATGCATAACCAGAGTGGTCACTCCAGTACCCTCTCTTGTTTTGAGTACTGGTGGGGATTTATTTCTTTTTTTCTGAGTTTTTCCTTGTGCCAAGTCAACTCAGCTAAGGGTTCGAAAGCCCAAGTGAGGGCGGTGAAGGATGAAGAAATGATAGACAAAGAGAATAAGCTGGGTCTATCAGCCGTGGGCAAACTATGGCCCGCGGGCCGGATCCGGCCTGTTTGAAATGAATAAAACTAACAAAAAAAAAGACCGTACCCTTTTATGTAATGATGTTTACTTTGAATTTATATTAGTCCACACAAACACTCCATCCATGCTTTTGTTCCCGCCCTCCGGTCCAGTTTAAGAACCCATTGTGGCCCTCAAGTCAAAAAGTTTGCCCACCCCTGGCTAGGTGGATGTTCCTGTGCCTGGCTGAGGCCACAGAGAGAGATCCAGAGGCAAGCTGAGCCTTTATTTTATAGCCAGAGGTAAACAAGTTAGTGGTCACCATAGTTACAATGTTCTTGTGAGTTTCACTTGTTTTGGCAGCACTTGCTACATCTCCCTCAGCCCATTAGTTTCCCAGATAAGATCTAGGGAGTGTCATAAGGTCAAGCCTAATTATGCTAAGAGGGCTGTGCCCTCTAAGCTGGGACTTGTTTGTGGCTTTGCCAATAGTTCAGTCCGAGGCTTAACCCTATAGCCGTGCCCTACATTTCCCGACAGTAGGAATGAGGGAGGGAGACAGGGTGAGAAGAGAGATAAAATCCAATCTGCCATCTTATACCAGAAATCAATTATATTTTTGAATTTGTTCATTTTTTCTTTTGCCCTTGATTCATTAAAAAAAATATTTTGTGCCTGAATCTGAATCTAAATAACTTAGAAAAGGCACAGTTACAATATATTAGTTACTATGAATAATAAAAATAATTTTGTGTCTGTGCAAAATACTCTGGAGTAATTTTAATTATTAGTACTAGAAGTCACACTATAGCTCTAAGGCAGCGGTTCTCAACCTGTGGCTCGAACGACCCTTTCACAGGGGTCGTCTAAGACCATCCTGCATATCAGATATTTACATTACGATTCATAACAGTAGCAACATAACAGTTATGAAGTAACAACGAAATAATTTTATGGTTGGGTCACAACATGAAGAACTGTATTTAAAGGGCCAGAAGGTTGAGAACCACTGCTAAAGAATAGCTAATAAACAACTTGTTATATAAGTTGATTTTTCAGCCTAAGTCATTAGTCTTCAATGTATGTTTCAAATTTTCGTTAATGTGCTCAGGGAACTCTTTGAAAACCGGAACACTAAACATGTATACAGGACTGACTAGTGCATGGACAGCTAGGTGAACCAAGGAAATGGTAGAAGGAATAGAAACCCCAAGAAACTAGAAATAGCAATCAGAAGGATATATGCACCCCTATGTTCATAGCAGCACAATTTACCATAGCTAAGATTTGGAAACAGCCTAAGTGCTCATCAGCAGATGAGTGGATTAAAAAACAGTGGTGCATCTATACTACGCTGCTGTAGAAAGGAAGAAGTCCTACCATTTGCAACAGCATGGATGGAGCTGGAGAGAATTTTGCTAAGCGAAATAAGTCAGTCAGAGAAAGATAAATATCACATGATCTCACTCATTTGTGGATTACAACATAAACCGATGAACAAAAACAGAATCAGGGACAGAGAAGCAGTGATCAGATGCTCAAACCTCAGGGAGAAGGTAGGGGAGGGGGGCGGCTAAGGGGCAGAGATCAACCAAAGGGTTTGTATGCATGCATATAAGCATAACCAATGGACACAGACAACAGGAGGGTGAGGGCATGAGTTGGGGGGGGGGCGCAAAAGGGGAATAAGGACACATATGTAATACCTTAATCAATAAAGAAAGAAAGAAAAAAGAGAAACAGTAGAGTGTGAGTAATATGCTTTTTCTTAAGAAAAAAAAAAAAAAAAAAAAGAGCCTTGGCCATATGGCTCAGTTGGTTAGAGCATCGTCTCTACAGGAAGCAACCAATCTATGCTTCTCTCTCACATTGATGTTTCTCTCTGTAAAAAAAAACCCCCAAAAACAAAAAAACACACACACACACAAAAAAACCCAAAAACAATAAAAACATATCCTCCTGTGAGGATTAAAAATAAACAAAATCAATATTTCAATAAATCAAATTTAAAAAAAAGAAAAGAAAATCAAATGAAAACATTTTAGTGTTTGGTGCTACCTTTTGAGGGTCGTTCTGCCAGTGGTCAGGAGTTGCGGCTGATCGATTGCATTCTTTTGCTCTTTTCTAGAGCTGCTTTTCTAGAATAGAAAATTTGGACTAGGCTTCTGCCTGTGAAAGAAAATAGAGCTAACTTGACTTGTTTTCACCAACTCAGCTAATCAGACATAGGAGAAAAAAGATTTTAATCTTCAAAGACTTTGTCTGAAGCCTTTGTCCTTGGCAAAGCCCCTCTCAGGGCATTCAGCCTTTCTCGTTCAGCTGGCAGATTGCTCCACACTTCGGTTTCCTGATAGATGCAGTTGGCACTGATACGTCCCATCTTTGAAGCTGGTTGTTAACAAGCAGAGCTTCTGCAGAAATCACAGCTGAAAAGATGAATCCATTTAAAATCAGCTAAGCTATACATTTCATTGAAATTACAGTTTCAGAGTAAAGTGAAATAGGCAGAATGAAGCATGTGGAATTAAAAAAGCAGCAGTATCCTAAAGGAGATGATGAAGTTTCGCACTATGTGGTCTAGGAAAAAAAAATGGTATCAGAACAGAGACCTCTCTGTTCAAGCTAAAATGGCATCTCTGACTTCTTGGATTGGAAAGAGGTTGTTGCAGGTGGGGACTGCTTTACTAAGGGCGACCTGAGACAGGTCACTCTGAGGAAGGGAGAGTATTTGAGCTAAGATCTGGATGGCAAGAAGCCTTCAGCTCTGTGAAGGGGGAAGGGATTTCTAGGAAGAGAGATCAGTAAAGGCAGAGAACCTATGGCTATAAGGAGGGAGCTGGGTGGGTGTCAGGGATTGAATGAACACCAGCATGGCAGAGGGGTGGTGAATGAAAAGAAGAGAGAAAGGAGATGGGGTCTGAGAGGTGGGCTGGGGTGAGATCAGGCCAGGCTATGAAGGTTATATAAGTGCATAGGATTTTTTTTTAATGTCCATGAATAAACCTGGTAATACATTACATTTTTAAAAGATATTTTATTGCTTTTTAGGAAGGGAGAGGGATAGAGAGAAATAACCATCCCTGAGAGAGAAACATCATTGATGGGCTGCCTCCTGCACGCCCTTCCTGGGGATCAAGCCCACAACTTGGGCATGCGGCTCTGACAGATTGGAACCCATGACTTTTGGGTTCCTGGGTCGACGCCCAACCTCTAAGCCATGCATGCCGAGCAGTATGTGGAATTTTAATCTAAGAGTATGGGAAGTCATCAGGGAGTGTTCAGGAGAGAGTGATGCCATCTACACCTGTGGGGTTTTGAGGAGAGGGCCATAGCATAGATTTCTGTGGCCTTAGACATGAAACGTTTCTCATCAAATCAGAGATCGACAGGCAGGTTGTACCTTGCAAAGCAGTTACAGTGGATTAGTGGTGGCTACTCAGAATCTGGTGCTGAGAAGGTTAACATGATCTGTTAGCATGACTACAGGTGTGTCCTGTCCCTGAATTAAATGTTCTGATGAATGCAGAGCAAAAAGAAAAATAGAACTTAAAATGTTCATTCATACTATAGTTTCAAAAACCAGCTGTTCATTCCAAAAAATGTGGGAAACGTAAAAAGGCTCACAGAAGAAACAGTTTCCTATCATTGAATCACCCAGCGAAACCATCTCAGGGTGTGGACACACTTAAGGCAGGAGACACTTGGGTCAGAGCGGATGTCCTGTTCCTCTGAAATGATTGGCTTTTGCAGGAGCTGGTGGTGCTTTGCCACCACCACCACCCCAGCTTGGTCTTTTTGCTGGCGGCTGGCATTCGTCCCCGGATGCTGGTGATGGAGCTGGCCCCCAAGGGCTCCCTGGACCGCCTGCTGCAGCAGGACACAGCCAGTCTCACGCGGACTCTGCAGCATAGGATCGCGCTCCATGTGGCTGACGGCTTGAGGTATTTACTCACTCCTGCGGTTTCCTCTTCCCTGTATGACGCGTGTTAGCCCACACTTCCTCCCAAGGCTCTGAGAATAGCACTTCCCACTAACAATGTGTCCTAGTAACATTAAAAAGAAAAACTGAGGATGAAAAACGACCATTTCCCCAATTGAATTTTAAAATCTGATAAAACAAGAGGACAAAGACCACGGGGAGCCTCCCAGCTAGTGGTAGGGAGTAGGAACCCAGGAGTCCTGCTCCAGAGCCCATGATCTGGTACTGACTGATCTGCTTCCTCTAAAAAACTACAGGCGAGCATTCCAAGTATCAAGGAAAGTGTCAGTGATCATGGATGATTACAATATGCAAAGATGAGCCCATCTTTCTGAAAAGGACTAGAGTGACCTGGGTTCTGGATCATAATGTGTCTCCGAGGCACACCTACCCTGCAGTCAGAGGTAGACAGCCGCGGAGAGGCAGCTCAGCAGTGGAGAGGCTGTGGTCTTTGGAGTCAAAAGGAGTGGGATAGCCTGGCGAGTGTGGCTTAGTGGTTGAGCGTCAATCCATGAACCAGAAGGTCACAGTTCGATTCCACTTCAAGGCACATGCCTGGGTTGCAGGCTTGATCCCCAATGTGGGGCATGCAGGAGGGAGCCAATCAATGATTCTCTCTCATCATTGATGTTTCTGTCACTCTCCCCTTCCTTTCCTCTCTCTGAAATCAATAAGAACATATAAGGAAAAAAGGGACTAGGATAAATCACTGCTCACACACTTTGTATCTGTGATTTTATTTTATTTTTAGTATGTTTTTATTGATTATTGTTTTCAACCCTCTCCTACCTCACTTTCTGGTCATTGTGCTCAGCCCTCACCTCCCTGAGGTGTCTTGAATATACCAGCTCATCTCTCCACCAGGAATCTCTGACTCCAGATATCCTATTGGCTCGCTTCTCATTTCATTCAGTTCTCTTCTCAGACAGGATTCCCTGAATCCTATGTCTCTCTAGTCCCTGTACCACTCATTTCAGACTGGTATTCTTTGTTTTTATTTTTTTTTAATTGTTTATTGTCTGTCTTTGCCACTAGAGTCTAAGCGTCACAATAGCAGGAACTTTGCATCTCATTCATGGTTGCATCCCCAGCACCTAGAGCAGTGGGGCCTCAGTAAATATGTGTTGGCCTTGGGTGGAGAGGGAGGAAGGAGGGAAGGAGGGAGGGATGAAAACAGTGCCTCGCCATAGTTGCCACGCAGTGGTACAAATCTCCTTCCCTTCTGAAATAGTGTGTCTCTTCCTTTTGGGCAGTATCCAGACATGTAAATGGAATGGGCACTGAGGAAAACAAATAAACACAGCTCACAAACTCAAACCAAACCAAACCAACCAAGAGGATGTAACTCTTAGTAACATATAGGGAATATAATAAGTGTGTCAAATAAGTAGATTTCTCTTTCTGAAAGAGTCCAGAAACCACTGTAAAACAACAGAATCAGTAAATGAAACAGGAATGCAGATTTGGGTTTGGGTTGCTATACCTACTTTTGAACACCAGGGGGAACCTTGTGTTAAATTAATCCAGATAAAGTGCAACTAGGCTTCATGTGTTTCAGAGCCGCCTCGATCACGGTCACGTTGCTCGATTTAACTAACTGCATATCCTAGATTTACCCTAATTCTTCCATGTACTCCCCAAAGTGCAGTTTTATAACATGGAGAATTGTTATTTTTATTACTCACCCCTGTTTGAAAGACCTCCTCTCTAAAATAACTTATTCGGGTTCTCTGAGACCTTCCTTTAGAAAACAAATCCAGTAGTTTCTGATGAAGTTCGTGAAATTGTAGCATATTTTCCTCTAATTTGCTTGATTTGTTCTCAGCATAATGTCAAGACAGCATCTGGATCTTGTGCCCAAGAGGGTAGTAGATTTCAGTAGCTATCAATCTTCCACCAGCACTAAGTAAAACTCAGCATTAAAGTTTGTCTTCCCAAATACAGGATGTCCCCCAAAATGCATGTATTATACACTTTAAATAATTATAAAGACAGTGTTTATTAAGACATTTCATTTTTATTTAACAACCATCAGCTATTAAAGTGTGTATGTATTTTTGGGACACCCTGTATATTTTAGTATAGAGTCTAACTACAGAGGTAGAAAGAGGCAATGAAACCACACTCCTTTGGAGTCCTTTAATGGTGGAGCTGTTTTGAGTGACATACAAGAACTTCTTTACATTACATATTTTTTGTTCCACAGTTTTGTCTTCAACTATTAACGTACATCTTTAATTCAGTCTGCTCCTTTGAGCTCTTCGTCATAATTCTCAATTACCAGTGAAGATGTCCCATAAATACCCATGTTTCAGGACATTCAAAATTGAATTTACTTTCTCTATTACTTCTGTTCCCTATCAATCTGCTTTTTCTCTCGTATCTCCTACTTGCCAACAAAAATCCTTGTGGTCATATCCAGACCAACGCCCTCACCAAAAAGTAAGTATCCATTTGTCCACCAGATTTTATACTATTTGACATTATCTTCTTATCCCATTCATTTATTTTTATGCTACTGCTGCTGCCTTGGTCTAGTGCCTCCAGGAAATTATCAGAATATTTCTTCTAAAATAAAAATCTAATCACGCCTGAAATTTCCTGGTTGTTCCAGGCTATCTATGAAATACATCCAAATTCCTTGGTGTAGCATCAAAACTCTTTCTGTATGCCCTGTGCCTGCCTCCCTGGCCTCCTGCCACGCTGCCCTGACTCTACATTCTAGCCATGCTGAAGGTCTCGACATTTCATGGACATCCATGTCTATCTTTGCATTTGCCAATCCTCTTTTTCCAGTAAGTTGTCTGCCCAGAGGACTCATTTTCCTCTAGAATTCGCACACATACCACCTCCACAATGACGCTCAACAGCACCGTGAATGGTTGGCTTCTGTAACATGTTTCTGGAGTCCACTCCATGCAAGACTTGGTGTTGGGTGCTGAAGAGGGAAAAGTAGAAATGATATTGCTCTTAGCAATTGAAAAATTGACAGTGTAATGGGAGAGTCTGCTTTGCTATCTTATCTCTTTGCTTTTGTCCCTCTCGCTTCCCTAGCATTGCACTCACTACATTTCTGCAACCTTGTTAGAGTCCCCATTTCTCCTTATAGATCAGTGGTTCTCAACCTTCCTAATGCCACGACCCTTTAATACAGTTCCTCATGTTGTGGTGACCTCCAACCATAAAATTATTTTTGTTGCTACTTCATAACTGTAATTTTGCTACTGTTATGAATCATAATGTAAATATCTGATATGCAGGATGTATTTTCATTGTTATAAATTGAACATAATTAAAGCATAGTGATTGATCACAAAAACAATATGTAATTATATATGTGTTTTCCGATGGTCTTAGGTGACCCCTGTGAAAGGGTCGTTCGACCCCAAAAGGGGTCGCGACCCACAGGTTGAGAACTGCTGTTCTAGATCGTGACCTCTCAGGATACACTGGTGATAGTCATGATTAATGAAGGACTGTGTTTAGACTAATTTTTAAAATAAAAAAATTGTTAATGCTTATTGTCACAATGCATAAATTGTGGCTGAAATATATTTAGGAAGGCAAGATCTGCACTTGTTAAGATTTCAAAAGTTATTAAAAGTTATTAAAACTGTACTTTTAAAGATTAAATTCTATAATTGAAAATTTTAACTAACCCAGATAATCTTTCCCTCCCACTGACATTATTCCAAATTAAGTTTAACTACTTTTTTAACCTCTGTGAAGAATTCTGAGAGTGTATTCTATAAATATTCTGTAAGAGGCATGCATTATGAAGGATTTGGCTGTTCTTCAATTATTCATTACTTGGCTTTAACTTTTTTCTTCTTAATCTCCCAGCTTTCTCTTCAGCAGGGCAAGGGTGACTAATGGCCTTTTAGTAAGCCCTTAGTAAATTTTCTTTTATGTCCATTCCTTATTGTTAAGGTCAATATCATTAGTACATTTATCTTATTTTTCAGCCAAAAAATACGTATACCGAAATGAATAGGCCTAATGTCAGCTGTCCTAACTACATCCGGGAAGGGAATCTTCTACTGCATTAGTTGATGTAATTAAATGATGCATACAACTGGGCCATCATGCAATGGAAATTTCAGGGTATTGCTTCCTTTCTGCTCCTCCTAGTCCCTCTGCCAGTGATTGGTACTAGATAATGGAGTAAATATTTGCTAATCTAATGTGATCCCAATCCAAAAAACCACAAACAAACAAAGGGTTTATATTTATCTTTATTAAGAACTGTGAAAAATTGTTCTTACAATGTCGGTCATGATAAACTTGGAAGATTACATGGAGATTTATGGCATATTTGACAGCATAGAAGAGAGAAGATAGAGGTGGAGAAAGTGTGAATTTTGTGAATGTATAAGGAGGGTCAATAATTGACTTACTGTAGTAGCTGGAGCACAGTAGTAGCCCCCAGGCCATGTTTCCAGAATAGAAAAGATGTGGTTGAGATTAAAGCTTTATTTTAGTGTTTTTACAAATAATGCTGCAATGTACAGAGGAGTACGTGTATTCTTTCAAATTAGTGTTTTGGGTTTCTTCAGATAAATTCCCAGAAATGGAATTGCTGGGCCCTAAGGCAATTCCATTTTTAATTTTTTGAGCTAAATCTATAATGCTTTCCACAGTGGCTGCAGTGATGGAAAAAATAAAATAAAATAAAAACAGCAAAAACCTTTTATTTTATTTTTTATATTAACTAGTTTTATTAACTTTATCATCAGTATCCAGCTCTAGTTGCTTATGGATCAGTCTAAAAGGAAAGATTTAAACATCACCCAGTATTACTTTTCCCAAGAAAATGTTTTACTTATTCCAAGTCTTACCCAAAATGTTATTTGTCAACCTTAATTTTTAATGGAATCAGGTTTAAGTTAGGTCTAAAGGATACAAATTGAAAGCTAGAAAAGTGTTTTTATTTTGATTGTTACTATTGAAAAGCAGAAAATATTTTGCAAAAGTTAGGTAGCATTTTAGTCAGTAAAAATAAATATCAAAAGAGAAATAGCCGAAACCGGTTTGGCTCAGTGGATAGAGCGTCGGCCTGCGGACTGAAAGGTCCCAGGTTCGATTCCGGTCAAGGGCATGTACCTGGGTTGCAGGCATATCCCCAGTAGGAGATGTGCAGGAGGCAGCTGATCAATGTTTCTAACTCTCTATCCCTCTCCCTTCCTCTCTGTAAAAAATCAATAAAATATATTTAAAAAAAAAAAGAGAAATAGAATAAAGAGAATGTAAAAATCTGAGATAAACTTCTATATGGTTTTAAGAAAAGCAAAACTATTAAGTAAATGGGGGTTACAACACTATCCTATCAACTCGTATTAAACATATTTGCATTTTCAACTAGTAAAAATACTCATGTGATCATTGAAGGAATTGAGAATTCCTTTTAAGTAATTCTTAAGGTATATGAAAAAAAAGTCTCGAAAACTGGTCATTTGTTTCAAGTGGTTGTGGCTTAAGTATAAATCACTTATCAGGATTGACCTCGTTTGATGTTATTGTGTGTGTTTTTATTTTTAAGGAATACGTTTGCTTGATAGTATTGGACTTCCTTCTACAATATCTTTTAACTTTGAGGGTCAAACAGCACAGAATTTTTAATGCTTTGCATAATGGATATACATATTTAAGAAAATCCTGACTAAACTTATAATGACACAATCACATTTTAGTAAGACGACCTGTGCCTTTCTCTGGCAGATACCTCCACTCGGCCATGATCATATACCGGGATTTGAAGCCCCACAATGTGCTGCTCTTCACCTTGTATCCCAATGCCGCCATCATCGCCAAGATCGCTGACTACGGGATTGCTCAGTACTGCTGCAGAATGGGCATCAAAACATCGGAGGGCACACCAGGTGGGGGATATGGTTTCCTTGACAGTTCCCTCAAGATGGCAACAGTGTCTTCAGTTGTGAGGTCAGGAGCATGAAGAGAACCCTGAAGCCTGTCACATTGTGTGCAGACACTCGCTGACTGTGTGAAGAACTGTGACCAGTACATTGTAATTTTTTAAAAAAAATATATTTTATTGATTATTTTACAGAGAGGAAGGGAGAGGGATAGAGAGTTAGAAACATCAATGAGAGAGAAAGAGACATCGGTCAGCTGCCTCCTGCACACCCCCCATTGGGGATGTGCCTGCAACCAAGGTACATGCCCTTCACCGGAATTGAACCTGGGACCCTTCAGTCCGCAGGCCGAAGCTCTATTCACTGAGCCAAACCGGTTAGGGCTAGTACATTGTAATTTTGATCGTTGTATTCTGTAGGGTAAAAAAAAAAAAAAAAAAAAAAAAAAAAAAAAAAAAAAAAAAATCAACTGATGTAATTTTCCAGGGGAAAGAAAACAAAACAAAAAGAGAGACTATTTTTTGTCAAGTTCTATTTTAAAAGTTGGATTTTTACAATACTTACATACTCCAGAGATGTTTGTAAAAAGGAACAGCAAAAGTTTTAACCTGGGTAATGTTGACCCCAACCTAAACATGAAGCAAGCCAAGTTCAGGTTCACAAACCCTTTTTCATAACTCTGAGACAATTCAGGTACTGGCAGCGACCACAGTGCAATGTGTCCACATTTTTAAAGATAATAGGGGATGGATTCTTTCAACTTGAAGTAACTTGGAGACCTTTAACCTTAACTCAGACAAATGGATATACTATATCCTGTTGGGGGTGACAGTTCTGGGTCCTGTGATAATTGTACTGTTGACTGAGATCATCGCTGACTGATGGCTTCAACTCATCCATAGAAATGCAACAGTCTTTGGGTAAATAAAAATGTTAGTCTCTGGTTATTCACTATCATCTGATAGAGATTATGTAACGTGTTCTACTTATACTTCTCTGAAAGTGAAAAAGAAAGATATAAAATAAGACATAGCTTATAAATCGCTCATAATTTTGATCTATGACTGTTTATATACTCATTGCATTTGTTAAATCAGGCTTATCTGAAAAATTATTTCTTTAAAAATAGTTTTTAGACAATGAATCATATTTTCCCAATTATTTCAACATTATTATTATGATAATTCTCTAAGGGAAAATGATCCTTATTTATTTATTTATTATTTATTTATTTATTTGTTCATGCATTTGGCAATAATTTATTGACAGTTTACCAAATACCAAACTGGTGCTATTACTTAATAGCTATTTGGGGTTCATCAAAATTCACTCTCTGGCGCTCAGTTTTCATTGCTGTAAATTGTGATGAGGGAACTAATGTCTATCTCATGGGGTCGCTGAGGGTAAAAAGGAAATAATGCATATACTAGAACAAGGCTTGGCATATTGCAGTTGCCCCAAGTATGTTTACAATTACTCTAGTGGTGAATTTTGGAATGTGCATGAATAAGTGTAAATTTTGCTATCCAGAAGCATACATTCCACCAGGAGAAATAAGGCTGGAAGCAAATAATCATAAAGCATTGTGTCAGTGTCAGTAGGAAATCTAGTTCAAAGCCTGGTGATAGCCCCAAGGAGCAAGTGATTCCCTGAGCTGTAGGTCATCAGGACTTCCTTCTAGGGAAGGTGATTCTGGGTTTATATCTTAAAAATAAGCTTGAAGGCTTGGAAAAAAGGGGGGGAAAAAGGAGTGGGAGGAGACATTCCAGGCAAAAGGAACTAAGGAATAAAATACCCTATTCAGATACCTTCAGGAAATTTGGTATGAGTTAAGTGATAGATGGAAGATGAAGGGTTATTTAGTTAAGTGTTTTTCAATTTCGGCTCTATATTGGATAACATGTAGAGCTTAAGAAAATGTATTCACTGGGTGGTACCTTCAGAGTTCTACTTTAGTAGGTGTGGAGCAGGGCTTCTCAATAGGCCACACGATAGAAGTTCCTGAGAGGGACTTTATTTGTTTTAGACATAGTTTCATTTTTATTTTTATGTTGAGTAGAGGGAGCAGAGTCACACATTCTCAAAATAATGAAGGCAGAATTTTAGCCATGTTAATGTCACTTGAAGTCTAGAAATCGCCCTCCTGCCCCTTTCTGTGTTTGAAACACTTCCCTGGAAGGAGAAAAATAATAGAGATTTATTTTCCTATTAAGTTTCATTTCTTTAATTTTGAAACATTACTTAATAATTCCTTACAGAATGCTTATTGTTATTATTCTTCAAGATCGACCTTGGGGTGAAATGTCCTGGGACAGGACTGTTAATTGCTTGATCAAGGTGTTTTCTTATTGAGTTGACATGGCCTAGTTTAGAACTCATCTCCCAGACACTCCATTAGCATATATGCCTAATTATATGTCTCCTTAGGTATATGAGCTCTGGTTTGGGCATATTTATTAATATATCTGTTTATTTTCAGGCTTTCGTGCACCTGAAGTTGCTAGAGGAAATGTAATTTATAACCAACAGGCTGATGTTTATTCATTTGGTTTACTACTGTATGACATTTTGACAACTGGAGGTAGAATAGCAGAGGGTTTGAAGTTTCCAAATGAGTTTGATGAATTGGCAATACAAGGCAAATTACCAGGTAAGTTTTATTTATCTTCAATGGATTAAAAAATATCCTTTAAAAAAGCTATTTAATTGTAGTTGTGTACCTAATTCATTTCACAGATGATAATTGCGTAGTGCATGAATATTCTTACATCTGTGATACAAATAAAAATCACATGAGTATAGTAGCAGTTTTAGGCTTTTTAATTTATTTTTAAAATATTTTTATTAATTTTAGAGAGAGGAAAGGAGAGGGAGAGATAGAAACATCAATGATGAGAGAGAATCACTGCTCTGCTGCCTCCTGCATGTCCCTTACCTGGGATTGAACCCGCAACCCTGGCACATGTCCTGACCAGGAATAGAACCATGACCTCTTGGTTCATGGGTAGATGCTCAACCACTGAGCAACACTGGCTAGGCTAGGCTTTTTTATAAATCCCAAGTCAATATTGCTTTATTTGGTGTATATTTAGAAGAATGCTCAGAACAGGATCATGCTATTAAAACTTCAGGTGTTGTGACTTCTGTTCCCATAAAAAGTTACCATGTGCCCATTTGCCTGGAGTGTTTTCATTTTCTTGGAGTGAAATAATGTATATGCAGGAATGGAAGTTTGAATTATTTATAATAATAATTTTTAGTAGTAAATATTTATAAGAATTAGTAAATGGGTATTTAATGAGTTCAAATCTCATTTTGAATGTTCATGCTTTTAAGAAATTCTAGAACTTTTTCATTCATTCTTTGAGTATTATTTCAGCTCCCAGGACAAAGTACTCTTTTAAATATATTTAATTGTTTCCCATATTTTCTGCTTCCCCTGTCATTTAAGAAATATTTTTGAGAGTACACTATATGCCATATGCAGGAATATAGTTTTAACTTTCTCCTTTTGGGGACTTTAAAGATTCCCAGCAAAAGGAAATTTATTCTCATTTGAATAAACTTTTGACACAATCTGGGTCATGTCCCTTATTTACCAGTTATCTTTCCAGTCAAAGTTTCCAGGTTTCTGTTTTACTTCAACCAGAAGAATGGCATCTCTCTTACAAAAAACAAATGTGTACAAACAGACTGTGGAGACATGACGATTAATATTCAAATAAAAAGCACTTCTATAGGAGTCTAATTATTATGTGAACAAAAAATGTTTTCAGTCTATTTGAAATACAGCTGTGGAATGAAAATACAGTATTTTATTCAATTGGTATTAGTGTCTTTTTTTTACCATAAAAAAATCCATAAATCTTTTTTAATGTCTCAACTAGAGATAATGCTAACAAAATTAGCTTTTGTGATAAGTAGATTCATAATTAATATAGGATTATATAAATCAGTGTTTTGAAATATCTGGGTCTTTCCACACTGAGTGGAAATAAAATAAATGTTCTGATTTGTCTAATGTTCTAGCATCTTTTTGAACGTTTTAGATCCAGTTAAAGAATATGGTTGTGCCCCGTGGCCTATGGTTGAGAAGTTAATTAAAAGGTGTTTAAAAGAAAATCCTCAAGAAAGGCCTACATCTGCCCAGGTATTACTGTGGTCAAAATGTATCAGTATTTGGAACAGAACAACAAATACATGCATACATACACACATATATAAAAATCCCCACATACATATACTCAAACACATAAATAAACATGCACATTTCAGAAAAGTATAAAGCAGATGTGTGTGTCCTCTGCCAGCACAGACACACAGTGAGAGAGCATTACCACCTCAGAAGCCCCCTCAAACCCTCCTTCCCTGCTTGCACCCCTCTCCTTTCCCTTAATCCTTGCACTGTGCTGGCTTTTGTGCAATCCTTGCTTTTCTTTTCTTTATGATTTTGCCATTCAGTTTAGATTTCTGTATTTACAGAATATTTAAAATGTAATCATGCCCTAGCCGGTTACTCAATGGTTAGAGCATTGGCCCATGGATGGAAGGCTTTTTATTTTATTTTTAAAATATTTTTATTTTCTATAAGTTTTATATTAATTTATAATATATTAAATTATATAAATTATATATATATTTCATTTTATATAATATAAATTAACGTGGGTTCAATTCTGGTCAAGATCACGTACCTCAGTTGCAGTCTTGATTCCGGGCCCTGGTCAGGGCATGTGCAGGAGGCAACCAATCAATGTGTCTCACTCACATAAATGACTCACTCACTCTCTCTCTCTCTCTCTCTCTCTCTCTCTCTCTCTCTCTCTTTCTCCCCTCCCCCACCCTTCCACTCTCTAAAAATCAGTGGGAAAATATCCTCACGGGAGGATTAACAACAACAACAAAAGGTTTTCAAATAACCTCTTCTAACACATTATTGGAAACAGAACTCGTACATGTTTTAAACCAGAATAGAGTTTAATGGATCAAAATAAGAGCTGTCTTTATGTTGTGGACTTTGATTTTGTATAGTAATTTATTGAAAAATTTTTGTTAAACTTTAAAATTTTCTACTTAAAAATAGCTGAACACATTTCACTGACTTTATCAAACTTTTTATAATCATCTTGGCTACTAACACTACTGGTTTTCTAATTGTGGTTACCATTGTTCTTAATCACACAGACATTTTCACAGTGAAGTTTTCATAGCTTAATTATTGTTTTACTTTTTCTTCCTTTTATTTTCAAGTATACTTTTCCTGTATTTTATATTGAATTTTTTTAGTACATGACATAATTAGAAAACTTTGACATATTTAATTTTTTAACTGCAATATATACTAAGCAAGATGGGTAAACTCATCACCTTTGTCAGATGAGGTACTGAGATAATAAGGGGCTTTCTCAGGGTCTCATGTGAGGGGCAGGCAGTGGCTCTAATTCAAATTTCCTGATTCCTAGTTCTGTTTCCTTACAGAGGCTCTACACTGTCTGTCTAGTTCTTTAGTGCTTGAAGGAAAAACATAAAACCAGAATCTAGAAGTGAGTTGTGAGTTTTGTTACCAAAGATCAAAATTCATTTTCCTTTCAGTTGTCCCGAGTATTTATCTTCCAAAGTAACTTTTGAACATGATGTGGCTCTGCAGCGTAAAACTGGGTGACCCTGCTCAATTTCCGTCATCGCCACCTTGCAGATTTTCTTTTCAAGTTACGATACATACCACATATACAAAAAGAGTATATATCATGCCCAGTTTAAAAAGATGTATTATATTAATGTGATTTTATCTATAGGTTTGCAGTATTAGTCTTGTTGCTCTGCGTGGGTCAGAGGTTAGCTAACAGGTTTAGGTTTTTCTTGATAGAGCTGTAACATTTAGGGCTACATTATGTGCAAGAATCCGGTCTTTCAAAAGCACCTGTGTTAACTTGATGTGCGTTGTTTTGTTATTTTTAAACTTGCTCAGGTCTTTGACATTTTGAACTCGGCGGAGTTAATCTGTCTGATGAGACACATATCCATACCCAAAAACTTCACTGTGGAGTGCATGGTTGCTGCAAATCAGAGCTGCAAGAATGCCAGCATCTGGCTGGGCTGCGGGCCCAGAGACAGAGGCCAACTCTCCCTTCTTGACTTAACTACTGAAAGACTTACTTCGGAGGTAAATCCAAATACTCTTTAAATTAGAGATGCTGTAGAAAACTTATTTTTGCAGATTATTATATTTTATTTTTCAATGACAGTTTATATTCAATATTATTTTTTATTAATTTCAGGTGTACTGCATAGTGGTTAGATAACCTTAAATCATGTACTAGTTAAAAGTTACTTAGGAAGAATGAAATAAGAGCTAGTTTAGGGGTATTATTAAATTGGCTTTCTGTTAGAACAAGAGTATTCATCTGAAATGAAATAAGTATGTGTTTGGTTTTGAAATTGCAGTATATGTGTGTCGTAGGCCAGGGTCTCTAAAAACGGAGACTGAGGCAGAAAATCTTGTATGAGTGATTTAAGGAGAGAGAAATTTAAAAAAATAATGTTTTTACTTATTTCAGAGAGAGGAAAGAGAGAGGGAAAGTGAGAGATAGAAACATCCATGATGAGAATCATCAATTGGCTGCCTCCTGCACGTCCCCACCTGGGGATAGAGCCCACCAGCCAGGCTGTACCCTGATTGGGAATTGATCCATGACCTCCTGGTTTATAGGTCAATGCTCAACCACTGAGCCACATTGGCCAGGTGAAGAGAGAGAAACTTTTAAGTATAGGAAGCCAGAAAGAGCAGGGGGAAATCTTAACAAAAATGTATTTTTGAGGAAGGATAGCCTCAGGGTTTATCCATAAGAAATTCTGGAGTATGAAAAAAGAGCACAGATTTATCCCTCCATGAGGCATGGGGGCCAGTCTTTATTCCCATATATCAACCAGTCATTGGCTACAATCTTCCCAAGGAGAGAGGAGGTATAACTTCCCAGCCATTTCTGGGAGCTGGTATAACCTCCCGAGCTAATGAAAGCTGAGGACAGCTCTGTTGTGAAGGGTGCAACTCTGAGCTATTAGTAGCCAACACCCAGAGCAGCTCTCAACTGACTGAGAGAGGGGCTCTGGGCACAACTTCTGCAATATGTTGTATTGGCAAAAATAAAATAAATTTCTAGATTTTATAAATAACCTAATTTTTCACTGTTGTCTTGAAATACATGTGCCTAAATATTACTTTTAAGATTGAAAAATCTCCTATTACTTCAATGGAGTGTGAAATGGTGAGAAATAACTTTCACTTTCCAGTTTTAGTTTCAGATGCATTCTAGATAGGCAAAGCTTGTTTGCCAGCTAACTCATTTATTGTTGAAAATTAAATAAAATTGGTATTATTTTTAAAAGCAAAAGAGAGAAATTAAAAGAGTTCAGTATGTGGATGGCAGAATATTTTTTAAAAATATATTTTATTGTTTTTTTTTACAGAGAGGAAGGGAGAAGGATAAGGAGAGGGATGAGAGAGAAACATCGATCAGCTGCCTCCTACACACCCCCTACTGGCTGACGCTCTATCCACTGAATTAAACTGGTTAGGGCTGGCAGAATATTTTTATTTTCTGTAATTTCTGGTCACTTAAGCTAGAATCAGTTTCTTTAGAGTGTTTTTCTCTTCTTAATAGGAAGTTACCAATAGCAGAATACTGTGCCTCGCCTTGGTGCACCTGCCTGTGGAAAAGGAAAGCTGGATTGTGTCTGGGACACAGTCTGGCGAGCTCCTTGTCATTAATTCTGAAGATGGGAAAAAGATGCATACCCTTGAAAAGATGACTGATTCTGTTACTTGCTTGCATTGCAATTCCAATTCCAAACAAAGGTACACTAGTAAATTTGACCATTGGGGTAAATTTACATATCTTTTAGATGACTTAATGTGTGGAAATTATTATAGCATCAGCAAAGATTGCTCAGTTGTAACATTTTCCCATTGTTAAAGGGAATTGTGGGAAGCCACTAAGGTATTTATTTTTCTGTATACAGATCAAACTGAGGCATTTATAAAAAAGGCCAATTATTTCTTTAGGCCACCAGCCTTGTTCCTGGTTTTATCTTAGCTGTTGCTCCATTCTTTATCATTCCTCACATCAACTTACCTTTGCAGGACCTCTTTAAAGATGACTTCTTGTTCATTCTTTCTTTGAATATGTATATTTCAATTGCTTGTTCTGTGTCAATCTAAAACATATGGGTTAACTAACTATCAAATTGGAAAAAAAAGTCAAATAAATGCATAAGTTGTTAATAGGTGAAAATACTTAATCATGGTCAGTTGTTGGGATCTTATCTCAAAGGAAATTATCTAAGTGGCATAAATTCAGGTGTGAGTAACAGGTTAGTTACTGTAATCTATATGGCGGGATGATTTCCAGGAGCCATTAAGATTATTGCACCCCCAAACTTCTCTTTGGTAAGTCAATAAATATTAGAAAATAAATATTAGAAAAATGTGAACCCCAAGTGTTTGGCAGCTGAACATTTCAAGTAAACCATGTTTGAAATTTTAAAGTTGCAATTGTTTGAATATTGTCAAAGAAAAATTTCATCAGATGTAGTTAAACAAGCAAAGAAGACTTTATTGAAGACTGTTGGAATAGAGGAAAGAGAATGGACTCAACTCTGCTGAAATAAAAGCCAGGGGAATTATTTTTATTTTTATTATTTTAAACTAGAGGCCTGGTGCACGAATTCATGCACGTTGTGGGGTTGGGGGGTTCCCTCAGCCCGGCCTGCACCCTCTCCAATCCAGGACATTTCTCTCACAATCCGGGACTGCTGGCTCCTAACCGCTCACCTGCCTGCCTGCCTGATCGCCCCTAACCCCTCTGCCTGCTGGCCTGATTGCCCCTAACCACTTCTGCCTGCCAGCCTGATCACCCCTAACTGCTCCCCTGCTGGCCTGATCGTCCCTAACCACCTCTGCCTCAGCCCCCGCCACCATGGCTTTGTCTGGAAGGAGGACCAGATGACCAGAAGCTGTCTGGTCGACATGGTCTAATTAGCATATTAACCTTTTATTAGTATAGATTTCATGGGGGTTACATTAGTCTACATGAACATATAGGTTACATGTGTGGATTTCTAATTTACAAACTCTATATATAGGACCATGTGCCCACCACTCAAAGTCAAATCTTCTCCTGTCACCTTATATTAGGACCCCTTTCTTAACTATTCGAGTGAGCAGTGGGAAAGTACTGGAAGTCTTTGGGGTGAAGGGAAGTAGTGAATGAGACTGAGCCATCTGTCTTGGCAAATTGGTCCTTGTTGAAGTTAGGCTGGGACCCTCCCTAGAGACTGGGAGATGGGCCACTCTTCCTTGAATATATTTGTAAGGGAGGGCTCCAGGATTCTTGAGAAAGGCCTATATAATTGGCAAGAGGCTAGAAGAAGATTTACATCTCAACTGGGCTGAGAAAGAATTACAATTGTAAGTTTTTTTTAAGTAAATGATGTAAGAAAAGGGATCAAGGGCCTATAGTCAGGAAGAAACCTGTTTAAAGATTTAATCAAGCTAGGGAAAAGGTTAAGGCCACCTTGGTCAAGGTAAGCATTCTTTTTCTAACAATTTTGACATTTTTTCTTTTAGCAAGCAAAAAAATTTTCTTTTGGTGGGAACTGCTGATGGCAACTTAGCAATTTTTGAAGATAAAAGTGTTAAGGTAAATGTTGAATACATTCTACACCAAATTTATTTTAAGTTATTTGTTTTATCTATTCTCATCCTCAGCTCCTTCTAAAGTGATTATAAACTTTCTGAGAGCAAGGATCATAAATTCTGCTTTTTGTCTTTTTATTGCTTCATAAAGTCTAGTACACTGTATATCCTCTATAAATACTTGCTGATTGAGTGTATGCTTTATATGAAATAAACTAAGGATAAAATGATAAATGAGATCTGATGTATAATGTGAGAAATATGAATAATTCTATTTGTATGTAAGCAAAGTTGATAATTACTTATAAATATATTGTGGAAAAAACAAAGGAAACAAGTTTTAAATCAGGTTTGCCATCAAGTTTTTCCTTAGCTTTGAAGATATCATTTAACTTTCTGTTCTATAGATTCTCATTTATCATTAGAGCATTTATTCCTCCCTCCCTCCATTCATCTGTGGTTCCAACTATTCATTCAGAATTCTACCCCTTCATACTCCTTGTTATCAAAAAACTTATCACCTAATGAGAGACAGAGAAGTAGAGCAAAATATGCAGGTTATTTCCGGTACAATTTTTGCCTGGAGAAGTGAAGAGCTTGGTTATAGGATCGTATTTTGAATACTGGTTGAATTGAATCCTGTTTTTATAAATCCTTTGAAAAAATGTATCCTGAATTTTTATTTTAATACCTGTAACCTTATAAGATGGGAAAGCAGTCTTTAGAAAGCTTAAACTTCACAGTGTTTCATTTTGCATATACCCAATAAACTGGATGTGTTTCCTCTTTCTGGCAAAGTGTAAAGGAGCTGCTCCTTTGAAGATACTCAATATAGGAAATATCAGCACTCCACTCATGTGTTTGAGTGAATCCGTGAATTCAACTGAAAAAAACATTATGTGGGGAGGATGTGGCACAAAACTTTTCTCGTTTTCTGATGATTTCACCATTCAGAAACTCATTGAGACCAGGACGACTCAGGTGTAAGTTATTCCTGCATATGCAATTAATTTATCATTGTATTTGTGTTATTCTTTATAATCAAGTCAATAATGCTGTTAATAATCCCAAATGAAAATCTTTTAAAATACTTAATTTATATTTCTATTATAAAATTAAACATTTATTATAGAAAACAGAAAATTCCAGAAAGCAGCAGGACATTAAAAAATCACCCAGCCTAATCAAAATTGGGGTAAATATGAAAACCTATGGTAATCTTAGGAGTATTTATCAATCTCATTGTTTAACAATTTTGTTACCTCTGTATCAAATCAGAAAAGGAATTTGCAAGGCATTATTTTTATCTATGGATAATGTTTTGGAGAATGTCTATTAAGTATTGATTGTAGGAAACATAGGCACTCAGGTATAAAATCCTCTGTTGATTTGATGGTCCCTTCTACAACAGAGTGAGTCATACCAATTTCAAGCAAGAATAAAATAAAATATAAATCTTGTTTCAATTTTAAAGTTGTATTTCAAGTGAATCATTGTAGGTGGTTCTTGTTTATTACATTTTTCAGTGAGAAGCACTGTACAGTGGTAGAGAAGAGCTACAATCATAGTTCAGATATTGGCTTTGCCATGTATGGGTTATGTGAAGTTGGACAAGAACTTCTCAAATCTCCAGTTCCCTCTTACCTGAGGACTGTAATATATATTATCTCAAAGGCATGTTTGGATGACTAAACAAGAAAATTACAGAAAGAGCTTAGAGAAAAGACATGGTCCTTGTCCTTAAGCATTTACATATACAATTTAGCATCAGGGACACACTAATACAATTTTATATTTAACTAGAGGCCCGGTGCATGGATTCGTGCACCAGTGGGGTCCCTCAGCCTGGCCTGTGGGGATTGGACAAAAACCAGCTCTCCGACATCCCCTGAAGGGTCCCGGATTGCATGAGGGTAGTTCTCGGGTGATGTACTCTGGAATCGGGCTCCCTACTCTCTGCTTCTGGTTGCATCACCCAAGAATCACAGCTGCCAAGTCACCCCAGCTTGGTAGCTCCTGTGTTGAGCGGCTGCCCCCTGGTGGTCAGTGTGTGTCATAGCTACTGGTTTGAGCATCTGCCCCTGGTGGTCATTGCGCGTCATAGCTACCGGCCAGTCAGCAGGTTGCTTAGGCTTTTATATATATATAGATAAGATCTATAATATTACACTAGTGGCAGAAAAAAAGAATGATTAGTTTATTTTTATAGGTCAGGGAAGAATTTCACAGGAGCTGATATTTAAGTTAAGCCACAAAGGCTAACTAGAAGTTTGCCAATACAGATGGGGCCTATGTTAGCCAATCTGTTTGCAAAATACATAAAATGCCAAATGTGCTAGGTTGAAAAATTGATATTTTAAAATGCTTGTCATTTTTCTTTATTTTCAAAGAGGGAAAGATGTGGATTTTTTCTTCTCTTATAACTTGACTGGCTTTTGTTGATACAAAGGTACCTTTTGCTTTAATATTTGCAGATGTTGCCACTAAAATTTATTTTAACAACTTACGTTTTATAACTCTAGGTATAGATGGCTAACACTTAATTTTTAACACAATGGAATTTTCTTGCCACATCATAAAGTCATTGATATGATGACATTTCCTTTTGAAACTAGGATGGTTTGGATATTTGGGCAGTATAAAATTCTATAAAGAACAAGATAAGCTCCAGCTGGTGTGGCTCAGTGGTTGACCATCAATCTATGAACCAGAAGGTCACGGTTCATTTCCTATTCATGGTGCATGCCTGAGTTGTGGGCTCAATCCCCAGTAGGGGATGTGCAAGAGGCAGATGGTCAATGATTCTCTCTCATCATTGATGTTTCTATCTCTCCCTCCCTCTTCCTTCTTCTCTGAAATCAATAAAAAATATTAAAGAACAAGATAAAACTGAAATTAAAATTAAAACCAGAAATAAACATTAATTGTGATCTTTAATTTATGTTATTATCAAGTGAAAAGTATAAAGTGACCGAAAATAAGTGAAGTACCGTAGTAAGGTATATTTTTAGTTCATATTAGAAAAGTGGGAAAAAAAACCTGCCTGTTTCTTTTTCAAAATGGTGTTAATATTTTACGTGCATTAAGAACTCATTCAGGCTCACATTGCATGTTAAAATAGAAGAAAAATGAATAGTAGTGACCTTCTTTTTTCCCCTCCTAGGTTTTCTTATGCAGCTGTCAGTGACTCCAACATCATAGCAGTGGTGGCGGACAGGGCTCTCTACATTGCTAAGAAAAATAGCCCATTTGTGGAAGTGTGGGATAAGAAAACGGAAAAACTCTGTGAACTAATAGACTGTGCGCACTTTTTAAAGTAAATTCATTGGGATTTTTTTCTAAATTTTATTTTGTTGTAGGAGGTGCACAAGATCCACCTCTTAAAATTTTAAGTGTACAATACATTATTGGTGACTATAGGTCCAATGTCATTGGTTCTTTATTTTATGCCGGTAAGAGCTGTCTTTATACTTCAAATTTTACAGACGGGGCAAGTATGACTTACATTTCTTCCTTTCTCCCTCTCAATACAAAGTTGAAAGGAAAAAAAAAAAACACCCCCAGAAACAAAATTGTTTATGCTTTTCAACGCCATGTCTTGGAATCCAGCAAATGTCATTTTGGGGAAAAAGATAGGAGCATAATATTTGTGGTTTCTTCGAAGTATTATAGAGAATACTCTCTCATGAAAAAATAGTATATTATTAAAAATGACCATACTGGATTCATTGCTGGCTGTGCATCTAGTAGAATTGTAGTATTAATATTACTAATAATTAGACTGTTGGCCCCAAAATACTGTGTTCTAAAGTAAAATAATATAAAAAAATGGGGGGGGGGAGCGCACTGGACTGACCAATGCACTAACTATGGAGGGAGGACCAAACCTGAGCCTGAGAGCCAGCTCTCAGTCCGATACAGTGAGCGTGTCTGAGACAACCTCAGATTTGACATCAAGCACATCCTTTCTTGCTACTGCAAAGAAATAGGGCCATCACCAGCTTCACTTGGTAGCCATGTTCTACTTTTGTTTTTTCTGAATACATTTTTATACTCTGAAGAACATTTAGGTTAGACCCTATATCCATGAAAGGAGACTTCAAAGTTTACTTTCCTAGGATCTTCTTATCTGACAGTTTTTCTCTGCTTGGGGAGGAGATTTTTGCGCAGATATGCAGACAGTTCTGCCTGGTAAAGGGTCTCCTACCACCTAAAGATCCAAAATTATTAGGATCCTTTTATTTCTGATACCTCATTTTTGTGATGACTTATTTGTTAGCTCAGGGGGAAAATTGGTGGTTTGTATGGATATCTTTTACATATAAATGATTATAATTTTATTTTTCTTTGAAGCTTTTATACTTCATGGAAAGCTTTTGAAAATAACGTTTTTTCTTCTTATTGGGAAAAATGTATTCTTTTTATACTGGATTTTTATTTATAGATATTGTATTTATCATATTGAGTTGAAAATTTCTTGAAGTTAAGGGGCTATTGTGTTATGTTTGATAATTTGTGCTTCAAGGAGAAAAATATGGCCAGGTGGCATTCATTGTAAAGCAAAATTAGTTTTGTATAATGTTCATGATATATAAAGTCTACTGTTATGTATTCATAATTTAAAATATTATGTATTTGTGAATATCTATAGACACATCTGTTTTATCAGTTAATCATTGAAAAAGCATTAATGCATACTCTTTTCACGGTTGTAGGGAGGAAATGGTGAAAGTGAACAAGGAGTCCAAACACAGTATGTCTTACTCGGGGAGAGTGAAAACTCTCTGCCTACAGAAGAACAGTGCTCTCTGGATTGGAACCGGGGGAGGCTACATGCTACTCCTTGACCTTTCGACTCTCAGGCTCATCCGTATAATTCACGACTTCTGTGACTCTGTCCGAGTCATGATGACAGCGCAGATAGGCACGTGTCTTTCCTTTGGATTTTTCGCATGTTCTCTAAGACTATAAACTTTGTTGATCTTTAATTTAAGTTTTTCCTTCACTTTCCAGTGTCACTTGAAGTGTCTCAGAAGTTCACCTAGTGCAGCATAGGGCTGGGACACGTTTTGAATAGGGTCACTAAAGAAATGGAGAGAGTCGATGCTCTCCACCCCATAAGAGAGGCAGATTATTGCAAGAGCACCCAAGTCTGGGTTTACTTCCTCTTTTTTCTTTATACCTAAGGTCAAATGGGAAATGGACAATGTTGAGTATTTTTTTTTACTTTTGCCCAAAGAAATTAAAGCAAATGTTTATTTTTATTATAGTTCAAGCTTCCCACCCTTGTTAAAGAATTCCGTTTGGCTTTTATTCTATAAATAAATTTATATTGTTGTAGCAAGATATGCTGAACTCCTTCCTCAATCTACAAATATTGACAAATCATGATGTTTTACCCAAGACTTTATCTTTCCTTGCTCCTACTTCGCTATTTAAATACGATGAAATCGTGATGGTGCATGAAAAATATTTTCTACATAAATAATCACATTTCATTGTCTACTTTTCGCTAATTATTTGGTTTAAAATAATAATATTAGTATATGTACAAAGTTTATCACAAAAGTAACATTATGGGGTTAAGTTCTGTGAAAGTAGAATTCGTGTCGCTTTGGCAGATAAGTAATAAACTGTTTGGTAGGGTGAAGAAAATAGTAAATTGTTTCACAGGAATATATTAAGGAGAGACAAGTATTTCTCCTCCCCGTTCCCAATTTTCCATGCATGGATATCAGAGTTGCCCAGGAGTTAGAATGAGGTGCTGCTAGCGACTGGTGACTGTCAGGATAGAAGTCAACAAGCAGAGCAGATGGTCTGTAGTGAGTTGCTCTCTAAGCTTATTCCTCCAGGGTGGTTACATCCTCGAATTTAATTTGTATGTACTTTGGGACCCATCGAGGTGGTTCCCTACTGACATTTTAGTGGGATTTCAATGGGTTTAATTGATTTTTAAAATAAAGATAAATTTAAATATAACATATAAGATGGAGCATGATCTGGCTTCGCCCACCTCTCTAGCCTACATCATTGGCCACATTCCTCCCAGCTCTTTCTGGTCTAGAATTATGTTTAGTCCATCTTAAGTACCATGCTTCATACTGCCTCAAGGGTTTGCATTTCTGCTTAGTTAACATAGTTACTAATTAGTAACTAATCTCCTCATTAGAACATAAAGTCCTGTGGGTTGGATTTGCATATGTTTGTTTCCTCCTTTATTTCCAGGGCCTGGCCTAGGCCTCATACATGGGGGGACTTTTGGTGACTATTTGTTGAATAAGTTAATGAATGACTTGAGGAGAAGAATGGTTTTGTGACAGAGTATCCGTGTATCCATCCATGCCGCTCTCCATCCAGATGCTTCCCATTTGGCCAGTGCCTTATGAAAATACTTACACACACACAATCTTATGTAATATAACTTTTGGTGGAGGGGTAATGTATAAATATTAAACCCATTTTTCAGGAAGGTTAAGCTATTTTCTCAGGTTCACACAATTAATAAAAATTATAGAAAGGGGTAGATCACAAATTTTCTAACTTTAAAGAGTTTCTGGTCTTCTTGGAGAGCTTTTTATTAAATATAATTAGGTGTCTCTGAAAAAGTAATATATAAATTAAATTCCAAGGTTTTGTGTCTTAAAATGTGAACTGTACATTTTTAGTCCAACTTATATTGTTTTAACAGAAAACTCCTCTTTTTATTTTTTTAATTTTGGTAAAGGAAGCCTTAAAAATGCCATGTTGGTTTTGGGATATACCTGGAAAAATACTGAAGATACGCAACACCAAAAAGGTATGTTTAATAGGATATTATTTTCCAAACATAGTTTGATGATATGGATGATTATAATATGTGTTTTATACATTTATAGTAAGTAATACATATGCTATAAGACTTTAAGCATTTTTAATTGATAGCTTCTTTATAGTGCAAATAATTTAGACATAAATCTTTAAAATTAAGTTTCAGTGATTTAGGGGTGTTGAATATTTATTTTATGACAAAGTAGAGATATCAGCCATTATAAAATTAGAACTAGCCCAAATTTAAACTAAATGTGGACATTTTTCCTTGCATCTTACCTATCCATTTGATGCCTGATTTTGAACAGTGATTGAAAAGCTCTATTTCTTTAAGAAAATTAGATGTTAGGTTATTAAAGGTCCATATTCTTTTTAAAAATTTAGTTGTTAGTTTAACAACTAAAAAAAAATATTTCCCAAATGGAATCTTTATATATAAATGGCAATAATTTAGTACATTATATGTAGGTATATTTCTATATACGCATTTGTCCAAAGTAACTGAATATAAATTAATGAAGTTAAAATAAAAATACCTATGGCACATCTTTGAGACATTATTTCATTTTTTTCATCTTTCTAGAATTACAATCTTGCTTGTCTATTTGGGACATCAATCTTCCACATGAAGTGCAAAATTTAGAAAAACATATTGAAGTGAGAAAAGAATTAGCTGAAAGAATGAGAAGAATAACTGTTGAATAGGAGGGATAGCACATATTTTTATCTTTGGATGGAAAAATTAATCTCTTGTAAATACTTCTTTAAAAAATGTTTACATATGAAAAGGGTATTCCCACTCTTTGAAGTAGCTCATGTGTATATGAAGGAATGTTTATATGTTTTATTTTAAAGGTAAATATTGTAAAAATAGTTACCATTGAAAAAGATCTATTTAAAATGTAATATTATAATTCCTATGTATCCTAATTAATTTTATGAATTAAGTAATGAAAGAAAATCTATAAAAAGTACTTAATTACAGCACTTATGCTACAATTTACAACGTCTAAAATTGTTTTGTTATCCATAATGAAGGTAAACTTTATTTTACATTCTGTGCTTAAAACAAGACTATAGCTTGATTACTTTCCAGATTTCCTGCAAAGTAGATTAAAATATTTGGACAGTTTCTCATATAATATATTCCTTCAGATTGCTTTTAAATACAGTTATCATATATGCTTGTAAATAGTCAATGCATTTGCACTAATAAAATCCTATATTGTAATGAAAGCCAATTGGTTGCTGATGCAAACAATGCATCTTACAACTTTACTCCCTCTGAAAGAATGTGGCATGAAACCACAAAATGTACTGATGGAGAATGTCACACATTGTCAAAGCCCTCACATCCAGCCCTCCGTCTTTTCCTGTTTTGGTACTCTACCTGTGACTGTGGATACCCTGAGTTTTATAACATGTAAATGCAATGTTCAGTTCTTCCAGTGATAGTTTCATGCTTTTATTGTGATTCTCAGTGCTAAGCCAGGCCACTCCCCACTCCTCACTGTTTCTACTCTTCTGTGCTTTAATGTTCCTACTCATCTCTTTTCTAAATTTTTGGCCCTGCAAATCCTACATCATTCAGGCAGACACCCTGTTTTCAGAACTGTAGAGTCCTACAATTTCCACCCAGACCATGGGGCCTAGTATACAACACTCTTTAATTTGCCGAAGAAGAAAGGAGCTTTAGCTATGATGGGTATGTCCTAACGTAGTTTTCTAAATTATACATAAATTTTTAAAATATCGTCCTATGATAGGAGTATTGGGGCCAAATATATAGATGACAATTTGTCATTTCTGCTTTAAATAGAAAGATTTGGTAAATCATTTCAAACAATTCCCTATGGTTGGATTACTAGTCTATTTAGTATTTTCAGAACTGATTGGCATTTTATTATATGAAGACTTTAGATTTGTTTATATTAAGGGTAATCAAATTCTTTTGTGAAATTTTATTTTGTTTTGGTTTAAGGTATATGACTTAGTGGTTAGATAATCATATACTTTACATAGTGTTCCCCTCAATATTTCCAGTACCCCAATTGGCACCATACATAGCGATCTCAATATGATTGATTACATTCCCTATGCTTTACTTCCTTTCCTGTGACTGTTTTGTAACTGCCAATTTATCTCTTCATATGTTTTACAAAATGGAGGGCAATCAAATTCTTAACCTTGAAAGACTCTACTTTTTAAAGGGACCTATGTTTTAATTTGTTATGTAGTTTTAAAAAGTCAGAAATGATGGAGCTGTTTGTTCCTGTGAAATTTCTCATTGTAACTTTGTATTTATATGCATTTTTTTTTTTACAAAAGACAATTATGGAGAAATATGTAAATGAACATTGTATTTAAATGGAATAATAAACATTTTTTAAAGCCTGTTTGTGAATTTTAAAAATTTATGATAATGTTTCATTTTTTCACATATAAATGATTCATATGGAATCCATCTAATATGAAACTTTGTATTAATCTGTGTATGGGACAATCCACTATAGGAAGTGTTAACTAAAGTTTTCTTTTGAGGATTTATTCAATTTTCTATAATACAACTAGTTTTCAGGAATTCAGGATAAAACATGAAGGGGATGATATGTTCTATTTTTAAATTCTCACAAAGTTTTTTCTCACTAGAAAAAATACAGGATTTTATTGTTCTCCTGTGAAAAGGCAGGTCTTTGCAGGACGGGGGAGTGAGCTGTGACAGCAGGAGGAAGCCCCTGCTTGCCAGCGGAGAGCGGTCCACAGGACCACAAGGACCCGAGTCCTGGCGCAGGACCATCTTGGAGATGCAGCGGTCCCTGTTGACTGGCTTGGACTTCTTGCCACTCTGGGGGACCTCCTTCACACACCCCAGCACATGTTGCAGTGCCTGTCAAAAGCCTTCCCACCAGCTTCTTGTTGGTGATAAGCAGCTGGGTGTAGTTCGTGACCCACCGCGTGAGCGCGGAGACGGGGCCCGGGTTCAGTTCCTCCTCTTCCCGCTTCTGCAGCTCCACGGGGTCACCTCTCTAGCGTTTGCTGAGGAGGCTCCTGGTGGTGGTGGCTGAGCTCCGGGAATGTTCCTGTCTCCTTCTTGCATCTGCCTCTGAAGAGACTCACACAGTATTTTTTAAAAGAATTGTTTACTCTGAAATACTGAAACAAAAAATACACTTTTATAACAGCTGATTAAGAAACAAACAGGCACAGTGACTTAAACATTTTCCTGATCAGGGCCTTAAGATAATCTGCTCATCATTATCAAAATATAAGCATTTATCTTAACAGAAAAGATTCTTTCAGGCAAGTTTTGCATTTAAAAAAATGGAGTCCTTCATCTAACTCTGGCAAGCGCTATTGATTATGTGTGAACCATGTTAACTACAATGCAACTTTTTATCGAGAGAGGAAGACAGATATTGATGAAACACAGCAGAAGTAGCAAAAAGATGGTGAGCGTACAAATGTTCAGATACGGAGGAGATATAAAGCCCCAAACCCTTGGGACTTTTCATCTCGATGTAATACATCACTGCAGACAGCGTAACGCAGCCTGGGAAATGGAGCATTTTTCATGGGGAGCCATCAGCCATACAGTAAAATCTTAAACCGTAATCACTCAGGATAAATGGAATTCCTCATTCTCCATTCTGGCTAGTTCCCCACTGTGGGTGGCATGGCTTCCAATAGCCAATCTGGCTGCTGATAGCACACAGGTACTTGATTTTGTCCTGGTTCCTTAAGGCATTCAGAGGGTTCCTAGTACCTTGGCTCTCAGGAAAGAAGTAGGGAAGACCCAAAGGCCTGCAGCTGAGCAAGCGTGAGTGGTGAGCAGAAGCCTGCTTCTCCTGCATTCTCCTCCCCTATCCCTGGTTTCCTGGGAGGCGCTGCTTGGGAGAATCTCAGCCCAAGATGAAGAACAGGGAAAGGGGAGGAGTCTCAGCATCTGGGTCCTGGGAGCTGCTGCTTGGCCTCCACGAGAACCTGCTGTTCTGTGTCCATCAGGGCCTGGGAAACTAACATGGAGACCCTTCTGTGTGTCACTCTGCCCTGGGCTTCGCCACATTTGCTCCTCTGACCACCTAGAGGAGGAGGCTACTACCCCCTTTTATTTATGAAAATACAAACCAGGGTGATAAATTCTGTGTTAGAAGTACTACAGGAGAGTGGAGAATGCATCTACTTGGCCAGAGAGTAGAAAATCCAGAAGGATCTCTCTCTCTCTCTCTCTCTCTCTCTCTCTCTCTCTCTCTCTCTCTCTCTCTCTCTCTCTCTCTCTCACTCTCTCACACACACACACACACACACACACACACACACACACTGCGTTAATCTATCAGCAGAGCCATTCAGAGTGGAATTAAGCATTTGAGGCAGCGGAATCACATATGCACTTATCTTGGGAAGGTGAGCTTACTTCATCCCACTCCTAGAAACATACATCTGGTGTACGCAGTGGGAAGGTAATTTACCATAGTGGAAGCCCAGCGGAGGAGGAAATGTTTTCTAAACTGATTGTCTCACGTTGTCAGTATTTTGCTTTCCTGTTACACATAGTATATAGTGCAGATGGGGCATATGTCAGAGTAATTAGGCAACTACAGATAGAAGATACTTGTAGGCAAAAGAGGATTTTCTGGCCATAAGATGCAGCCGGATTTTTGCTGACACTCACCAGGTACTACATCTTTGTCAAAGGATCGAAGCAGAAAATCTTTGCTACAGACAGATGAATAGAATATTGTTATTTTGACTTAAATAAATTTTTTAGAAAAAGAGACGTTTTCTTTTCTTCTCTTTTCCTTTCTCCCTCCCTTCTTTCCTTCCTTCCTCCCTTCCTTCCTTCCTTCCTTTCTTCCTTCCTTCCTTCCTTCCTTCCTCCTTCCTTCCTTCCTTTTTTTGTCCTTTTTTTTTGCCCATCACCATATCTCCCCTATGCCCTCTTACACCTCCATCCACTCCCCTTCCCTGCCACAATCACCACACTATTGTTCATATCCATGAGTTCTCCACACACACCCCCGCCCCCCAGCAGACTGCCTGTTCTCTATGAGACTGTCTCTATTTTGCTTGGTAGTTAGTTCAGTTTGATCATTAAATTCCACTTATGAATGAAATCATATGATACTTGTCTTTTTCTGACTGGCTTATTTCACTAAAATTCTACTTCTGGGAATTTATCCAAAGCAACCCAAAACACTAATTCAAAAGAATATGTATACTCCTGTGTTCATTGCAGCATTATTTATAATAGTCAAGATTTGGAAGCAGTTCAAATATCCATCAACAGATGAGTGGATAAAATAGCTGTGGTACATTTACACAATGGAATACTATTCTGCTTTAAGAAGGAAGAAAAATTTACCCTTTGTGACAGCATGGATGGACCTGGAGGAGAGAGAAGTTTCTTAATATGCTTCAGAATGTAGATTTCTTTGATGAAAGACTACAACTCAGGTTAAACAAAGTATGCCTAAAAAGAAATAGAAAAGAAAAAAATGTAGAAAATAGTCTACATTTAAATGAAGACTTTTTAATAAAATTTCATTTGGAGGCTCTCTGTTCATTTAATCAGTGCTGCCATTATTACTCAATTATTAAAACTTACCTAAAGAGTCACTTTAAAAAAAGAATTTAAAAAATGTCCCAAAAGGAACCAGTGAGGAGAATTCCACATTTAGAGATAGAAAGACTTTGGCCTAAATTTCAGATTCACCATTTACTAGGTCAGTGAACCAGACTAAGTCACCCAAGTGGCCAAAGAACCAGTTTCCTCATCTATAAAATGGCAAGAGCGGCGCAGCCACCTTTGCTAGAGGGATGAGGGTAAAATGAGATCGTGCCCATGAAGTCATGTAATTAATTCCCAGGCAAGTCACATGCAGAGAATTAGCAACGAAGAGGACAAAGATACAAAAAGGGGGACATCTGTAATCCAACAATAAAGATACATTTAGAAAAAGAGCACCTCCTATGCTAAAAACAAAACACAACAGATTTAGATTCTGGTAAATATATATGTATTGTCATCTCTAGAGTAACCACTAAAAGAATATGAACAGAGTACAGCTAACTCTTGAACAACCCGGGGGCCAGGCGTGTCAGCTACTGTGCAGTCCAAAATGTGAGTGTGGCTTTTGACTCAACAGTAGGCCCTTCGCATCCATGGAGGCAAAGCCTGCATACAAAGGGCTGACTGTATTTATTGAAAAAAAAAGTCCACTTATAAGTGGAATCTATACAGTCCAAACTAGTTGATGAGAAAAAAGAACTCATAGAATATTTTAATCCAAATGAAAACACAAAATTAGTGAAATCAAAACATGGAAAAAATTGGACATAAAAATTTAATATAGGTATACAATCAATATATATCAGTGCTTACATTAGATGTAAATAAAGTAAATGAAACAAGACATGATTTTCAGATGATAAAAAATAAAAATCCATCTGTACACTATAAGATACATCTAAATTTTAAGGATACATGAATATTGAAAAGAAAATAATAGAAACACACACACAACCATACACACACATGAACAAGTAACAACTAAAATGAAGCCAAGGCAGCTATATGAGACAAAACAGACTTTAAGGCAAACATCAGTACCAGAAATAAGCAGGATCACTTTTTTGAGGCCCTAGGCAGGACACCCCAAAATATCCTGTTATGGCATATTACTTTGAATTAAAGTTACTTGACAAGGGGCCGGTGCCAGAAGGGAACCTTCCCTTCCCTTGTGTGCTGGATAGCAGGAAATGAATCTTTCATGTGACAGGTGTCCTCCCTGTACCGGGAAGACACCCCCTTATTGCCAGAGTTAAACAACTGAGGGCTTAAAAGTCTGTTTAATTAAATCTTACTGCTTCTTTTCTAGTTTACTATTTTGTTTAAATTCTTCATAACGAATACCCAAACCTTTCTTAGATTCCTTTCTAGTGAGCACTAACTTTTTATTTTTTGTCCTGTCAATTTTTCACAAGTGTATTCTTTCTTTGTCTAAACAGTATAAAAGGGTGCCTGGTTTAATCATCTCTTTGAGCCTCATTTTATTATCTGAGTGTCATATTGTGGTGACTATCCTGTGCAGACATATCAAATTGGTTTTTCTCTTGTTGATCTAATGTTTTATCCACTTTATTATTTTATTACTAGTCCAGCTGTAGAACTAAAGAAGGGTAGAGTTGGGGAATTCTCCCCCTTCCTGAGAATCTTATGGTGACAAATATTTAATTCACTGTGAAGATATAACTTTTACATTTATGTATATAATATGCATTTGAATTTATATAATTACATATACTCAAATACATAAAACATAAATGAGCAAAACTACAAAGAATAATTAGACATATCAGAGTGAGAGATTTTAACATATTGCTCAGTAATTGATAG